GATGTTATAATATGTTGATCATCCCTTAAAAATGACAACCATGCAGGATCATCATGAAACTAGCTGATCTACTTGAACGCACAACTACAGACATATTCCGGATATATTACAGATATCCATGCCGCCAAAGATATTGCCAAACTGCGCAAAGAACATGAGCATCCCAAGCACTGACCAAAATTGATCCTGAAGGACGTAAGCAACGTCATAAATGCCATCATCGCGGCTTGCCATCATCGGATGCAATATATATCTGGTTGGTGGTTCCACCCCCTATCATCTTCTAAGGCTGAACATGGCTGCCGGCCTCGGTCTCATTGAGAAGCTCGTCCTCGTAACGCTTGTAGATGGCCAAAGCCTCCAGGATTTTTTCTGAGAATCAATAGATAGCAAAGGGCTGGGTAAATTATTATATTTCACTTCGGACCCAGCTGCCCCCCGGCCCACGAGCGGCAACCTGAATTAAGGCCATTTGGGGATTATTTCCCTTATTAAGCATGCTTCCAGTGAGGTCGCAGTGAGGTCGTTATAATTTACCCAGATAGATAGCAAACGGGGGAAGGTTCAAATGTTGAAAGTGTCCAGGAGTCCATGACCATTCTCCACTTTGCGAAATTTGACCCTACAAAGTGGTGCCCCATAGAAAGGACTTCTGGTAGATATATCTATGGTTGATGGGGTTATAAACCAACTCATAACTGGTTGGGTACCACATTGTATGGTTTTAACATGTTTCGAAGGATTTGGCCATGGGTCAAGAACCCAGTAAGCCCAGTAAGCTGTAGTTCACACGAAAATAACTTGGTTGGTGGTTGCAACCCCTCTGAAAAATGATGGAGTTCGTCAGTTGGGATCATTATTCCATTCCCAACTGAATGGAAAGTCATAAAATTCCCTGGTTCCAGTCACCGCCAAGCAGTGTTGTTTATGGATGGAAAACATCGCCCTCACCGGAGCTTTAAAAAAAAAGGGTGAAACATGGTGAAAAACCGGCAGCTCCAACATACTCCAACCCCCGAAAAATTGCTCAATCTAGTACCCTCTGGTAAACTAACATAGCTATGGAAACCATGGCCCATTTATAGATGGTTTACCTACAAAAAATGGTGATTTTCTATAGCTATGTTAAATTACCAGAGGGTATCAACTTCAGTGGAAACCTCAGTAACCAGCAACTGCTCACTTTGGTGGCCAAAAGCCAAGTCTGAATCTTTGACAACCACAACATTTTTTCCAACGTTTCTGCCATAGGAGCTGCAAACTGGCACTTTTCATCGGGAATGATCATTCTCATCTGGTTTAGGGGTACCATTGGAGTACCCTATCAGCCATCACTCCCCCGCTTTATTTTCCCATCCTCTAGCCGTTGTGCCCAATGAAAACATGCCCATATGATCCTTTTGGGTGGTGCATGTTCTCACTTTCCATAACTTACAATCATTTTGATTAAAAAAATGATTGAGGTGGGGGAGTGCCACAAAAAATGTCTATATAGCAATGCATAGGAGTTGACATATGTTGACATGACGTTCAAAAACGATCCTTTAAAACTTTAAGATAATTATGATCCTGGTAATCATTTCAGATTCCAATTCTTGAAATGCTGAAATATCCCTTAAAGTATCTGGACATTTTTTTTTGCTTAGTCATGATGGCCTAACTCATTTGGCCCAACAAAAAAAATCCAAAACAATGGGAAAATCCATGGTCCGATCAGCCGCGCCGGATCCGGTGCATCACCTGCTCGAACTCTTCTTGCATCAAAATCCTGCCCAACTTTCGGCGCAAGCGTTGTCCCACTCGGCGGCGCAAGGTCTGCGAAGCTCAGGGAACCACATGGGGTCTGTGTTTCCAACTTTTTTCCACCCCTCTTTGGTAACTACATCTGTAATGAGATATAATGAGAATATTTTTCAATCCAACACTAGACTAGCAAACACAACTGACCAGACTCCACTCGATTCAATTTGAACGATCGCATTGGTGAACTGCTAGAACAAATTGATTCTGTTTGAAAACATGGTACCAATACGTACCAATGGGGGCTTCAATTATAAAGCTGTTTCTAGATATGTTGAAACCCAGGAATTCAAATCTTGAGTCAGTTAGTTCGACCACCCAACTCGCATGATTGCGTCAAAAACATATAGGATATGCAACTGCCAGAATTGTTTTCCCTGTATGCAACTGCCACTAAATCGCAGTACATTCCACTCAATTCATTCTATCCCTCAAAAAATACCGAGTATCTATACCTATCATGTGTACCGTATACCTATTATATGATATACGTATCATATTCCTATCATTACCTTTCAGATACCTATCAAATTCCTATCATTACCTTCCATATACCTTGAATATAAATATAATGTTCCTATCAAAGACCTATCATATACCTATCAATTTCCTGTCATTTACCTATCATATTCCTATCATATAGTATTAGTAATCAAATGTGCAAGGGGATTTTGACAGGTTTGAAGCATGCAAGGGCTGTTTCGCACAGCACAAACTCACTGCAGGTGCGTGTACATCTGCAGGCTCTCTTTAGCTCCAAGTAAAAAGGAACTCTGCTTCTCCGTTTGCAGGTTATGAGTCCAACGTACCCCTCTTTGCTGTAACATGGCATCAAGAAGGACAAGATCAGTGGAGCCAAATCCATTCTGGTCAGAAAAGATTACGTGATGAACACCGTCTACGTGCTCTTCGTCCGGCTGGGCTACCAGAACGTGCTCCAGACCATGGGCTGCCACCTGTCCCAGCAAGTGAATGGGAACGAGGTGAAGAGGCAGGTGGGGATACACCGAGCCCCTTGGCTGATGGAAATCTAGGAGGGCGACTGGGAGACACAGAACGAAGTGGGCCACGTGAAAGGAGTTCAGCGTTTGGTGGATGGTCTATAGGCTTCCAAACTCCTCCGAGCAGCTGGCAGTCAGAAGGTGTACTACCTCCATGGACTAGCGAAGTCCTCAAGACTGAGGGAACTTTGTTCAGTGCTGAAACCGAGCTGGCCGAGAAGAGACCGAAGGAGACCAACGTCAGGGAAAAGGGTGACGTTCGAGAATCTGAGGAGACGCATGGGACCAAGGGCATTCGGGACACTATGAGCGTAACGGAGCAGCCGAAAATGAAGGTTGGCTTCAGGGACACCGCCATGGGCTCGATGGAACCTGAGCTCGATCCAGACAGGGGACGTGTCCAAAAAGAAGAACAAGGTGGAACCTTCCTTGGAAGGGCGCTTGGTAAAACCATGTACAAGGAGGTCATTATATGGAGAAGGAGAAGATCGCTAATGGCGAGCTCAGCATCAAATGCCTCGTCATGGGTCGGAGTGGAGAAACCGCCATCGACGCCAAAGAGGTCAACAAGTGCAGTTCCGAACCATACGCCAGGTGGAGCTCGACTCCCATGCAATCGACCGCCACCGGAGCTTCGTGACACCGCTTCCGTTGATGCCAATGCCGCCATTCCCGGAGGTCGAGAATGTCCATGCTGGTGATGGCTGGGGAGTGATGTGGAAGCCCGTTCCGCAAAAAGAGGACATGGGTCCGACATGGCCACGCGGGTACCCATGGGATGTGCCACAACAACGCTGGGCTGAAGATAAGCCGAAAGATCCTAAAGCTGTCCAGCATCGCGCCTCCAAGCTGCACACTGTCAAATAAATCACCAGTATCAGGTGGACCGGTATGAGGTCGAAATTCGGCAGGTGTTGGAAGATCAAGACTCCAACGCGCAGGCCACAACGTCTTGGCATCCCTTGCTCCGATGGAACCCATGAAAAGATTGCGGCCATGGAGGTGATGGGAAAGATGCCAATGTCAATGAGAACTCCGTTGTTGCGACAAAGCAATGACTTATGCCTTTGGGACAGGATTGCTATGTTCCACGGATGGGCACGACGGCATCAGCGAGGAATTGATGTTGTCCGGGAACCCCATGAACAACCACAAGGTCTTCTTGGACTACCACAAGAACTGCTTGAACAACCAGGGATTGTCTACCAGCGTTGGACTGGAAACCAGGTCATGGCCAGCCAACTCAAAGGATCCAAGGTGGACGTCCTGAATTCTCCCAAGGAGATCAAGCAGGCCATGCTGGACGTTCTGCTGTTCCTCATGGTGACAGGCCTGGCAATCTAGGACGTGAAGATCGTCCAAAAGAATTGCATGGTCGAGTTGATGCATCTGGTCATCCAAGATGGGATTATCCTGGTGGTCAACGGCCGATGTCAAGCAGTCCTCACAAAAAAATGAGGGCATTACAAGTTTTCAAGAACCACATGGTGATCGGGCTGGCAATCCGGGACATCTTGGAGGTGAGCGGACTAGCAACCGAGAAAATCTTGGTGGTGAAGTTTTTGGTGTCCGGTATGGACAAGGTATGTGGGAACCGAGAAAATCCTCAAGGTGATCAGCCCAGCAATTTTGGTCAGGTTTATGACTTTCAGTCAGTCAGGTGATCCGGATCAACGAGGTCGTCGGCATCCACGAACAAATTGGAAGTCATTATCGTGGTGCACAAGGGCGATGTGATGATGGAGATGGACGGGATCAGTGTCGACAATCGAGGTCTCCTCAAGATCAAGCACTGAGGTCAACCAATCCAACCATGCCCAAGCTGCCAACGCCGCACAGCAAGAATGCCTCTGTTGAAGTCACTGACTGGTTGGCGGAATCAACCTTTGATTGGGGATCTGTCGACAAGAGCTTCCACATGGTGGGATCACACTATGCAGGAGAGCATGCGCACCTAGCAGACATGGCTGGCATCAACACCGTTGGAAGCTGACAGCCACACAACCCAACTTGGAACATCTTGGGCATCCACAAGAAGTGAGGCGACTGGAGCGGCGGGCAACCACTCTCCTTCTTGGTGCAATCCCGGAGGACATCAAGAGCAACCTCATTGCCCAAAGAGAACTGTGGCCATCCGCAATCATGTACAAGGTGCTTCGATGCTACTGCCCTGGTGGATGGAAAGAGCGCACTCGATGACCGCGAAGACGGTCTGTGGCAGGTGTGACAGATGCTCGTGCTGGCGGTGATCACCTGTGGTGAGCAATCATTGCTTGTGGCACAATGATCTCATTGGGTGGCTTTCTGTTCGTGCCCCACCAATTCAGCACGTACCCACTGACCAGAGTGGAAGACCAGTGCCGCCTTGAGGAACTGCAACAAATGTTGCCAGCTCATGGTTTTGCACTGGTGTAGAGAGCCTTGAGCCCTGACCAAACCTCTCCACGCTCCAGTACAGGTTGGTAGACTGAGAGATGATGGCTCAGCTACCAAGGGGGAAGGCAAGTGGATTTTGACAGGTTTGAAGCATGCAAGGGCTCTTTCGCACAGCACAAACTCACTGCAGGTGCGTGTTCATCTGCAGGCTCTCTTTAGCTCCAAGTAAAAAGGAACCCTGCTTCTCCGTTTGCAATATGTATACATGTATATATATATATATATATACACCGATTAAAATGTACCTCTTCTGTAGCATGGCACTACTTCTGTACCCGCCCAGCCCCGCGCCCCGCCTTGCAAGAGGCATCGGCCATCGCCTGAAGCGCCTTACCAATCATCTGACAGACCTCGATCGAGAGAGGTCTCCCACGGCGCTTCCCAATGGAACTGGGAGATTAGTATTACTATTATACTAAATCTTGGGATTACTATTAATCTTGGGATTAGTATTACTATTATACTATTATACTATTATACTTGGGATAGCCAGTCTTGGGATTAGCCATTCTTGGGATTACTATTAGTACTATTATACTATTCCATTACCATAAAATTACAGTATCATAACTATCATAAGTATTATACTATTAGTTCAGCATTTCTTGGGATTACTATTATAATCTATTCTGTAAAAAGGAAGTGTATAATGATACATAACTATATTAACTATCTACTAATTACCATTGTTGGCAATTGGAATTCTAGTAACTATAGTGAGATTATTATGGTAATATTAGTAATGACTATAGTGATTAAACTACTATCAAATGATTGTAACTATATGTTAATAGTTTATTGTTATAACATGACATCTACATGGTTATAAAATCATGACAGTTTGATTGTCATACTATCTCATAACTATGTTAACAATATAGCTATAGTGATTACTATCATGCAACTATCGGTAGCTCATAGTGATTGTTATGACGCCGTGACACACAAACAAACAAAACGCCAACCAATGTTGCGATCATGATGAATATTGCTAGAGCATGCTGTATCCTATTAATATTGTGTTTCCTGAAGCCTCCCAATGCCAACAAGTGAACCGTCCTGGAACCCTGAACAGCAACTGAGATCTCGACTCCAACCGGAAAAAGAATGTTTCAACCCAAAAAACAAAACCAAGTTTCCCCAAAACTCCAAGCAGCCACCTCGCTGCCAGCTGACGCACCTTTGTGCCACTTGACATCTAAAGGGCTTCGGTCCGGCCCAGATGCAGGTTCTTCAAGATTCCTAGACTACACCCGGAGGGTAGTAGTCTGGACTACACCCGTTGGGTAGTAGTCAAAGCAAAAGTGGAAGTATTTCCATTTGAGAATTGGATAAATAGGGATGCATGAAATTCTCACACGCACTCCCCCTATGTGATCAGTTCCACTGACCACATATTCAGCTCAAGCCCTCTAAACAAGTCTATCATCTGCAGTGCAGCAAATCGCACATGGATTGAAGGCCCGAAGTGGACCATTGGATCCCGCATCACGACAATGCTCATAATCAACATGAAGTGCATATCCATGTGAGATCGCATACAGCCTATGTTGGGGAACGTCTGACTGTGGGCCACATCTGTGACATCGTGGCGTCAGACAAACTTCCTTGGCATGTCTAAGACCATGGCATTCACGGTCACAGTGGTATCTTCCACCAAATGGCGTGGTGAAAAGGGGTTTTGGTCCTCTTTGGGAACGAGATCCTCTTGATCTCAACATGTTCGCCGGCTCACGCGCCGCTGCGCCGCCATCTGCCGCGCCAGCTGCAGCGCTAGGAATGCCAGCTGCTCCATAACTTCTTGGAGCGCCATCAGCACTGCCAGCAGCTGTGGATGCAGCGCCCGCAGCACGGCCAGCAGCCGTATTTCCATCGCCAGCAGCATCAGCAGCACAGCCTGCAGCCGTAGATGAAGTGCCCGCAGCGCCAGCAGCACGGCCAGCAGCACTAGATGAAGCGCCCGCAGCGCCAGCAGCACGGCCAGCAGCCGTAGATGAAGCGCCTGCAGCGCCAGCAGCACGGCCAGCAGCCGTAGATGAAGCGCCTGCAGCGCCAGCAGCCGCAGTGAAGCGCCCGCAGCGCCAGCAGCCGTAGAAGGCAACCAATTTGGCCTGACAGTTGGATCACGTTGCTGCTGATTTCTTTCATCCTCATCTCTCTCTGGCGCATGCCACAAAAACGCAGGCACGTTCAGCAATGAACCTTTGTATTTGACAACAGTGAGCTTGTCAACTCTGTGCCACATGATAATGCCCATGACGCATGCTCCAATGATGAAACCGGCAAAAAGGATCACAGCCACGAACATGATGAAATAAAACTGACCGTCTCTCTGCTGCAAAACTGGATTGAGGTCTTGAATGACCAAAGCATTTGAAATATCTTTTTTCACCTCATTCGATGCTCCTGCAAGCGCCAATTTTGTCACCAAAATGATGATCTTCAACGCTTTCTCACGTGCTTCTTGTGTCATCCCAAAAGTGGTTTCATTCTGTTCTCCGTCTTCTATCTTTTCCAAAACTTTCCAACCTTCCAAAAACATGCCCATGGTTTCTTTGTGCTGGTTGAACTTCTGCACCGATAAAACTTTGGTGCCCAGGTCAGCTGGCATCTCAGCTCCAGGCAAATGCCGGAGCATCCATTCCCCAGACAAAACTCTTGAGCGCAAAATGAAGGCCCTTTTCCGCAAATGGCGTGTCCGCCAAGATCCAGTATCTCCGGCAATGATGGCTAATGCCGCTGAGCTGTCTGTGTAGGAAAATGACCTAGCACAAACATCCAATGCCTCCTCCAAAACGACCTTGACAGCATCTCCCGCCAATGCTCCTTCAAGCACCTCCACAAGTTCGGCCTCGGCCGTCGATGCAGCTTGAATGGGCTGCTTGCCAGCCTTCCAGAGCAACAGCGACGATCCCCAAAGGATCAAATGGCATCCAAATGAGATATCGCTATATGATGCATCCGTGTACACATTGAGCTGCTTCTCGCCCATGTTGTTCTGAAAAATCAAACCTTGGTCCATGGTGGCTGCCAAATGGTACCACACTGGTTTCACCAACTGCACAACCTGCATAGGTGACTTTGTGATCAATGACGCCAGCTTGGAGACAGTGAAAGCCAAATCAGGCCTGGACCTGGCAGTGATCCAAGCCAATTCACCAATGACTCGCTGGGCTTCTTTGACTGCCATTGGAGTCTTCTCCTCACCTTCAATGACCTCGGGCTCCTTCACCAAAGGAATCTTTCTAGTCGGCCACGTAGTGGGATCTGCTCCAAGATTTCTTTTCAGCAAGTCCTTGATGTAGTTTGTCTGCGTCATCAACCAGGCTCCATCTTCTCTTCTCCATAGCTCCGCGCCCAAAAATCTCACCTCCTTCTGCATGTTGATGGTCTCTGGCTCCGATGTCTCCCATTTCGCCTGCACCCCTTGAATGACTGCAGCGATGGATGAGGGAAAACCAAGGACCAGAAGATCATCCACATAGACCAAAAGTAGTCCCACAAACTCTTCCTCATTCGTCTGCACGTTGGGACCTGGTTGCTTCAGCATCATTCTCCACATGTTTGGCTCCGTGATCATTTGCTGCAAGGTCAAAATGCCACCCTCGCATGGTAACTCCATCTTTGCAATCTCCTGATCACGGTAGTCTGACCACAATTTGGGTGACTCCTTGTAGCCGTAGAGGGCCATGATGACCTCGTAGAATTCGTCTGGCTTGGCCAATCCAGCCAAAATGAGAAGAGCAGGAGGGCGGATGATGGCTCTTCTAGGCTCCATCTTCTCCCCATTCTCATCCTTTGACCCGGACAAAACCATTGGAGCATTTAAAAATGCTGTCCTCACATCCATGACGCTCCCTTCAAAACCAAATTGTGATGCCACCGTCAATGCAGCTCGAAGTGCCACTGCTGATGCTCCGCCTGCAAAGAGATCTTGCCCTTCTTCTCTTTCTGAGAAGTTCCCACAAGCCAACAATCGTGTCTTTTTCTTGCCACCCTTGTTGGTCTGATCTGGCTTGACTGTGAAGACCAGCTTGCTAGGGATAAGTTCTGCTCGATCTTCGTCAAGCAGCTTCTTCACCTCAGCTTCTGTGATCTTTCTCAGCGCCCCTTTCGTCTCAAACAAGGAGGTCAGCTCTTTCTCGATGGATGGCCTCCAAACCTCAATGGAACGGCGAACTTCAGCTTGTGACACAATGCGTGTCTGCAAAACTTCTTCTCCTTTCTCAGGTCCAATCAACTCTTTGACCATGGTGATGGAATCCAGCACCATGACAGCAACTTTCTCATCATCTTCCATGGCCTCAACCATCTCCTCCTCTATCAAACGTTGGACCCTTTGTTTCTTGGCCCATGCATCCTTTTCTTCCTCCTCAAAACTTGGTGATCTGCCATCTCCTTCTTGGTTCTCAAGTTCATCTGCTTCCACGGCGTCCTCAACCTCCAGCATGTATATGGACGCTTTGTGTCTGATTCTCCTCCTCTCTTCGATTGGGTTCAAGGCATCTTCAACTCCAATCCAATCCTCCAACTTTGGTGGTTCACTCAAGCCCTGCATGACCATCTTCGTCAGCGCCTGAGTTCCATCTGCCCTTTCAATCCAATGCCCATGATGAACCCAAGAAGGACATAGGTAAGTGACCTTCTCCTGTGCTGGTTCCAGTTCTCGTGATCTCCAAAACCTCTTTCTGACCAAAACTTGCGCCAAAAAAGGCGGTGTCTTTTTCTCCTTGTCAACCTGCTTCCGTCGCAACTTCTCATTGATGAAGCGAGCTGCAATTGGCCAGCGATCAAAAGGTGCTTCAGCTCCATGAAGTGTCCGCCTGATGGCTGCCTTGATGTGCTGGACAATCGCTTCACAACGTCCATTCATTTGGGGCTGATCCCCAGGCGTAAACGTCTGAAGGATGGTGCGTGACAGGCACCATTTTTCCAAAATCCTCGATCTGAACTCAGCTCCTCTGTCGCTATGCAGCTGTGTCACTCGATACCCGTCTGCTCTCAGACGCATGTACATGTTGATGATCGCCCTGGACACATCCTCTTGGCTCCTTGATGCCAAAGGCTCGCAAAGCTTGGTGACCTCAATCCTCACCGGCTTTCTTTCTTCAAGCTCCTCTGATGTGTCCTCCTTTGGGCCTTCTTCTGGGTTTTCAACCTGATCTGCAATCTGCTGTAGCTCCTCCTCTGCTTCTGGATCCTCAATCTCCGGCGCATCTGGGGGAACTTCAGGTATCTCCTCAACCTCCTCCTCTCCATCTTGGTTCCTGGCTGTCCAAGTGAAGCTGGCTACCAGGAGATACTTCGCCTTCTTCTTCTGCAAATCAGGTGCTTCTTTGAAAGGTCCTGAGATGTCCACACTAAGGACACCCGCCTTTGGTGGCAATTTCTGCCGCCGATGATGAGCATCACGCGCACAGGCCTCTTGGCACACTCTGCAATCTCTTCTAAAAGGAGTATGGCCTGCTGCAATGTGCTCCTGCCATGAAACTGCCCGTAACTTGACCTCTTCGCCCATGGTGCAGGTTTGGAGAGCAACAGCAATGGACCTCATCATCAAGGGTGGCCACCGTGACAATCTCCTGGACGATTCGCAGATCTCTGCCTTGGTCATTCCAGAGACATCACGTGGTTGCCCTTTCTTTCCTTGAAGTGGTACTTGAAGTGGCAGATTTCCTCCTATAGTCGTTGGCTTTGTAGCTATGGCCCCAAACTCTGACTGGTCAAAACGCTGGGTCTGCAGCTCATAGATCTCGGCCAAGCTCTTCCATTGAGGTGTTCTCCAAAGCGACACCACTTCAGGCTTGTGTTCAGGTGAGGCAGGCTGCTCCAGGATCAAAGTGGTGGGTGTCTCTAGCCCAGCTGCTCTGCGCACCGTCTCTGACACAATGTAGAGAACCAAAAACCGCATGAGCAACGTGTCATCCAAGGTGACCTGCTCTTTCTCAAAGTTCGAAAGCCCTTCTATGCCAAACTCCCCTCCATTCCAACTTCTCAGAGGCCTCGGCATGGCTTCCCCTGGAACTTCAAGATGTCTGAGAACCGATCTGGTCCTGCATGGTGGCCCGGCTATCCAACCCTTCACCAATCCATCCAAAGCTGCCCTCAACAAGAGCGGGTAGGCCTCACCTTCAGGTGAAAGATCTGCTTCAGGCTTTCCATGGGTGATGTCAAACTCATACATCAACCGACGATCACCTCCAATCTCATGAAAAGCCCTTCCCAATGTGTAGCCTTCATTCTTTCCCGAAAAGGCATGAATCATCATACCCTTCGCCCTCCAAAGTTTCCTTCTTCTTCTGTTTCCCAACAGTAGGATGTCCGTTGCAGGCTTCTCCACCAAGCTTCTCTTTACCTCCTCAGGGATTCCTTGAAGAGCTGGGTGTTCATCAACCAACCTTCTCAACCATGCCTCTTCTGAGTCCTCCCCCGTTTTCAAACTTTTCACAACCTTCACGGCCTTGGCCTCAATCTCCTCGATGAGCTTCATGGCCGTGGACTGTGATACCATTGGACATCCAGCTTCAACCACCACCTCCAACTTGCCAAGCACTGGGTGCACCACCTGAAGACCTTCTGGCTTCCATGAGATTTCACATCCAAGGACTGCAGTCAGCAATCCCATGGGCACTATGGGCTCCGTGCCTTCTTCGCCCACAATGACTCCCGTTGGAGTGAGTGCCATATAGATCTCCTTGTCACCTGCCAGCGTCACCTTGACCTTTGGTAGATGGTGAAGACGTTCTCCCTTTCTTTTGGCTCGCAAAGGGTGTGTTGCCCCTGAGTCCAGTAAGCCCTTGTTCACCATTGGGCACAACTTGGAGATGCGAAAGGGTCGCATAGAAGCCTTCTTGAGCTCATCCAGCTGCTTCTGTAGGCCCAAGATCCTTTCTTGTGCGTCCTCCCCTTTCTGTCTCTTTTCTTTGACATCTCCTTCATTCATTGATTTGAGCATCCGACTTGCTTCATCCAGCAACGACTTCATAGTTTCTTCTCCTCCATTACCCGTGGCCTCAGACTGCTCCTCGGACTTTTCAGGAGATGTTGTAGCGGACTTCACATCCTTCTCTGGGGTCTTGGAACCAAACTTTGCTGCCTTCGGCTTGGACTCCTCTGTGGTCGGACAGGCTGTGGCCATATGGTCCTTTCCTCCACATGTCCAACACCTTCTTTCTCCATCCAACTGGTGTCCAAAAGGACATCCTCTACCTCTTCGGCAACCTGAGTCTGTGAGGTAAAACCTACATGGTTTCCTCCTCCCTTCAAACTCCTCTTGAGGCTTCCCCTTCGGCCTGGTCCTTTCTTCAGGCTTGCTTCCCGAGGCTTCCTCAAACTTCTTCACCTTTGGCTGGCTCTCTGCCATCACTTCCTTCCTTTTTGCCTGCTGTCCCATCTGCTCCAGCTCTGCAAGAAGGTGTTCGCTGTACTGGGTCACTGTCTCCAACGTTGGAACTGTCTCCACCAACAATGAGCTCTTGACCAACGACAAGCGGAAGTTGAGATCTGGGTAACTGGAAACAATTTTCCTCACCAAACGTCCCAATCCCTTCATCAAAATTGAACTGTCTGGAATTGAAACTCCAACTTCAAGGGCCCGGCGCTTCCATCTCATCCAACGTCTCAGCTGTTGGATGGCTGAACCCACGGTTGCAGCTTCCATAGGTGCTTCCAGCGCCGTCAAAATAGCGCTTCTCTCTGTCAGCCCTCCAGGTTGAAACTGCAGCATCGCACGAGACAAAATGCCCAAAGCTGTGATGGACTTCGCCGCAATCACCTCCTCTTTCATCGTCTGCGGCAACGCATTCAAGAGCAAGGACGAAGCCCTTCTTTCCAGCCGGGACCACTTCTTCTGCTGCAACTCTGGTGTAGGCCTTGGTGTGCTCGTCAACCTCTCAATTGGCGATAGCTTCATGTGGTGATCATACCAAGTCCTCGCTGTTGAGAGGGTCAAGTCCCACCACATCTCACTCGTTGAGCTCAAGTCTGCCATATGAGGATGCAGACAAATCACCCAATCACCAAAATCGATGGGCGCCGTCTCCGGATTCCATTCAGCAAGTTTTGGGAGATCCGCCACATAGCGCACCACTTCAATCTCATCACCTTTTCCTTCCTCCTTGGAGATCACAATCTGTTTCTGAAGCTCCTGCATGCCCTCCATCAACTTGAGCATGATCCTCATGGACTGCTTGTCAACGCTCTCCTTTGGCCTGCTTGCTCTTTGCGGCTCCTCAGAAGACGAATCGCTCTCTGACTGTTCTTGCCGGGCTTCTGCCCCATCCTCCTGAGAAGATCTGTCTTGCCGGGCCTCTGCCCCTTCCTCCTTAGAAGGTGTTCCTTGCCGGGCACCTGCCCCTTCCTCCTTGGAAGGTCTTTCTTGCCGGGACTCTGCCCCTTCCTCCTTTTTTAACATGTTGGCTGCTTTGTCATCTGGTGTGGTAAACCTCGACGATCCCTTCTTTTCCAAGGCTTCCAACAACTCTTGACGCTCTTGACGAAGTCTTTGGTTTTCATGCTGTGCCGCACGCAACTGAACCCCTAGATGTTCTATGCCATGCTCAACTTGCATTCTCCACATGTAATCCCTTTGCCTCGCCTCATGTTCACCTTGCTGAGATCCTACTGATTGAAGCAACCCTGTGAACCAACCTGGAACTGCTTGTCGCTCAGCTCCCCCGTGTCCATGTTCTCCAACCGCAGGACCATTCCATGAAGCCGCAGGCGATGCAAAAGGCATCTGGTGGATCTCATGAAGTTTCACCGTCTGCTCTGGTGAAAAAAGTGGCAACATACTTTGGACCTGTCCCTCTGGTGTCACAAAGGAATGGGGACCTAGTGAAACTGGCTGTCCACTGGGTGTTGCCATCTCTTGACGCTTCTCTGGTTCTATTTCTTTTGGGGTTCCTTTTTGGCCTCTGACTGAACCCTCCTTTGACTTCTGACCCTGGCTAACTGGTTCTGTGGCTGCCCTTGGTGACCTAGAGCCCTTTGCAGCGTCTGACCCTCGCCCTTTCTCCAACCCATCCGGTGTCCTCAAGGCCAAGGCTTGAGAAGCTGGTACAAGTTCTTGTCCAACCAGTTCCAGGCCTCTCTCAGCTGCATCTCCTCTCGCCCCAAGCGCCTGTGCTGCATCGCCTTCAGCGCCCGCAGCCGCCATCTGCCGATCACCAGCTGCCGCCGCTTGCACCGCGCCAGCCGCTGCCATCTGCTCAGCGCCAGCTGCCGCCATCTGCTCAGCGCCAGCTGCCATCATCTGCTCAGCGCCAGATCCATCGACAGCGCCGCCATCCGGTCTACGTCTACGCATCATGTCAGAAGTCTTTGGGGGTTTACACAAGCTCCTTGGGCTCATAACCTGTGTTTCCTGAAGCCTCCCAATGCCAACAAGTGAACCGTCCTGGAACCCTGAACAGCAACTGAGATCTCGACTCCAACCGGAAAAAGAATGTTTCAACCCAAAAAACAAAACCAAGTTTCCCCAAAACTCCAAGCAGCCACCTCGCTGCCAGCTGACGCACCTTTGTGCCACTTGACATCTAAAGGGCTTCGGTCCGGCCCAGATGCAGGTTCTTCAAGATTCCTAGACTACACCCGGAGGGTAGTAGTCTGGACTACACCCGTTGGGTAGTAGTCAAAGCAAAAGTGGAAGTATTTCCATTTGAGAATTGGATAAATAGGGATGCATGAAATTCTCACACGCAAATATTATAGTAGTATAGTCATGACATCCTACTATTGATGTTAATATCACTATGATGAGTGAAATGTCTCAAAAACCAAAAATGTGGATTGTCAATTTATTAGATTTAGATAGATTTAGCAGGTATTTGGACAACTTCACCAAATAGATTAGCAGGTTTCTTTTTGGGGGGTGGATAGAGATCTCGAACACTTGCTGAATTACTGGCTGATTTTTCCCGCCGCATGGGGATGATGCAGCTAGGGATGATGCGATTTTTAAGGGATCATTTTAAGAGACCCAGATTTGATTATACAGTAATACTCTCAGTAATACTATGATTGTTGGGATACCTGTGATTTCTGGATTGTGATTGCTATGCTTATTGGCATTATTTAATTGTGATCATTCCTAATGCAGTAATTCTTTTATTTCTCTGGAAAAGTTCGACCATTCGGGGTTGCTTGGTTTGCCAGGTGAGCCAACATGGTCACAGTAGCAATATCTTGCGAAACGACACATCCATATGTCACGTGAAAAAACGTGCATGACTTGAAGGTATGGCTGTATGGTTCAAAATCATTGACATTCATTGACCCCAAAAAATGATGGTTTTGTAATGTTAGTATCAAAACATGGCGAATTCCGTGGGTGGCATTGTACCCTGAGCCTGAGCCATTCCCAGCGTCAACACATGGCAGTGGCCCGACTAAGGTGAAGAAAATGATGTTTCAAAGAGGCTGATGATCATTGATGTCTTGATCAACATTATTCTTTGCTTGCAACTTACAACCTATCTATGTATCTATCTACCTATCTATCTACCTATCTATCTACCTATCTATGTGAGACTTCTATGAGTATCCATCCATCCATGGCTGACTGACCCATGTCATGATGACTCACTCTCCGTGCCTTGCTCCGCAACAGTCGTGTCTCGTTACTGGCTCGGTTGGTGCTGAACACGATTCCCGAGACCTGCCCAGGAGATTCACCTAGAAATGGACCATCAACCAGTTGGTGGTTGACCTATCCCTATGGTTAATAGTGGTTAATAGTGGTTAATAGTGGTTAATAGTGGTTAATAGTGGTTAATAGTGGTTAATAGTGGTTAATAGTGGTTAATAGTGGTTAATAGTGGTTGATAGTGGTTAATAGTGGTTAATAGTGGTTAATAGTGGTTAATAGTGGTTAATAGTGGTTAATAGTTTAATAGTGGTTAATAGTGGTTAATAGTGGTTAATAGTGGTTAATAGTGGTTAATAGTGGTTAATAGTGGTTAATAGTGGTTAATAGTGGTTAATAGTGGTTAATAGTGGTTAATAGTGGTTAATAGTGGTTAATAGTGGTTAATAGTGGTTAATAGGGTTAATAGTGGTTAATAGTGGTTAATAGTGGTTAATAGTGGTTAATAGTGGTTAATAGTGGTTAATAGTGGTTAATAGTGGTTAATAGTGGTTAATAGTGGTTAATAATGGTTAATGATGGTTAATAATGGTTAATGATGGTTAACCATTGGTTAATTATGACTGGTTGGTGGTTGCTGCTAACCCCCCTGAATAATATAAGTGAGTTCGTCAGTTGGGATGATGACATTCCCAATATGATGGGAAAAATAAAATTCATGTTCCAAACCACCAACCAGGTTATAATATGCTATGAATATGGTTATAAATAATATTAAATAATGTTCCTTTAAATGGGGTGACTCACTGACTTATGCTGGTTAGAGGGGCCACAACTGTAAAACATATTAAACCGTCTAAAACCTGAAAGTACCATACAGTCAAAGTTGGGCAAAGGAATTGCCGAACTTTCGGGGTGGGTAGGTTTTGCCAATGAAGCTGAGCAATTGGGGGCCCATCCTCAGTTGAAAACCAGCTTCGAAGTGGCCTCCTGCAGTGTCGACATAGAGCTGGATGCCGAGATGCTTGCTGGGTTTTGGCGCATCGCGTGGGGATGTGCGTCTTGAAAGTCAAGACCTTTCTCAATCCTAGGCTGGCGATGGTGGTTTAAAAAAAATCTTACCGCTCCGCCGGGACCCCAAACACAAAAGGCCTGGGCTGCCCCGTCTACTTGAAGAAACATCAACCAACTGGAGGAGGGATCACGGCTTTCACAGCTCCTTCACAATTTCCCATCTTGCTTTAGATTTACATATCTGACATATCATTTATTTGTTGTGCGAAAAGTCTAAAAGCCCATAGTTGAAAACCAAGACCAAGACTTCCCTCGTCCCAAGAGTGGACAGTGCCAACTCTTTGACCATGAAGATCAAAAACAATGAATTGCAAGCTGCTGGAAAAGCATGGAAATGCTAAGGCAGAAAGGCTGTCTACGAAAAGTGGTTTTGATCATGCTTGTTCTCTAGCTCCCCAACTCTCCACATGCTCCAGTTGCAACGGTGATCTGGAATTAATCCATCCCTGGAGTAGCGACTCACTAACGGTGTCCCCTCTGTTTCTGATCATTTGCGGGAATTTGCAGCATGAAGTTTCCAAAAAGTCACACACTGTAGCAGTGACAATGGGTATGGGTCAAAATTGGGGTGCTAGTGTACCCATAATCAATCCAATTTTCTTCGGGTGTCTCAATAACAAATGGCTCAACTCACTCATGGCGCATGAGTCAAGATTCTTGAAAGCGCTGGGACAAGACTACGCGCTAGCTGGCTTAGTCAAACGGATTTTGAACTGTACTGGCTGCAGAGACATTGGGACTTTGGGCATCCTCTGGATCTCTACTACACAGAGAAACTGTGTGGTCTGAACATGCATAGCAGCCCCAAAAGGAAGATACAAACAGAAAATCCTCCTAAAATTGTTTCATTGGGTCATTTTTTGGTCAGATCCTCCCAAACCCGAGTTTCCTCATAAATCTCGAAATCACTAAACCACTTTTTTTTTGGGGGCAGCACAACCCAAACCTCTGGCGTCAAATCCAGCGACAACCAACAAGGCCGCCTTGTCAAATCCTCCACGCTGTCCTGAAGCAGTTCCCGGATATCAGTAGATGGATTTGAACTGGGGATCCTATGTTGGAACTTATATAATTGTTTTGTGCCATCATATTGTGCCAACAGCATCCAAACACATATTATAATATATATATATATAATATATATATATATATATATTTCACATATATATATAATATATATATATATATATCATATCTTGCTGTTTGTCCATGTTTTTCCACATTTTTTCCATTGATGTTCCATGATTTTCCATCTGCTTCCGCCACGCCTCCGAGTGGTTCCAGCAGCTCAGTGGTTCCAGTGCCGCCTCCGAGCCGGAAATGGACCAATGGAGGTACGGCGAATGTGTTCACCAAAAGACTTCATGAATCATTACCCTCTGGTAAATAAACAGAGACCCTGGCAGATAGGGGTTGGAAGACTAGTTTCCATTAAACATTGGTGATTTTCAGGGTCTATGTTTATTTACCAGAGGGTAATACCATGTGGTACCCCACCAGTGATGTGAATGTTGGTTAACAAAACCCCATCAACCATTGATATATCTAGCAGAAGTCCTAGTTACATATTGGAGTTATCAACCAACTGAACGCTATCGAACTGGGGCACCACTTTGTATGTTTTGAATGGATATATACTAGTTAGTAGCTGTGGTTGTAATCCCCTATCTCCCAATTATAATGATAATAATCCATTTTCCATTTATAATGATAATTATACTGGTTGGTGGTATACCTACCCCCTCTGAAAAAATATGAAAGTCAGTTGGGAAGGATTATTCCTCATATATTATGGAAAATGTGCCAAACCATCAACCAGTATACTATAATGGTGATTGAATGTGTTTTAAGACCAATTCAGAATGTCCGAGAAATATATCATGATCATTGAATGATAATAAGTCATATTATTACATTCATATCATTTCATATCACAAATTTATACATGAACATGGCAAATCCTCCAGCTGGAGACGGAGATCTTTCTTTGATTTCGACCATCCAAGGTCTCCAGAAAGCCGAGAAAACTACACAAGTGAGTTCCAAGCGGATTTCATGGATGGAACTAACATAGATATGGGAAACCATGGGTTTCACCTATGGTTTCCCATGGTAAAAATGATCTACCAGGTGTACCAATGGGCCTGCTGTTCCACATCTATATATTAGTTTTCAGGAGGGAAATTGGGCAAAATCCAATGGTTGATCATCAAGAGAGAACAGCTGCCGCTAATTGTATTGTTGGTTATGCATACCATCAACAATACCGATTTTATCCAATTGACATATCCCCACAAAACAATGTTCGGTCGAATAACATTTGATTCGGTGAAAAACAGGGTCAACCGGTCAACCCCTATCTTTTTGTGGCTTAAACACCACACGATTGATATCCCCATGACTTTGTTGGTTGAATATGGCTAAATCATGTGAGTTCGCTGGAGCAGAGCTGAACCACGACGTCACGACGCAAAAGCTGTGGCCCACCTTGCCTCTTGCCGCTGTATCCCTGGGCGAGCCGAGGGTTCCGGACTTTCCGAGCCGTCGGGTATCCCGACTAACATCATCCAGTTGTGACGACTATCGGACTAGTATCAGCCATGGTTACCAGGTTGAACTTGGGGATCCCCCATTGACCCGACCCCACCATATTTACAAATACAAAGACCACAGTAAAACATGGAGAAAAACATCACAGGATGGTCAACAAAAACACCACTGTCGATAAAGATGCCCCCAACGTTTGATATGGGAAAAAGCACATCATCTGGGATGGGGAAATATCATGACATGTTTTTTTACCAAAACCATTTTTAGACGCTTGAAATCCTGTGAAGTGCAACCCTACTCTGCACTCTGCACGGCTGCTTTTCTACATTTTCTTCGAACTTCTCCGTTCTGAGACCCGGGCTTGAGGCCCCAGAAGAAATCTTGGCGCTAGAATCGTCTTGCTAAGCATCACCTCTTGATCTTCCAAGAAATGGCTATAGATGACCCAACATGGAATATCTCTTTACCAATAATTACATCAAAATCCCGGAAAGAGATGACCAATCTTGGCATTGAACAATCCACTTTTGGTATGGTGGCTTCAAACCATCTGGAAAATATGCTGGTAAATTGGGATCATCATCCCATTTCTCGGGCTTGAACAGTTGATGATGCAACCTAGTGCGTCACTGCACCAGGATGCGGTATATCTAGACCCTCAAAGTGCACATGAAAACTGGTACTATAACGGATTGGTAAATATTCGCAAACATCTGGGGGGGATCAAAACTTTTGTACCGTTCTGTTCAACCCCAAATAGCTGGTAAGTGGATATTCATTCATCGAATCTTGCGGAGAATTAATTATGAGTTTGGACATTTTTGACCCATTCCCCTATTGGAAAACAAAAGAAACATCTTTTCTTGTGGGTACACTGAGGGTCTAGGTTCAAACTTTAAACCAGCTGAGTTTTGAGGCAACTCAATTCTGAGTACTGCAGGATTCATCGGAAACCAGAAAAATCTGGCGAACCTTGTGCTTACTTACAACAAACGGTCCTTGAGACTGATCCTACAAGTATAGTGATTTTACAGTAAGTCATTTTGTTCGTGAATGAACGAATTTTGCAATGTTCACTCAAAAATGAAACAGCAGGGTTGGCTGGGATGTACTTGAGTCCTTCTAAACAGGGACTGCTCCAACAATCATCCAAGCATCCTGGGTTTGCCCAAAAATCCAAAAATCTAGGGCTCAAATCCGGTGGTGCAGATTAAACAACAATTATATAAACATCCATTTGCATTGAAATCGCAACTTTGCGTCCCATCCATTTCTGTATCCATTTCCGCATCTCCGAAGGTCAGATACTGTTCACGGAGCCAGTGTACTGCACTGAAAAGGCAGCCTCTAGGCTGTGGGTTCACGGGAAGTGGAAACATAATTGAACTGCCAGTTCTGCTTCAGCCTGAACTCACATACCTTTCACCATGTGAAAAATGGTCAACTGGATATTGTTGGGCCTTAAAATTCGACCTAAAATGATTGAAATGAAGGAAACTCCCCCAAATACCTGCAATATGACTCACAGAGATGGAATTTTTCACAGGACAGGATTCTCCGAATATAGTTCAAGCGATTTGATTACTGATTGGTGGTATACCTACCCCTCTGAAAAATATGAAAGTCAGTTGGGATTATTGTTCCCAATATGTGGAAAGTAATAAAATTCATGTTCCAAACCACCAACCAGATTACTATTTTTTCTATACATCTGGTTTCAACATGTCCAATCCATTTTGCCATAGGTTTTTTTCCCCCCATGACCCTGATGACCCTGTCGCCTGGTAGTGTTGCAGCTCGAAAGGAGGCGGCCAACGACGTTTGGCCCAGTATCCAAAGCTGCCACGCCCCAAGGGCACCGCGGGGAGCTTCAAGGCTTCCTGGGACCAAACACCTGTGTACATACATATACCCTCTGGTTATTTATAGATGATTTTCCCATTAAAACCTTCATTTATAAGGGATTTTCTATGGCTTAAATAACCAGATGGTATACATAATATAATATATCATATACCCTGTGGTTCTGACTAACATAGCCATGGGAAATGGCCCATTTATAGATGGTTTACCTATTAATAGCATGGTGATTTTCCATGGCTATGTCGCGGCTATGTTAAATAACCAGATGGTAATACAGTTATTTCAAACCTTAGCCTCTTCAATTTGGCTTCCTGTTGATTTCATACGTATAGGGAAAGAACTAAGGAAAGAACTGTGTAATAACCAAGGGAAACAAGAGGTGCTTTTCATTTATGTATATATATACCATCAGAGAAGGTGCTTGCTGGCTACCTGATTACCAGCATTAGGTGCCCATATCCACGATCTGTTTTTGGGGGCACCCCAATTCATGCACGGCGGCGGCAAGGACCAAACCTTTTCAGCCCGAAACAGTAAACAGTCAGTATATATAGGTGGTTCCTGCAGATTTTTGCTGCAACCAACTCTATGAATATAGGATCCCATGTGGAAAATGGATGAAAATGACGTGCTCCCGCACGCTATTTTCGCCTTGTGCAGCATGCCGATGGCATCCCGTGAAACTGTGCCTTCTAAGGCACTGATCTATGTACTGTACGTGTTATGTATACACGTGTACTTTTATATAAAGATGTGTGTCCTGATGGTGGAGATAAATATAGATTCCGTTATGATATCGATATAGATCTATATGTTTCCAAGTTTTGAGTGTCTATCCATCCATATCCTTCCGTGTCCATTCGGATTTCGTATCCCTTGTTGCAGGTGTCACATCTTTCATTGCAAAAGAGCATTAGATAAACTATCCCTATCACTTCCGGAACCTTAATTCATGGCCCCTCGCGGCCTTAAAGTTACCTAGTTATGGCCCTTTACCAGTTATAAGTACTTATAACCCCATTTATAGAATGTATAATCCCATAGAAATAACCAGTTATAACTAATAAATGGCCATAACGGTAGTGATTTTCCACCATGAAATACAGCCGTTCAGCTGCTACCTTTCGGGTTTGTCACGAGCCGAGTCTCGGTGCCGTTCACCTCGTCGTTGCCGCGGCAATGGGTTTTGAAGCCTCATCTCACGACAGTGTTTTTCGACACCTCCATTGCCTATCTGGTTTAGTCATGTTTCGTATGCCATAGGATCCATGTATGCCATATATGGTAACATTTACCATTATTATACCCCCGATGTTAGCATATATACCAGCACCATGGATCCTATGGGGTATGCCTTTCATGAATTGACACTGCTATACCCGGAAACATCCGGAAACCATGCTTTAGCGTTGGATCGATAAAGCTTTTTGAGTTTACAAAATTCGGGGGAGGTCAGTGGATATGTTCATTTTGGATGGAATCACATGCCTCAGACAGGCTCAAACACAGGACAAAAACTCAACATGATGTGTATGTATACACACATGTTATCTTTGATCACATGGTACTGTCCAATGATACAGTACAAGGAAAAACACAGCTCCAAAACTACAGGAAATTTTCAGAAAACCTGAATCATCTGAATCTCATGCTCTCAAAAAAATGTTTTTTTTTGGTTGGTGGTCAAAAAACCATCTTGAAAAATAGTAGTCAATGGGAAGGATTATCCCATATATATATGACGGAAAATAAAAAACAGTTTGAAACCACCAGCCAGTTTTTTTAATATCTATCTCCTAGATGAATACCCTCTGGTAATTTAACATATTGAACATGGCCCAGTCGAAATAGTTGATTTTCCCATTAAAAAATGGTGATTTTCCAGTTCGTTTTTTGTTCACGTAGAAACCAGGCCGGGTCACAGCCACTGCCGCTGCCACCCATCATGCGCTCGGAGGAAAAGGAGAAGCCGTCGCAGGCATCGTCGGCCTGAGCAACGGGAGATTCAGAAAGAAATGGGGCGAAAAAAACAAGGTGGCGGCCCCCCCAGTGATGTGAATGTTGGTTTATAAACCATGGAAAGTATAGATATATCTACCATAAAACCCAGATATTGGAGTTATAAATCAACTTAGCTAACGAACTGGGGCACCACCTTGTAGGGAAACTTCAATGGCGGGATTCCGTTTTGTCATGGAGCTACACCCAAACATCTTGCATCTTCCAAGTCATGGATGACTCTGACTTTGTATTGAAACATATTGAAATCCATGATGACTTGGGGTACCCTCTGGTAAACTAAGATAGCTATTGAAAATGATCATTTATAGTTGATTTACCTATTATAAATGGTGATTTTCTATAGCTATGGTAGTTTACCAGAGGGTACCCATATTGTAGGAAACCCCCAACCCCAAATGGGATATTCGTCCTGTGCTTGGAGCCATCCATGTTTTGTGACCGTTGTGATTTCTACCCATATCCAGCTGACCGCCATACTTGGATTGTGTTCAAGTGAGGCAATAACCCCAAAATCCCAAGAATTACCCTCCAGTAAATTAACATAGACCCTGGTAGGTAGGGGTTCGAAGATTAGTTTCCTCTAAAAAATGGTGATTTTCAGGGTCGAACTGTTAATTTACCAGAGGGTAACACCTCACTCACATGCTTCCCAGTAAGATGTTTTGGGTTATACCGGTTATACCCCATGTTTCAGCAAAAAACAGTGTTGTTATGGAGCAATGTCTGAACATGGTTAATCATAGAAACTGTCGGTTTTAGTAGCCAACAATGAGATTTCACTGATGTATTGAGTATCAACCAGGGTGTGGATATATTATATATTTTCAATAATATATTATATTACATATTGTTATATGATATTATATTATGTTATATTGTATTATATTGTGTTATAGTGTATTGTATTACTAATATTATATTCGAATGTACAATAGATTATATATATATATTAATATATATATAAGGTTATATTTATTGCGTTGGACATTCTACGTTATACATTATACATTATACATTATATATTATGTTATATATAATATGTAATAAATATATACATATTATATAATACATTATACTATATTTTATTATATTATGTTATAAATTATATTAAATCAAAACATATATAAAATTATATTAAAATATGTTTTTCTTATCTTATATTTTATTATACTATAAGTATTAAATATTTTATATATTGTATGATATATTAAACATTAAATCATATATTATATGTTATGTATGTTATATATAATATTATATATTGAATATTAAATTACATATTATAAAATATATATTATATATTACATTCTATATTATATCATTTGAAATAAAACTATAATATATTATATATTCAATATTTATTATGTATTATATATTTTGTAATATATAATATACATTTTACTATAATAGATTATATTATATTATAATATATTAAATATTTTATTACATTAGACTATATCAAATTGAATTATGCTATATAAATTGACATTATATTGTATTTTCAATTATATTATACTATATCATATTATATTTAAGTTTATATCATTTTTTTGTATTTATTATATTATATTGTATTTCATTACTTATATTATATATCGTTTTAAATATTATTTCAAATATTATATAATACATTACATTATGTTTATTATATTGTAATATATTTCATGTTTACTAAAGTATATCAAATAATATTACACTATATTAAATTATATTATATCATTCCATTTCATATTCTATTATATATCATATTGTATTACGTTATATTATATTGTATATATGGTATATGTGGATGGATCGATACCTACGGGAAAATGGAGCTAAGAGATGAACAGGGATTCATTTTATCTGTTTTGGTGCTTCGAGAAAACCCAGTGTCACAGAGTTGACCATGTTTGATCACAGAGGTGACCACGTGAAAGACACAAAGGTCAGTACCCTCTGGTAAATTAACATAGACCCTGAAAATGACCAATTTTTAGTGGAAACTAATCTTCCAACCCCTATCTGGTAGGGTCTATGTTAATTTACCAGAAGGTAAATGTTTATTCAAAAAATACTGTGTATGTTGGATGAGGACCCCTGATCAATGGTTTTTTTTGGCGGATTCCAACATTTTCACAGTTACTACCCTCCAGCAAACTACACATAGATTGAGGTTTCCCCATGCTTTCCCAAGGAACATGATTTGCAAACAAATGTTTTGCTCGATATATATATATATATATATCAATGAATCTGGCCAAATTACTTTAATTCTTACCTCGTCTCCCTCGTGTCTTAATTTGTTCCCCATGACTACTGTCCTCGTTCGTTAATTTGCAGGTGCAAATTAAGGCTTTACCTCGTTAATCCGAAGGAAGAAAGTAGCTTGTGGGCCTTCTTTCCAGGGTCCAACCCCAAGGGAAAAACACTTTTCAGCTTCCGAAAAGTTTTTTTCCACGATCCACGGTCTCTTGCAGGGATTTTTAAATCTGAGTCTGATCGGTCTTTGCGCTTCTTGCGCTTGGGTGGCGACATCTCTGACATTATCGCAGAGATGCAATGCTCTTCTGGAGCAACTCTGAATCCTACTGCTTCTGCAGCCGTCAACCCACGAAGCGGGCCTCTGGCGATAGAAAATAAAACTTTTTGGGGCCTGAAAAGTTGTTTTTCCTTCCTTGCCTGCTGACGGCCTCTGGCGATAGAAAATAAAACTTTTTGGGGCCTGAACAGTTGTTTTTCCTTCCTTGCCTGCTGACTGGCCTCTGACGATAGAAAATAAAACTTAAGGATTTGCACTTGATCATGGGTCAAAAGCATTTGATTTGGGATAGGGTTTGGGATGTGAAGAGTAGAAAGTCAAATCTATATCTCCATATACAATATATATATATATATGATGCACCTATGGTTCTATTTCTTCATGAGAACCCATTGACATCGAATTTAGATATTGTAGATATACCAAGATATACCGATATATGTGTATATATATATATATATCCATATGGATCCATATATCCGTGATATATGTATATACCTGTATGCACCAATGTATAAATAGATAAACGAAGAAATATATGTGTATATATATGTATATGGCCATGCACGCCCATGTCCATGTATCTATACAAATATACACCCATAATGTATACTAAACATTTATGTACCCCAAAATTTGGCCACAGCGCCGCTTCTGGGCCACCACTTTCGCGGGCCACTGCTGCAGTGGCCGCACAATGATGGCCAAGCTCCAGCGCTGCTTGGCAGAATTGGCAAACTGTGGGCAAGGTATTCCGTTTCTACCCAGAACCATATTGTTTTGGGCAGAATTGACCTGCCTTTTTCATTTCACGCCCCAACAAAAACATAATCTTGTCAATAAGATCGCACAACACCTTTTGACGAACTGAAAGAGCAAAGATACCGACACAACAGTGAGTAGCGCACTCACCAATTAAATGAGAGCCATGACAAGGATACCACCAGCAACCGCCACTAGAACAAGGAGAACAACAACAACAACCAAAGAACACAAGAATATATCACTGAAATATTTGGCTCAGAAACTTGTAATTAAAGAAAAAAATGTTGTTTTTTTCCGGGCGTTGATTTGGGGTCAGAAAATGTAAAACTTCTGAAGGTTTCAGCCGAAACCTTCGGAAATCTATGATGTTTTGGAACCGAAATCAATGCCTCGAAAAAGAACACATTTTTTGGTGCAGAAGTCAAAGTGTGAAATCCAACAAGAAAGATCTGAAGGTTTCTATTGAAATCTTTTGAAATTCCCAGGGATGATGCATGGCCAGCAGAAGTGCCATTGGAGATTCAATATCCAGACTTCTGCTGGACATCTAAGAAACCTAGGAATTTAGAACATGTTCAGCTGAAACAGGCAGAAGTCTTCACAGCAAAATCAAGCATTGACTTCTGCAGGGAGGCATGTTTCAGATGCTTTTAAATCAAATCCTATCGTGTTGTGATTGCCATGGATCACGGTGAGTTGTCAGACCTTGACTGGAATCCTCGCATATACTTCACAAACAAGTTGTCGAGTCTACATTGTAAATATTGTTTTTTTTTGAGTGACCGGAAGTTCTATGATGTATATCTTCGATTCCATGATATTTTGTGATCAAATCCCATGAAACAGTGTTAGTGGCGATTGCTGGTGGTATCCTTGTCAGGGCTCTCATTTAATTGGTGAGTGCGCTACTCACTGTTGTGTCGGTATCAGTTCGTCAAAAGGTGTTGGGCGATCTTATTGACAAGATTATGTTTTTGTTGGGGCGTGAAATGAAAAAGGCAGGTCAATTCTGCCCAAAACAATATGGTTCTGGGTAGAAACGGAATACCTGGCCCACAGTTTGCCAATTCTGCCAAGCAGCGCTGGAGCTTGGCCATCATTGTGCGGCCACTGCAGCAGTGGCCCGCGAAAGTGGTGGCCCAGAAGCGGCGCTGTGGCCAAATTTGGGGGTACATATATGTTTAGTATACATTATGGGTGTATTTTTGTATAGATACATGGACATGGGCGTGCATGGCCATATATACATATATATATACACACATATTTATGCGTTTATCTATTTATACATTGTTGCATACAGTATATGCATATATCACGGTTATATGGATCTATATTGATATATATATATATATCGGTATATCTTGATATATCTACAATATCTAAATTCGATGTCAATGGGTTCTCATGAAGAAATAGAACCATAGGTGCATCATATATATATATTGTATATGAAGATATAGATTTGACTTTCTACTCTTCACATCCTAAACCCTATCCCAAATCAAATGCTTTTGACCCATGATCAAGTGCAAATCCTTACTTTTTGGGGGCTGAAAAGTTTTTTGTCCTTCCTTGCCTGCTGACCGGCCTCTGGCGATAGAAAATAAAACTTTTTGGGGCCTGAAAAGTTTTTTTTCCTTCCTTGCCTGCTGACCGGCCTCTAGCGATAGAAAATGAAACTTTTTGTGGCCTGAAAAGTTTTTTTTCCTTCCTTGCCTGCTGACCGGCCTCTGGCGATAGAAAATAAAACTTTTTGGGGCCTGAAAAGTTTTTTTTCCTTCCTTGCCTGCTGACCGGCCTCTGGCGATAGAAAATAAAACTTTTTGAAAAGGGCCTGAAATAGAAAATAAAACTTTTTGGGGCCTGAAAAGTTTTTTTTCCTTCCTTGCCTGCTGACCGGCCTCTGGCGATAGAAAATAAAACTTTTTGGGGCCTGAAAAGTTTTTTTCCTTCCTTGCCTGCTGACCGGCCTCTGGCGATAGAAAATAAAACTTTTTGGGGCCTGAAAAGTTTTTTTTCCTTCCTTGCCTGCTGACCGGCCTCTGGCGATAGAAAATAAAACTTTTTGGGGCCTGAAAAGTTTTTTTTCCTTCCTTGCCTGCTGACCGGCCTCTGGCGATAGAAAATAAAACTTTTTGGGGCCTGAAAAGTTTTTTTTCCTTCCTTGCCTGCTGACCGGCCTCTGGCGATAGAAAATAAAACTTTTTGGGGCCTGATAAGTTTTTTTTCCTTCCTTGCCTGCTGACCGGCCTCTGGCCCCCAAAAAAGTTTTTCTAGCCAAGCCCAAGCATGCAACAGAACCAATGCAAGGCTACCTCGTCGAGGTCAGCTAATTCTGATGAGCAAATTAAGGGCTGACCTCGCTAATTCCTGCAACCTGCCTCGTTGCCTCGGCTGTCCTCGCTATAATTTGTGCAGATGAATGACCAGAAATCATCTAGATCTACTGTAATAAGCATCTATTAAACCCATATAAATATTTGATAATATGCGTAACCTGAAGTGAAGTGGTTACCAGTTTCTCTATCTGAAAAGGTTGACTTACGCCAAGCAGCCAAGCAAGCCCTCTTGGTTGCCTCGAGCTCCAAATATGCAAAACACGGCCTCGCTGCGACTACGATGTGCTAGAATGAAACATCAATGATAATATGGTATTATATGGTGTTACACGATATCAAATATGGTATTATATATAATAATGTGCTTATATGATATTATATGATATCATATTGTGATGATCATGGATTGGTGCTATAACATCATTGACAATACTATATATTATATTGATGATCAATGTTTAACTGAATCCAAAGTGGTATAGTTAGCCAATCATAGGGATATGAACACAGATGCGTGTAACTGATTGGTGAACATGCTAGTTGAGCCACGATGAATTTGGAAAAACAATTCGGATAGCAACACATGGGGAATATTCACACACACAAATGATCCGAAGCAGTTGGTGATTGAGGCACAATGGCCCAAGAAATATGAAAGTCATGTGGGATCATTCTCGCAGCTGGCATGGAACATAGACAATGTTTGAAACCATCAACAAACCTTTTCAAGTGAACATTTCACCACAAAAATGGGGCCGAAACAACGGCTTCAACATTGTGTTGTTGCACAACAAACCTGAGCTCCGACCACTGGGCCCCATGTAGTTTTGACGCAAAAGTCATGTCAGTTTTTTAATGTAGCTGCTTTGGCATTACAAAAAAAAAACAAGGATTGTTTGAGCAAATGATCGGATGTATGTTTCAGCTCTGAAGCTCAAGAAAAGGCTAAATGGCATCCCTACTACACTTTAAATCAATGCAACACGCAATGAATTGTGCTACAATTCCTCCTCGTTTGCCAGAAAATGCACAGCCAATTGCATATACTTATAGCCCATATATCTCTGGAGTCGTCCCACTTGTGGACACCTTGTTCAATGGTTTCATTGAGCGTATAGGTTATAAGGGGCTCTTATTTAAAAAAAATGGACCCCCACTGTGATATAATCTTAACATATATATCTTACCATAACGTCGCATTTTGTAATTAATTACTGGTGCTTACGGTGAAAGCAAGCTTTAGCTGGAAATGACATTCCTTCGCAACATGAACAGAAAAAACACATTAGAAAAACACATTGACCAACCCTTCACAATGGACAAACCCGTGAATCAAAATGGCGAAAACCCATGTTTCTTCGTTAATCCTAGGTTTTTTCGACTGGTGGCTGGAATTATTTTTCCAAAATGTGGGGGAACTTCCATAACCCATGACGGATCCATGGTGCGGCCATATATGGTGTGCCATGGATCCCATTAATATACCCCCTTTATGTTAGCATATATACCAGCACCATGGAATGGGTAACGTCCGATCATCCGATCATCCCATCATCCCAGAGCTGACGCCGAGGCTCCGCAGGTCTGGACAAAAAGGCCAGGAGCGCTGGAGGAAGGGAATCATCTGGACCCTGGCGGCTGCCGGTGTTGCACCAAATGTGGTGAGCGCCGTTGGTTGTGACGTATACGTTGTGTGGTTGGTTGATCATGGTTTATAAACCCAAAAAAAACATGAATACGAGTGTTCGGTATAGATCTATTATCTAAAGAATAGGTTACCATATGTTATCATAAACCATAGTTATTCATGAAATGCGAATGCTGGTTTGTGTGGTTTTCACGACTAGTTCGATATATCTACGCCAGAAACCATAGAATTCACCCAGTTAACCGACTTAGTTATCGTGCCAGGAGGCACCATCGAACGTAGGTTGTAATCCACACACACGCACACCTGCACGTACATTGGCCTATGTACCCTCTGGTAAACTAACATAACTATGGAAAATCACCATGCTATTTAATGGGTAAATCAACTATTTTTATGGCAATTTTCAATAGCAAATTGTTTGTTTACCAGAGGGTATCCCCATATATTCCCATGATTTTCCCATAAAACCATCTAAAACCTCCATTTCTAGTTGATATGTCCTATAAACTCATGTTTCTAAGCCACCATAATTCATCTAACTCGGGGTCTGTTTGAAAATAACTCCGTAGTTCCAAGTAGATCACATGGGTTGATCATCGGCAAGCGGCCACGGAGAGCCCCAAATCTGCCATTCCGCGACGCTGAAGATGCCAGGATGATGAAAGCCTCGCCGGCTTCATGAATTTTCGAAGGGGGCTAGAAAAACCAGAACTGGTACCCTCTGGTTATGTCAAAATAGCTATTGAACATGACCATAGAAATAGTGTTTTTTTCCATTGAAAATGGTGATTTTCCATAGTTATGTTAGTTTACCAGAGGGTAATAGAACCAACGGGGATACAATGGGAATATTTCATGATATAATGATTGCCCGAAAAACTGTGTTGTCAAGCATAGACTGCTGTGAAAACACCTTTGTAAAAGGACGGTTTAATGGGAAATTCATAGAAGGACATGGATCTACGTGATGATTTTTTCCAGCAAATCACGTTTGATTACGGGATCGCCGCAAAAAAAACAAACAAACATTTAAACATCCTGAAGTGGAATAGTTTTGTTGGATGATTCCCCTTAACACCAAAAAATAAGAACTCCTTCAGTGAATTGTCGGAGAAAATCTTGAACTGGGATATAGTTGCTGATGAGTTCAATCGCCTTGAAAATAGCTGGCCAATCTGTCCCAAGTCAGCGGAAATTAATACACACATTTTAAATGATTCCAACACCCACTGATGATTATCTTGACCTGGATGGCGGCCGCTCGTAGCGCCACCCATTTGAATGTGTATCAAAAGAACTTGATACCGGTAGGTCATAAGACACGTCAACAACTGAAAACAGTTAGCTGTCAATAAAAAGAGCAAAGGATTCTGCAGGATGAATCTCAATGGATATTAAAACAAATTAAAATTGCGACTGTCAACATCTCGATCATCCTTGGTCGCTAAAATGGCGCCTTCATCGGTGGTGGCCATTTTGATGTGTAAACATGCCCATGTATGCTGCAAGGTGCCCCAGTTCGTTAGCTAAGTTGATTTATAACTCCAATATCTAGGCTTTATGGTAGATATATGTGGATATATCTATACTTTCCATGGTTTATAAACCAACATTCACATCACTGGGGGGGCACCACCTTGTGGTCCAGTTTTGCTGATCCCCGCGCTGTGAAAATCCCCAAAGTCTTCTGTCGACAGGGTACCTGAACAGCGATCTTGCATCTCCAGAAGCACCTTCCACAGATCGGCACTGCTCAGTGGTGGTGGGGATGTGGGGATACCTACAATGTGAGGCCCCCAAGATAGCGTTCAGTTGGTGAACATAACTCCAATGTCACTATGGTTTATGGATGTTTACGGTACGTAAATAACGAACTAGCTACTGGGGCGAATCTAAACCAACTTATAGCTGGGGGGCCTCACATTGTACAGTTATAGTTATACCAATAAGAACACAGGCAGAATCGTTGATAAACTTGACCAAATAATTACATTCACCTCAAACAAATCACAGATTCAGCTAGGAAAATCGATCAAAATTGGAGTATACAGGAAAATACTTGAGATGCTTGTGTTTTTCATGAATATCTTCGGAGTGGACGGCCGAAGTATTCAGAACAGCTGACGCCCAACTTCGTGAACTGATTTTACATCTCAAGAAAAAAGCTGCGAAAGTGAAGGAGAATTAAGTAATTGAGTGCTTGGTCATGAGGCATCATGGATCCATTTTCCAAGACAACCAAAGGGGTGAACATCCTCTTAGTAAACATATATTTGAACTATAGATACATAAGTAAAACTACAGTTAAGTCCTTTCTGGTTATTCAAATGGGGTTATCATTCCATTTCAGGTGACTGAAATCCATGACTGTAACTTCCGCAGAAGTTCTGTAAAGAACTGTAACAAAATCGTTTGAAGATGGTTTTGGTCCACATGATACCTTTCTATTATATACTATTATTATGCATTTGCACCTGATATTTTGACCCCCCACGGAGTGCTGACCATCCTCTTTAATCAGAACATCAACGATCTTTAGTAGTGTTCTGACCATACATGTCTTATAACATCATCTCATTCTAGTCACCACACACCCTACAATTCACCTCGTGATCTTTACCAACTTAGCCAAATCAATTCTAAATCCCATTAACTCCATTTAGATCCAATTAAATTCTATACATGCCATAAACATACCGATTTAATCAACCATTAAATCACCATTTTTTGCTGGTAAAACACACGACAGACCCACGCGATCCGCGTTCTGAGGTCAGGTAACGTAGCGCGTGGCCTGCGGCCATCCAGGGTGGAGGCCCGTTACACCTGCGGAATGACGTAGGGCCGCCTAGGGGAAAATTCTTGTGAGAATTATGTATCTGAGACATTAGAGGAACATTACAAATTTGAAATTTGTATGGGAATATACATATACATATATATATTATTATTATTATTATTATTCTTCTTCTTATTATTATTATTCTTATTCTTATTCTTATTATTATTAATATTATGAATATTTTTTTTTTATTATTATGTTGTATATCCCATATAGGTATCCCAGAATGCCAGTATTGAGATATTTGGGAGAATGAGAGGAACATTCTGGGACTGTTGCGGGGTAATTGTATCAACAAACCATTCCCAACTGGGTTGGCAAAACAAACAACAAAATATGAGGGAAACAACCAATAAATTATAGGATGATGTTCGGCAAATGACATTGACACATGAACGCCCTAATGGGTGGTTTTCTAGGGATGGTCTATTGAGTTTACCACGTGCAACAACATCGTCAATAACTGAACTGGATTTGAAGCCCTTTTCATTATTAACCTTCAAGATCATCTATGTCCAGTATACCGGTGGTATACCTCTGAAAGTGCCACTTGAGCTGAGAACATGATGATCAACCATTCCACTTTGAGGACATCTAGTTCTTCAAACCCAACGTAGACCATGAACTGGCGGATGCCTTGTCAGTTCCCCAAGACGACTGGATAACAAACCCATTCTGACAGATCTTCCCAAGGTCAATCAATATAATAGTATCATTTATTCTTATCATCATTCCATATGATTCCAATCATACCTAAATGGACCTTCAGTTGAACAAGCCAATAATCTCCAGATTTAATGAAGGCGACCCATGACGCCCACCTGCACTGCAATAGAGTTCGCTCTTCTCTTCACGTGTCAGCAGCCAAGTCAAACCTCACTGCTTCGTGGTTCACCCCGGCGCTGAGGATCTGACACATGTTGCCAAAAAAAAACCTTCAGATGGGATATGAGGCTTTCCTGAAATAGGGCTACCCCGCACCATGATCCAGTTCAGTAGGGTTTCCCATATAAACCATCCAGCGAGCTATTGGGGTACACCATTTCTGGAAACCCCCATATTAATCCACACAAAACTCCAGACTCTCCGGGTCTGGAGTGAATATTGGCTTTGATTCATACAGTACCAGTCAAGTCAAACATTCATCAAGAATGACCTGGAGATGGTGCTTGTCCCAGCCACTTCATGCGATCTCAATCATGATTTCACCGAATTGGATGATGGGAAAATTGAAACCGGAAAGCCCTATATTTAATGGTAAAAACCATTGTTTCCGGTTAACCGATCCCATGATGTTTAACCGTGCTTCATCTGGCCATGTCTTCTTGCACCATCGCACCATTTTCGGGCACAAACATCCAGGTGGTTCATGGGACTTGAGAATCATCCTGTTGCAAAAAAAGAGCTGAACAATACATCTTACACATTCAATATGAAACATGCAAAGGGAAAATTCATTATATATATATATGTATATACATGTTCTGAACAGAAAAAACAACGACTTTTCTATAGCTGATTTTGGCTGATGTTGCTGGTTTCACCCACCAAAATCCATGTCCCATGTCATGGAGAAAAATTCTGAGATGCGGACCGTCCAAGGAGCGGTAGACTTTCAGGGTTCGGAAACCACCAGGATCTGTCGACATGTAGAGCCGCAGATTGTCCTTGCGTGGCTCGCGGCTCGCGGCTCGCGCATGGAATGGGGATCCATGGGGATCTCATGATGGGGGGTCACTGGAATAACCACCTGGCTGTGGTGCAGATTTTCATCATTTAAGGGTCAAAGGGATGTGAAGTTCCACCGAAAATTTGGGATGAGTGAAACCACCAAATGTATGTGAAAGTAATTTGTCAAATACGGGCGCCCATTGGTGCTCAATTGTGGCAGCCCGAGAAGGACTTAAGTGATTTTTGGTTCTGACAGCTTGTTGGTTAGTTATTGTAGTGTATTCCTGGAAAACAAGCTTCACACGTCTTCCCAAACAACTGGTAAAACACCGTGGCGCAGAACATGGAATTCCTCCGGGGAAATCCACGTCTGGGTATATCATGTTGATCCATGTTCAGCCCCAAACTTGGGATCTAGTTAATCTAGTTCTTTAGTTTCTATTCACAAACTAGGATATTTTAGGTAATTTCTGTATTTGCAAACATTCAAGTTACTAGCCCTATGGATCCAAACACTGTCTGAGAAGGTACTTAAGCCTCAAAATTATAGTAAATTATACCCCAGTCCCACTTCCTAAGAAGGTACAACTGGATCCATAGGGTAGGACTAAAAAACATGGACATTGAAGGGTATTCATGGATTTTAGGTACTGAGAATCCATGAACAATTCGTTTCAGGTACTGAGAAAACCATTTTCTGCATCCATTCCGAGGGGTCCAAGGGACAATTCGAGAAGGCGCACCCAGATCCACCAACAAGACTCCAGGGTAGTCGCCCTGCATCCTCGGTCAGGCACGATTTTGTTTTCCGGCCTTTGGTTATGACATGGGTGATAGATATGTTTGTAAAATATAACGTATATATATAATATTTATGTATATATACATATAATATGACCATATATATAATTAAATATATACATTGTATCTATAAATATATAGATTAATTACAATATATATATATATATATATGGATATCTATGGTGATTTAAGATTCTATTCAGAATTTCAATGGATTTCCACCATAACTATTAACTATATCCATGACTGGTAGTTGTCGGAATCTAAACCAGCATCCAAGAGGTAGATTTTGATTTGCAACTGCTTCCTGAAACAATTACAAGGTGGTGCCCCTCCCAGTTATAAGTTGGTTTATAAACCATGGAAAGTATAGATATATCTACCAGCCAGCCTAGATATTGGAGTTATAAATCAACTTAGCTAACTATGGGGCACCACCTTGTACATCCTAGACTCACGTCTATATAATGATGTACACAGTGCAAGACAGATTCCTTCATACATTTGGCCCCCTACAGTAGCTGCTGCAACCTAGCCCCCTTAACGGTAGGTGTCGGTAAAAACACCTATAGACTATTATGATAGCTTCGGATATATGCGGATTTTCCACTACCCTACCATGCCCATCATGAACGAACATTTTTTTAGTAGCAAATCCGTTTGTGAGTGAGTCATCATTGAACCATTGATTATCCTCCAGAAAACCATTGTGTGCAAATCATAAAATACTATCATTCTGTTGATTCAAGTGTAATTCATACCAGAAAATCATGACGCAGACGGCTTTCAGTTTTTAGGAAACTTGCCTGAGGGTTCTGTAATGTTTCCTGTTTGAGTCACTTCAAACAGGTTCAGACGCTCAGTGCTGTTGAAAAAGGTCTAAAACCATCTAAAACCTGGATGTTTAGTCAACTGTTCGAAATCTCGGGCATGAAGCCACCCAGGAATCGAACAGAAGAAAAAAATCTTTGGTGGCCAAGCTTCCAAGTGGAAGCCCAATACGGAGTGTACCCCTCCGCTGATACATGGCAATTGCAATGGACAGTCCCCCCATTTAGTTCCATGATTTTCCCAGCTATAAATTGCCATGGAAAATGCCATTAGAACCTCCATGGTTTGTTCGGGGAACTTTCCAGCTAGCCATGTTTGATGAAGCTGAAGGGTAGCCATATTACCCTCTGGTAAATTAACATAGACCCTGGTAGATAGGGGTTGGAAGATTAGTTTCCTCTAAAAATTGGCGATTTTCAGGGTCTATGTTAATTTACCAGAGGGTAATCCCACCTTGTCTTCTAGTGACTTAGACTGATCGGTCAAGCATCATGTTGAAACTTGGCAAGCGCCATTCTGGAACACTGGCCGGTGGCTCCTGTCTGAAGTGGGCAAAAAAGGGTTGCTGTTTGTTGAAGTGGTCCGATTTTTGAACTGCCATATGCGAACATCCACAAACATTGACTGGCTGGTTCAACCCATCCGAAAGCTGTATACTGTATACCATGTTTGAAATGTTTGAAGCCAGCAACAGAACAAGCCTACCCATTAACTTCTCGATTTAAGAACCCAATTCGTGGTGCTTCATGATAACCAGGACCTCTTGCCTCGACGAAGTAGTGCTCTGGCAAGCGCCAGTCTGGCCTGAGACGTGCCCGGTGGATCGGCAATCGTTACATTGTTATGTCTTCAAGACGTGGAACATGATCAATAATGATGAAAGCCATGGCAATGATGAACATCATATCAGCTGATCATAATGATAATCATACTAATGAAAACACATGTAATTAATATATATATATATATATATGTATGATAATTCCTTGCCAATCCAAACATTTCTTTAGCAGTTTGAAACTGGCAGCGCGTCAGTTCTCGATGTTACAGCAGATCAGAAAGGTTTGTTCAAAATTGGTGTATATACCTGTATACTATATACCCCACATTTGCCTTTCGAGTAGAGAAAGTAGCGATACGACATTGCCTTCTAGTAAAATAGATTGAAATAGACTACTTTGAGATGATTCCTTATACTAAACATCATTCAAATGACAAAGTTGAAGTTATCCAGAATCTATGGCCGTTTCAACCATGGAATATTCCCTGCCACACACCCTTTGCCTGGGTTCCAAAAGATCTCGGCCGCGCGAATGCCACTGGCTCTGTAAATCGCCATCAGTGGCCTGGATGGGCCATGGCCAACTGGGTCGATGAAACCGTTTCATGGAGTGCATTTCCCCCCTCTTTGTTTCTCTTTTTCCCCCATGTTCGTTACCCTCTGGCAAACATAGCTATTGAAAATGGTGATTTATAGTGGATTTACTTACCCATTAAAAATGGTGATTTTCCATAGTTATGTTAGTTTACCAGAGGGTAGTCATACATCCTTGTATGGCTTCACCCTTGATCACTAAGAAACCACAAGTGGTGCCGTCGAACATCATCTTTGCACGAGGCGACCTCAAACTGGTCTGTGTCTTACAACTACCAATCTCCTTTGGAGTTTCATGGATTTTCGATATTATACCAATATGGTTTCTATCTCCACGTTTATTGTTTTTTCAAAAAATCACCCCCTTCAACCAACCCAACTGCCGCCTTCGACACATCGCCCTCCGCCGTTTCGGAAGATGCAAAGGGAACCTCATGCCAGAAACACAACGGGTTGTATAAGAACCACCATTAAACCCTGAAAATCTGAGGAGTTACAGTACATCTGAGCCCTTACTTGTAGGATCTTGTAAGCGTTATATAAGTTAAACCTCTGGTTTTTCAATGAAACAGTATGTCAAGGACAACATCCAGACCCGTTGTTCAACCATCAAATTTGGAGGTTTCAGGGAAATGGTCTCAACTAATTCATAGGGTCTGTCCCTCCACAAATCCCTTTCCACCCCTTTGTCTGGATGCCCCAAGTCCTTTCGGGGAACAGTCTTCTTCTTGGGCGTGCCTTTGATTCATATCTGCATTGCTACAAGAACAAGAGGCCAACCATAGCCCATCCATTCATGGCATACTTACCTGCATTATATGAAAACACATATTTTGACATTCGGGCAAATCACCAGGATTCAAACCATCAAACTAGAAATGAGTCTCTTCCCACTCTTGGAGATGATGTCAGCTACCCATCCTTTCTGCCTTTCGGTCGCTGATGGTTTATCATCATATCCCCTATTCAACTGGTCATAGATTGAGGTAATCATCCCACATGCTTGGATCCACAGGTCCACATATATATGTCTGAGAAGGTACTTAAGCCTCCAAATTATAGTAAATGATACCCCAAACACTTCCTAAGAAGGTACTTGGATATATAGATTATATAGTATAGTCGTTGATATATCACCATGGTATCCACATTATGGCTGCTGACCCCCATATTGTTGACTGATGTCTCCGAGTAACGTGTGTTTCACAAAACTGTCAGTTGAAATCCTATAATATATCCATATATTATCCCTTGGATCAATATTAATATGGATTAACTATATCCTATTGATCCCAATATCCTCAAGTGATTCATCGATGGTTGCGCCAAGACACTCTGCCAAGAGCCAAGTTCGTTACCTGCCCGTCGACGAACGCAGCAAGGGCCAGCAACCGCACGTGACCGGCCATGATGGGCCGCGGCGTTTTTTGAACGCGCGATCGGAAATGGATTCGGATGGTTGCGCAGGTACTGGAATCTGACATCACTGTATGGGAACCGAGAAAAACATAGGAAAAGTTCAATCATACGGAATTTCGGGGTTACTGTCATGGAAGATCAGCATTTGGAATAGGAAATTCATCTGCAAGCAGGCCTTGCCACACTTGTTTTGGAATTCCGGGAAAAAACAGCAACTTCGCATCTTGCCATAATCTAAGTTGTTTTGAATCCAATTTATCAATTTGCAACAATTTTGTCATATTCTGCAGTTAAAGGCCTTTACCAGTCATCTGAGATGGCGTTATCATTCCAATTCATGGGGTGATCATTACTGTAAGTCACATCCACAACTGATATTTCGGGCCATAATCGGTATTACGTCCCTGGGAGCCAAAGGCTATCCTGGAAGTGTCAGGTGCCCGTGTCTGAAAATGGGCTACAGACAGACCCACAGTTTCGGCCATTTTAATTAGTAGGGAAGATGAGGTTCAAAGTTCTGAACCACTAGCTTTCAGGGTAGCCTATTCAGATAAAGCCATGTTGATTCAGTTTGGATATCACATGTCAAGATTGCAATTCATCTCTGCTTGTTCCACACAAACATGGCATAGCCTCATGCAGGTAAACATCAGAACGCCATGAACACAAATCCTAAGCAGTCTGCATGGAAATGTGCCACATATCAATGCAAATCCATAGTTAGATTGGACAATGACCATAAACATACAAATAAAAAGTGTTACACCCTGAAAAATGCATGTCGCAGAGCCAAACTACAAACAAAAACAACAACTCAAACAAAACACCCAAAAAAACACATGAAAGCATGATCCACGTGAACAAATCATATGAAATCCACATGAAAAAATATATGAAATCCAACAGTGGAATCCCTGAAATCGTTTCCAGCCCAAATCCTCGGCTTCCGCACAATGCCCAGCTGCCTGGAGTCTTTTGAGGGAACTGTTTCGGCAACGATTTTCATCCAGGTTTCATTTAGGGGGAAAGTAGCATTTCGTTGGGGGAAAAGATGGGAAAACATATGGGGAACAATTGAAAATTGGATTTTTATAGGGTTTTGTATGGTTTTATCAGATTGTTTCTGCGTTCCAAAGCCATTTCTGATTGCAAACGCCACTTATGATCAGGGCAATTTGGACATTTGCTGCTCAATCGAGGATTAAGAAGGTCCCTCCACACATGATAAACAAAACCCTTCATTCCAACTGCGAGACTTATCGAGACATGACTGATGCTTTGCAAACAAACATCTACAGCAAAACATCACCGCTCAAAGCCATGTAGATACACGCTTGTATGTATGTATACAACTATATACATGTGTAATCATACAGGTCCTATATCCTTTTTACTGTGAATTTACATGTAATATATATATAGGTATGGTTCAATGCGTAGATACATCTATTTGCGGCGCACATTCTGTATTTCGACCTACAGTTATGGCCCGAAATACACGTTCTAAGTCAGTCACCCCATAGAAATGGAACATTTTTTCCATGTAAAACCATCAAACATCACTACATCACCATGGTAGAACTGGTATATCAAGGGCCTAAAATAACTCTCACAGAAAAAAAAACCGGCAAGTCGTTCTCAGACTCCGACCGCTGGTTGCTCTCTCGCTGGGCACCTATTTCAGGGACCCAGTGGACCGCAGGTTGAGCATTCATAATGAATAGAGCTGCTTGGAAGTGCAGTTCAAGTTATATATAAGATTGTTATAAGTGGATATATGTATCCCAATAAATCACTATGGTTATATGATAAACTATAGTTATAGGGATTATAGGTATGGATATATATATATCAATAAATAACCATAGTTATAGGGGTTTTATTATGTTATATCCCAACATCTCCCGACTTTTGGGAGTACACCATAGTTATATCAACCCGGCACAGCCAGGGGAGCAATTAGAGTGATTCATTCAATTCTACCCTCTGGTAAACTAACGTAACTATGGAAAATCACCGTTTTAATTGGGTAAATCCCCTATTTCAATGGCCACGTTCAATAGCTATGTTAGATTACCAGAGGGTAGTATTGATATTCAGGATATATGTCATATATGTTAATTTAGGATTTTTGTGAAAGTTAAATACTACTGTTTGACAGTAAATGGCTACAGAGGTAAATGCTGAGTGAACGCCATGTATGTGGGAAAATTAATATGGGATTCCTACTGCCACCAACCAGCCCCAATTCTTAACACTAGGGTGCCATTACACTAATCCCAAGCAGGAGTATAGACAAAATGGGGGATGGTATGTAGTTATTATGTTGGATCCCTCCTTATGCATGGTATCTTTACCGAATCTTTGATATATGGTGAATCATCTGTTTTTGGTGTTTGATCATTCTGAACCTTACCATCTGTAGCCTTGAAAAAACGTAGAACACACTTGACAACTTGGGATCAAATACTGACTTCTATGGCTATATACAGGGGCTGGGCTGGGTATGTACTCATTTGTATAGACACACATAATGATACAAAATAACTATCCTCCTGGAAACATGTTTGCGGATTTGAGTGGCACGATGCAGCTGTAACACGATGAACCTCGGCTCGCGTACATCCTACTGGGCCCGTTCTAAATGCTCCACTATCCCCTTTGCTGGCTCTGCAAAAGTTGGAAGATTTCCAACCTTCACCTCCTTAGTTCATCCACCAAAACACGGGACGGTCGACCTCTTAATACCTCTTATGAATCGCACCAAGTCCGCGGATCAGCAATCCACCACCAATCCTACTATACCTGTGTGTTGAAGTTGCAATCATATGATGTGTTGAACTCCCTTGCCTGAGTCAGAAAATGTCAGAAATCAGCGTCAAAGGCACAGAAGCCCGACCATATACAGTACGTTGGATTGTTTCATCAAACAAAAAGAGTCAATTCTGGAATACAATCCCTTGCTGATACTTCCCTATATTTGATGGCTCTGACCCCGTACAATCCCCAAAATTTGATAGTTTTTCAACCCATGGAACTCTCCAGCCGTTGGGAAACCCCGGAAACCACCCGAGCGCTTCGTCCACCTTTTGGCAACGTCCAAAGGTTTGCAACTCAACACCACCGTCCATGGCTTTACCCAGGGCCTGGCAAACGATTGAGCTGGGAATGAGAACAAAATCTTTGACCGATGACAAACAAATGGTGGTGTTTACCATATGATACACTAACATAGCGACATAGCTATAGACAATCATTGTTTTTTCATTGGTATTTCATCTATGAATGGGCCATGTTCCATACCTAGGCCTAGGCTTCAATCATCTCGTAGGTGGGTATGTTTGAACATGTGTTATCCCACCACATCGACATCATTATTTGAACATGATGATCAATAACGTAGTTGCTATTTAACCTACTGCAAACATATGTAAACCGTAAACTGTAAGCCCCATATATACATATATATGTATATACACATCATAGTCATTCATAATCCAACGTATAGTACAAACGATCATCACACAATGTATTTCACAAGTTCATCGTAAATATTAGCGCCTTTCCTCAACTGCTCGCTGGTGAAAACAAGGTTTGTCTGAGAATCAAGATTTACCACCAAACTTGACCACTAAAAATCATCTATACAAATAAAGAAACAAACGATGATCAATTCCATGGAATGGAATGAAATATACACTGTCTTAGTCTTCAGACAAACCTATGTAAATTGTTGATCAATCTATTCATCCAAAGTTCAGTACTCACTGAGTTTGGAATTTCATCCACTTTTGATCATCTGTGGTGTTTACACATTCAACAAAATATATGAAGAAATCATTGAATCATCTGTGATTTGTTGATCATCTTCAATGTTGAATCACGGAAATAAGTTGATGATCTACATTGATCTGCCATGGTCCACCAGGTATTGAACTACATTAAACCAGAATTTCTCTACCAGCTATTAAATCACATGTCTGTAATTTACATTCATGTTGATGTTTAGTGATCTTTACCCTCTGGTAATTTGTTACATAGCTCATAGAAATAGTTGATTTACCTACTAAAGACGGTGATTTTCCATAGCCAACTGTTAGTTTACCAGAGGGTAAGTGGCTTATGACCTTATTTAAGTGATATATATATATATAATACACATAACATTATATTAATTACTTACAAGAGTCATAATCTCATTTAAAACTCTTTTTTGGCCCAAAACCACCAGCCTGAGCGTTTTATTTTCATGACAACGCTACAATGTGAGGCCCCCCAGTTATAAGTTGGTTTAGATTCGCCCCAGTAACTATAGTTATAAATACCATAAACCATAGTTATTGGAGTTATACACCAACTTAGCTATCTTGGGGGCCTCACATTGTAGGGTAATGATGTTTACATCTCCATCGTAGACACCGAAACGACGTGACACCACCGGTCGGACCACCCCGAACCGCCTCCACCTCGAAGGCTGCCAAGGTCACCATCAACGGAGTCGACGGCGAGGCATCCAAACACACCACCGGAAAGGTGGCCATGGAAAGTTCCTCGGTGAAAGGCGACCTGGCCAAATTTTCGGGTGAAAATCCTGTAAAAAAATCGATAATCCGGTGGTTTTTGTTGAGCTGTTTGAAGATTGAAGAAATTGAATATGTGGATCTAAAGATATCTAAAAGTCAGTGTTTGTTTTTGAAGGATGTTTTTTTCTTTGCTCTCTGCTAAGCAACTGCGCTGGAATTCCTTGGTCAATGCGTCAGGTCCAGCACCTTTCGGGGAATTTCAACCTATACCTAGCCCCTCCAGCCATCAAAATCCATTAAAGGATAGTATTTTTATGTAAATAATTACTGTATATCTATATATCAATATCTATATCTCTATATATATATTCTACTGTATATACATATACCCTATATATTACTGTAGTATATTACCCTATAACTCTACTACTTTAACCTATTTTGATGGCTACTTGGAGGCTCCTCCATCAGATGTCCGTTGCCATGTCCGCCATGCTTCGTAGACGAAGTCCTCCTTCCTTTCTCTGACCTCGGTGGCCCGGTGGCTGCATCCCATATGGGTCAAAAAGCCCCAATGATACGTGGCATACCACTTTTGGGATGAAATAGGGATTACATATCATGTGTATATGGATATATATATATATATATATGAGGAGGAGGAGGAGGAGGAGGAGGATGATGATGATGATGATGATGATGATGATATGTTATTATAACTTGGACATATATCATTATATATGGATAAACCTCTGATCCTAAGTTGGATGCACATCCAAGTATTCCATACTGTTACTCTCGATAACTATCTTTGACTGGGGAAACCCTTCAGAAGTATCCATAATATTCCATAGCTATCGATAACTATGTATCCATGACCAGCAACTGGGGAAAAATCAGTGCGAAAGGTGACACTTCAAAGCCTCCCTGTCACTAGCCTGGAAACTGTTTTACCACACATGGATCTGGCAATTCATCATGTTTGTCCAATCCGCAAAACAAAAATCTGATATTTGTGTTGTATGCAAATATATAAATATATATACACATGCATACATCAGTGACCCACCCTATCTTGAAATGTAACCATTTGTTTGCTTTTTTGTTCTAGCAAAAACACAAGGAACAGCCACACTTACTCTGGGGTAAACTAACATAGTTGAAAATCAACCATCTCAATAGGTAATTCATCGGTTTTCATGGGCCATGTTCATCCATTTAAACTAACAGTTTGCTTTTAAACATGGCACATTTATAGTTGATTTACCCATCAACAATGACTATTTTCCACATCTACGTTAGTTTACCTCAGGGTAATACGTTACGCGGGGCTCCAGTCGGAGCTCCGGAGCGCTGTGACGACCCAAAACTCCGAGCTCGATGCCAGAGGTGCGAATTCCACTTCCAGGGTGACCTCCTCCATGACCTGTGGGGAAATCTGTAAAACATGTAGCTGTAGATAAACATAGACAAACATTGGGGATTTCATGTAATTTGATGGAATTTAATGGGAATATGATGGATAGTTAGTACCCACCATAGTTAAGAAAATATCTCAAAATATGAGGCTGGTTGGTGGTTGAGCCCTACCCCTCTGAAAAATAATGGAGTTCGTCAGTTGGGATGATGAAATTCCCAATATATGGAAAGTCATAAAATTCATGTTCCAAACCACCAATCAGATACACATAGACAAACATTGGGGATTTAATGTAATTTAATGGGAATGTTTGATGGATATGATTATGATGAATATATGATAGCCTCTGGTAATGACTGTTACGTAGCTATTGAACATGGCCCAGTCGAAATAGTTGATTTACCCATTCAACATGGTGATGTTCCATGATTTTGCATAGTTATGTTAACATTTACCACAGGGTAGCCGTAGATATATGCATGATTGCTGGTTGGTGGCTTTAACCATGTTGAAAAATATGAGTTCGTCAATGGGAATGATTATCCCATATAGAAAATGGAAAATAAAACTCATGTTCCAAACCACCAACCAGATTGTGTATGTATCCCGTCAGTATGTGCGTAGTGTATACGTGTACAACTTCATTTAGGTGTGCGGGGGTGTGGCGGGGGCGGGTCGGGGCTGGGCTGCTGTTCGTCTGCTTGCTGTGTCGCGCAGCGCCACCTTTGCATTGGCTGCCCCTGACGCGTAGCATGCATTGGTGGCGAACCACGTTTGCCGTCCCCGCAGCGGTTGGTTGGTTGGCTGGCTGTTTGGTTGGTTGGCTGGCTGGCTGGTTCATAGATAATATATACATAGTAGTATTTAACATATATAAACATATATAAACATTGTATACCAACCATCGATATTATGATACATGCATTACATGCATCTCGCGGGCTTATCATTTTTCCATTGTCATTTTGTGTCCGATTGTCGATGTTTTTTATCTATGCGGTTTCAGCGGTGCCAAGACGAAGCCCGACCTTTTCACAACACCCAGACATATGGAAGGCTGGCTCAATGGAAGGTTCACGAAGGTTCCAAGAAATGTTGAAACTTAAAATTTCCTGCTATTCATGAACAAGACTGAAGGGATACTTTGAGCATTGTGTTTAAGCGTGCCGGTTAAGCAGTAATTTGAAACACCTTCATCTCCGAAATGCCGTTGGAGAGGCTAGCAACTATGAGCATCTTCAAGAAACACAAAACAATGGCATTTCGATCAAGTATGTATGGGACGTTTATAGTTTATAGGACTACCGTAATTTCATGTTATCCAGACAACATCTCTCAAGTAGATTTTATCATCAACAGCAAGGAAGAAGCATTGAGTATCAAGAAACAAGACAGAAGTACTGAAAAATATGTCCGCAAGATACTTGAAGACCTCAGTTTCTCTTGGCCCCTTTTTTCCCTACAACTGACTAGCATCTCAAGTCGGCATTCCGTCACCTGCACAGCTTCTCTGAGACAAGCCAGCAGCACCTAGCATTGCATGCCGGTCTGAAATTGGGGGATGAGCCCCACATTCTGGCACTTTTCATGAGAATCATGCACTTTTCTTTGGGCGAAAAAAACGTGCCCCATTTTTGGGACAAAAATCCATACTCCTAGGTCCATCCCATCTGGTCCTGGCTGTGGTTGAACCATGGAAATGGATTGGTATGACGTCTAGACCCTAGAAATCGGAAAGCTCTATAACCCATAGCATCCATGTATGCTATATATGGTAACATTTACCATCCATATACCCCAAATGTTAGCATATATACCAGCACCATGGATCCTATGGGTAAGATTCTATAAGCTATTTAGTAAAGCAAGGTAATAAACCACGGACATATTTTGTATTGATGGTTGAAATCCCACCCATGAAAATCCGGTAAATCGTACAGTAAATCTGGGAATGGTGGATCCTGTTGCTTTACTAACATTAGCTTCTGTCATAACCACACCATACCTGCTATATAACCGGCCTTGGACCTTTTTTCGAAGCGTTGTTCCCAGACCTTCTCCATGTCCTCACAACGTGTTGTGTTACGTGACGTGTTTCGCGAGTTCGAAGTCTAGAAGTTGGCGGCCGCTGGCCTATCCCTTTTTTACTGTCCATTATTGCAGATTCATATAATCATGGACAATAAAAAAGGGATAGGCCTATCCTTTTATAATCATGTATGATTGGGAATTTTCATGGACTAGCTGCACATCGATCTAGACAGCTTGGAATATGTAGCCATATGAAGCTATAGTAACCCCCCCCAAAAAAAGACAAGTAAATCTTCACTATTCTATACATAATATGTGTTCTATTGTCACATACTCATTCTATCACTAGCTGATTCTCTTTTGTGAACTTTCCAAATGCAAAACAAAAAAAAGGGAACGCACTCAGAATTCAAACACCTCAAGTACCTTGATCCTCAGTGGAATCTTTAATTTATATTAGGGGTTCTTGAAATGGTGGATCCCCAAGTCACCATGGGTTCAATACTAAAATGGTCTAATTTTTGGATGATTTGGGGGTACACCCCATTTTAGGAAACCTCCATATTATAGGAAAAAACATATTAAACTTATGAGTGACTACCAATTTCTATGGCTCTGGGTCAAACTTTCTATAACCTCAGCAGATGTCTTCATGGAAGTATTGATACCTGCCTTCTCACCAGTCATGAGGTATTTGTGTTGTCTGGGTATCGAATCTTGCAAAATCTTTGGCTGATAACCTGTAAACATACGTTGATATACGTTGGTTTCTGGCTGGGTATCCCATTCAAACCATTCACGATTTATATGATTTCTCAGGGCCGTTTTTTTCCAAGTTGACAACTGACCCAAACCATTTCTACACTCTTAGAGCTACAATGAACCCTTGCAGCTTGACCAACAAGACCTTCATCTTCTTCGCAGCTTCGGTTTCTTTCGCCTCCAGTTCTTTGCAAAAAGAAACTGCCAGTTCTACTGCAAAAACCCTGGATTTCGAAACCCTGGGCTTGCAACATCAATTTGCGGCTACAAACTCTCTAAGATGCTTGATAACTCCAATTTCAGGTTTATGGTAGATATATCTATATTGATGGGGATTATCAATCAACAACATCGCTGGGGCGACCACCCTTCACGAAGTTATTGCTGCAGCTCATGGATCCAACTTCTGTCCAGATGGGAACATATTTACCCTCTGGTAAACGTGGCTAGCTGGGAAATCCCTAGAAAAAATGAAGTTTTGATGGGGAAATCGGTACATCATATATATATATATATAAATGATTATGAATGGTTGATTTCCACTGCCACCTTCGATTACCAAACGGCTACGGCAAAAAGTTACCAAACAACCATGGAATGAAAGGAACACATCCGCTGGGACATCCCCAGATGCTGCACACATCAACCTATGGAATTACGTTTCATGTTCCAAACCGAGGATCCAAAATTACCGTGTCAATGGGAAACAATGGATTTTCTAGAAAACCATTAAACACAAACCATAAAAATTCCATTACATCTGGGTCAATTATCATATTTCACTAACGTAAAAAGGGGATGATTTCCCTCCAAAACCCAATGGTTCCATTTCAATGGGATTCATGCAGTTCCAAACGTCCTCCATCGTCCATCGCCTGCATTGCAGTGTCCAGTTCCAAACGATGTGCTTCTCTCAGTGCCTGCAGGGGACCACAGGGTGCGGGCCCCACTTTGTAATTGGCAGCCCCAGTATATAGGGAATATATCCACTTATAGTATAAAATTATGGCTTATATATGGCTTATGAGTTTATAAACAAAGGATATCTATGTATATATATATATATATAAAATATAATATATAATATGTGTGTGTGTGTCAGATGCACATCCAAGTACAGGAACCCATGTGGCATCTTGTGGCCCAATATCTGGGAAAAACGGCCTGAAGCTCGCGTTCATGGTGCACTTCCCTTTCCTGCCAGAAATCCGTGACATATCGCCAGGAACATCGGCCCATCAATGGCCATGACTCAGGAACCGATTGATTGGAGGTACCAATCCCATATATAGGACCTAAAAATGATGGCCTATGTAGGGGAATATCCATTTTAGGATCCTGGAGATTTCCCATTGATCTTATATCTCAGAATATCTTACATACAAGTATAGCGTAATTTAGAAGATCTGGAACTATTTGAGCTAGTTTCACCATCCCTTTCCCCTTAAAATCTAAATTAATATCACAAAATCACCCTTACTTTAAACAAACATGTGTTAGGACTGGATCTACGAATTGGGGGTCAGATCTTGTCGCTGAGTAGCTTGATCAGGAATATATAGCGCACACTTTAATGAATTCATTAAGGAATATACCATGTAATAATTGACTAATCAATAATTAATGATCATCCATTTATTGATTGAAGGGCAGTAAGCGCATTTACTAGTAATAGTGGCACCCACCGTTGATATTCAGCACAGCACCGCGCCAATGTTTGGAAACTTGTCTTCACTCGAAGCTGATCTCGCGGTGCAACTTGAATTGGTGCAACAAATTGAAGGGCGCACGGGCGCTTGAGCATGAATTGTGCAAAGTTAATAGCAGGTGCATCCAGATTTGATGTTCTTTGCCACACAGTAATATAAAACTTTCTGCTAATCCATACTTCATTGAATGTGAACAGAAAATGATAGAACATTGATTGACGGACACTGCCTGTTGTAGGTGCAGTCTCATGACGTGGAAGCACCTAACATGAATGTGAACATACAGCAAATCTTGACTGGTTCAAGAGACAGTCAATTTGAGCATTTTGAAAAGCAACTGAAAAAAGTGTCTCCTTCCATATTCCAGATATCCTTGCCCAGCCATAGTTATGCAACCTTTATGGGACTTTGGGACCTCTTCAACTTCACCTAGCGGACGTCGCTCGCTTTCCGCGAGCATCGCTAGCATCGCATCGCTCAGCAGCTTTTGGGGCTCGATGGATCTGTCCAACAGCTCCCCAAATAACCCGCGTCCAACGCCTTGATCCGGTAAAAATAGAAGAAGCTGGTTGAAAGGAAGGCGGCTTGGGAAATCAATATCAGTGTGTTTATACATATCACATATCAATACATATCCTACTCCTTTTTTGGAGGGTTGAAGTGATGTCTAGTGTATCTCCCTTCAGTATCTTGGGAAATGAACTCACCATTTGGGCTGGCGATGCAAAAACCTTCACCAATTTCCAGCCTCAGGGTTCAATCTTTCGTGGGGTAAACTGGTATTTCTTGTTGGATATGATATACTGATAGACCTCTGATTGGTGGTATACCTACCCCTCTGAAAAAATATGAAAGTCAGTTGGGATGATTATTCCCAATATATAGAAAAATAAAATTCATGTTCCAAAAACCAACCAGACCATTTGGAAATAATGACCTATAGCCGCAAATATGGCAACGGCCAATCTTTGAAGGGAAACTCAGGGATGCCACTGATGCCACGGTGAAAACATTGTGTTTGTTTGTGCATTGACGTCATCCCAGACCAGGAATCCTTTCATTAAAATTTGTTTGCTCCCTATTTTTTCCTGCTGGTTGGTGGTTATACCTACCCCTCTGAAAAATATGAAAGTCACTGGGAAGGTTGACATCCCATATATTATGGAAAATAAAACATGTTCCAAACCACCAGCCAGTCTGGATTGATGACCATCCACATGGATTTTCATCCAAACACAACCATTGTTTTCCACATGGACCCCTTCGGAACATCTCAGCCGCCCATCCGCAGCTGCACCAGGTAGCGTGGATCAGAGCATCCATGGCGCTCTGGGAGAGAGTGATGTCCAAGCGCTTCAAGCCCTGGGCGACATCTTTCCTGGGCGAAAGAGGGAACTGGATAGATAAAGAGCTACAATCTACTGGTTGGTGGTTTCAACCTACCATTGTGGCTAATATACTGTTAATATATGGTCAATATATATGAATATGATGATGGTTAATGATGGTTAATAGTAATCTCGTTGGTGGTATACCTATACCCTACCCCTCTGAAAAATGATGGACTTCGTCAGTTGGGACTATGAAATTCCCAATATCTATATATGGAAAGTCATTCAAAATTCCATGGTTCCAGTCGCCACCAAGCAGTAGTTGTTTTTTTCCACCAACCAGTAGTGGCGATGATTATGATATACAAATATTTCTTGATATTCAAATCAAACATGATGAAAAACCACGTTTTTTTACACGAGCTACTCTCCATTCTCTCCACCTCTTCATGATGTCTCCATTGTCCCACGAAAAACCCGCGCCGCGTCTCTGCTGAATGGCACCTTTACGTTGCAAGACCTGAAAGAATCCCCAGGAATCGGAGACCTGAGAGCCATCAGGCCATCGCTTCACCGATGGGGATCTTCCAGGGGTTTTGTTCCAGGGATGACCAAAAAAGGGCAGTTGGGATGATAGACTATCTGATAGACACCCTCCAAATATATCACCAAATATATCACCAAATATATCACCAAATATATCACCAAATATATCACCAAATATACCTGGGGTTACACGGTTACTTGCCTTCCTTTCTGAAACAGGGTTTTTCAGGTTTTTTCTTAACCCAGCTGGCTAAACACATTCCTTATTTGGCCTGGTAGCCTAGCTGCTGTAAGGCCAGTTAAAGTTTTAGTCCAGCCAAAAGCATAACATAGCATAACCAAAGATCACCCAAGACTGATCCTCGAGTTTTTGTTGCGTACTGTTCCCAGTTTGATCAGTTGGGCATAAAGGAATCTGATTAGAACCTAGAACCTCTCCAGTTGGTATCCCTACGTTGGTTTACATCCCTCGGTCTTCCGGTGAGTTTTCCAGGGAGTCGAGAGGTGTTTTTGGTTCATAGATTGTCCAATATTTTCCGAGTGTCTGGAATTCATATATACTGTTAATAATGGTTAATTTATGGTTATCATATGGTTAATGATGGTTAATAGTAATCTGGTTGGTGGTATACCTATACCCTACCCCTCTGAAAAATGATGGACTTCGTCAGTTGGGACTATGAAATTCCCAATATCTATATATGGAAAGTCATTCAAAATTCCATGGTTCCAGTCACCACCAACCAGTGATTATCCGCACAACAAGAAACAACTTGTTTCCGGTCATTTCCAACATCAGTCTCCTCAGCTTTACAAACGTATCCACAACTACTATAGATAGATCAACAAACGTGGCGGCCGAAGACTTACTGGTGCGTTTTACGTAGGGTTGCTGGGATGATGACATTACGAATGTGATGACATGGATCGTTCCCGAGAATTCCCTGTGTAAAACGCACCGCACCAGTGGCCGAAGACATCCCAACGAAGAGACCGAGCCGCGTGTTGGCCATAGAGTTTTCGCCCCGAACCGATGCATTGATTGATCTGCAGCAGTACTTTCCTCAGCCATGGGGAATCAGGGCGCAGCGAACTCACTTGTACCATGGAAATCTCCGGGTCTCTGGAAATTTTATGGAAATGGAGTTTATATGGAAAAATATGGAAATTATAATGTACCATTGATATGGAAATGATCATGTACCATATTTATTTCATGGAAATGGGAAAAAAACCTCCGATTTCCTCCAATTATAGCCACTTAATATCATTCAATAGGGAAAATGATGGTTCACCATTGGTTTTACGCTACGCTCTTTTCAAACAGCTCCCATTCAGGGCATCCAAAAATGCCAAGGCGACAAGGCACTTCGCCTCCCGAAGCTGATCGCTGTCACCTCGGAGGTTCAATCATGGTGTTTTTTTCACGGGATTGAACTAAGAAAATATCTCAAAATATGAGGCTGGTTGGTGGTTTTAACCATCTTCAAACACATTAGTCAATGGGAAGGATTATCCCATATATTATGGAAGATAAAAAAATGTTTGAAACCACCAACCAGGAGGTGAACCACGAAAAAATGTGATTTTCCTGGTTGAGTCATGCTAGGTTGGTCAATAGAACTATAGAGGGATCTATCAGATTATATCAGATTCAATATATAGCTAGATGATGCTAGATGGGGGCAACAAAAACAAACTAACATAACGAGGGGCCCCCACTTTGCGGGGATCTGTTCTGTTGGTCTGTCCGTGTGTTGTGCATATAACAACCCCCCAATAAGATCAAGCCGTTGTAGATAATGTTTACAAATATTTACTTCGTATTTTCAGATATCCAACCCCTCTCTCTGTTTTTTTGGGTGCTATATCTCTTTGGGTACTTCTGATGTTCATGACATTCATGATATGTACATGTTCTGCAATTTGCCGGCAAAGCAGGGTGATAAAATATGGTGGAACATATTGTGTATACATCGACTGTGTAGCCCAAAAGGTGTAGAGTCACCGAGTCACCATGGCAAGAGCAACAACAAGACACCTCCTGTAATGAAACATGTTCACGGGAAATTCCCCATTTCTCCGAAGTAAATAGGAGAATCATAGCTTGCTTTTAGTAGGACAATCAATAGATGAGGCTTCTGCAGCCACGTTTGATGACCCCAGGTACAGTCAACCACATCAAATGTACCTGTCTCATTGGTGGTATACCTACCCCTCTGAAACATTTCTGAGTTCGTGAGTTGGGGTTACTATGCCCAAAAAACAAGATGCAGCCCACGAACCCGAATGCTCACACGTATGTTAATGGCGCAGATGTCAAAACACATGGATATGCAATCGCGCAGAACACTTTTCTGCAATAGTTTATTTGAACAGTCTTGTACATATTTCCCCTGTTACCAGTCTGCAGTGTGGAGTGTGGAGTGTAGCGTGTGGAGTGTAAAGTGTAGAGTGTGGAGTGTAAAGTGTGGAGTGTGGAGTGTAAAGTGTAGAGTGCGGGGAGTGTGGGGTGGAAAGTGTAGAGTGTGGAGTGTGGAGTGTGGAGTGTAAAGTGAGGAGTGCGGAGTGTAAAGTGTGGAGTGTGGAGTGAGGAGTGTAAATTGTAGAGTGTGGGGTGTGGAGCGTAGAGTGTAAAGTGTAGGGTGTAAAGTGTAGAGTGTGGAGTGTAAAGTGTAGAGTGTGGAGTGTAAAGTGTGGAGTGTGGAGTGTAAAGTGTAGAGTGTGGAGTGTGGGGTGGAAAGTGTAGAGAGGGAGTGTGGAGTGTAAAGTGAGGAGTGCGGAGTGTAAAGTGTGGAGTGTGGAGTGTAAAGTGTAGAGTGTGGAGTGTGGAGTGTAAAGTGTGGAGTGTGGAGTGTAAATTGTAGAGTGTGGAGTGTGGGGTGGAAAGTGTAGTGTGGAGTGTGGAGTGTGGAGTGTAAAGTGAGGAGTGCGGAGTGTAAAGTGAGGAGTGCGGAGTGTAAGTGTGGAGTGCGGAGTGTAAAGTGTAGAGTGTGGAGTGTGGAGTGTAAAGTGAGGAGTGTGGAGTGTGGAGTGTAAAGTGTAGAGTGTGGAGTGTGGGGTGGAAAGTGTAGAGTGTGGAGTGTGGAGTGTGGAGTGTAAAGTCAGGAGTGCGGAGTGTAAAGTGTAAAGTGTGGAGTGTAAAGTGTGGAGTGCGGAGTGTAAAGTGTAGAGTGTGGAGTGTGGAGTGTAAAGTGAGGAGTGTGGAGTGTGGAGTGCAAAGTGTAGAGTGAGGAGTCTGGAGTGTGTAAAGTGTAAAGTGTGGAATGTAGAGTGTAAAGTGTAGAGTGTAAAGTGTAGAGTGTGGAGTGTAAAGTGTGGAGTGTGGAGTGTATAGTGTAGTGTGGAGTGTGGAGTCAGGAGTCTAAAGTGTAAATTGTGGAGTGTGGAATGTGGAGTGTAAAGTGTGGAGTGTGGAGTGTGGAGTGTGGAGTGTGGAGTGTGGAGCGGAGTGTAAAGTGAGAAGTGTGGAGTGTGGAGTGTAAAGTGAGGAGTGTGGCGTGTAAAGTGAGGAGTGTGGAGTGTAAAGTGTAATGTGTGGAGTGAAGAGTGTAAAGTGCAAAGTCTGGAGTGTAAAATGTCAAGGCTGGAGTGGGGAGTGTAGTGTGTAAAGTGTAGAGTGTAAAGTGTAGAGTGGGGAGTGTGGAGTGCAAAGTGTGGAGTATAAAGTCTCGAGTGAGGAGTGAGGAGTGTAAAGTGCAAAGTGTAAAGTGTGGAGTGTAAAGTGTAAAGTGTGGAGTCTAAAGTGTAGATTGTGGAATGTGGAGTGTAAAGTGTAGAGTGTGGAGTGCGGAGCTTCCCCCATAGACACGGCGAAGCCACAGGAAAACGAGAGACTCAAGACGAGACACGTGGGTGCAGGAAAAACGAGCATTTCGTGCGAGACTTCCTCCAAGTTTGACATTTTCGACACGTTAGCAAACAGGTTGGAATGTCACAAAGTGCCACGCCTGCCACGCAAAACGACGTGACAACCTGCTTGGAAACCTTCGAAAAGGAGAAGTTTTGCAGCTTCCCCCATAGACACGGCGAAGCCACAGGAAAACCAGAGACTCGAGACGAGACACGTGGGCGCAGGAAAAACGAGCATTTCGTGCGAGACTTCCTCCAAGTTTGACATTTTCGACACGTTAGCAAACAGGTTGGAATGTCACAAAGTGCCACGCCTGCCACGCAAAACGACATGACAACCTGCTTGGAAACCTTCGAAAAGGAGAGGTTTTGCAGCTTCCCCCATAGACACGGCGACGCCACAGGAAAACCAGAGACTCGAGACAAGACACGTAGGAACATCAAAACCAGCATTTCGTGCGAGACTTCCTCCAATGTTCACAGTTTGAAACATGCCGAAAGGACATGTTTTGCAGCTTCCCCCATAGACACGGCGACGCCACTAGAAAACCAGAGACTCGAGAAGAGACAGGTGGGAGCACCAAAACAAGCATTTCGTGCGAGATTTCCTCCAAGTTTGACATTTTCGACACGTTAGCAAACAGGTTGGAATGTCACAAAGTGCCACGCCTGCCACGCAAAACGACGTGACAACCTGCTTGGAAACCTTCGAAAAGGAGAAGTTTTGCAGCTTCCCCCATAGACACGGCGAAGCCACAGGAAAACCAGAGACTCGAGACGAGACACGTGGGCGCAGGAAAAACGAGCATTTCGTGCGAGACTTCCTCCAAGTTTGACATTTTCGACACGTTAGCAAACAGGTTGGAATGTCACAAAGTGCCACGCCTGCCACGCAAAACGACATGACAACCTGCTTGGAAACCTTCGAAAAGGAGAGGTTTTGCAGCTTCCCCCATAGACACGGCGACGCCACAGGAAAACCAGAGACTCGAGACAAGACACGTAGGAACATCAAAACCAGCATTTCGTGCGAGACTTCCTCCAATGTTCACAGTTTGAAACATGCCGAAAGGACATGTTTTGCAGCTTCCCCCATAGACACGGCGACGCCACTAGAAAACCAGAGACTCGAGAAGAGACAGGTGGGAGCACCAAAACAAGCATTTCGTGCGAGATTTCCTCCGATTTTCACACTTTGCAGCTTCAAACTCGACGTTTTCCTACGAGTTTTCCTTAGAACCTGAAAATTTGCAACCTCAAAATCGATGTTTCGTGCGAGGCTTCCGTCAATTTTCAACACATGTCAGAAAATGCCACGCCTGCCACGGAATTTGCACTTTGTCACCACTTGACGCAGCCCTGCCAATGCGATTGGCAAAAAACACGCAACACGACACGTCTAAAGTGCTGCGCCTGCCACGAAAAATGACGATGGACACGTCCAAAGTGCTGCGCCTGCCACGAAAACTGCAACACATCTTCTGAAAACGTCACAAAAGTATTGCGCCTGCCACGCAAAACGATTTTCCACACGTTGCAAAACACGTCTGAATGTCACAAAGTGCCACGCCTGCCACGCGAAACGAAGCAACGACACGTCTGAAACCTCCAAAAAGGACCCCTCCTGCAGAACTTCCCATAGGCACGGCCATATGGTCCTCGCACGGACGGTTGCGGACGGTTGCGCTCGCGAACGCAACGTCGAGCGAACACACCGTCAACCCCCAGACCCCCAGAGTGAAACGGAAACCCTTGCTACGCATTCGGGAAAATGGACACCAAGCAGCTGTATTCGCCTGTAGCCGATGTTAAGTGGATCCTGGATCCATTTGATCATAGTCTAAGGGCCCCATATATGAGGCTTAACATATGCTAGTAAGTGTTATAAACTATGCTGAAATATCTTAAAATCAGGTTAATCCGTGAAAAAACCACCCAAATCCTTCACCCAATCCCACCATTCCCAAAAGGTAATCAGAGCCCATCAGATCCGCCCAGTCACAATTCTGAGCACTGGCCATGTTCTCCTGATCCTCCAGGAACAAAGCACTTGCACTGGCCACGACCTGGCTCACGGCGCATCAAGCCAGGTGGACGTCACGTCGGATGGATGGAGGGCAATAGATGAAGAAATCGATGACACTTAAATGGAGAAGCATTTTTTTGGATGATGTTACAGAAGCTTCAGAGTTGAGGCTATGATTCCGGAGGATCAGCCTGATTTTTTGGTACAGAGTTCTGGTGAACTTGACTGGTGAAAACCATAGCCTGCAGGGGCCTGTAGAAACTAAATGTGTAGCCCAAATGTAGCCCTGCCACTTGCTGCGTGTTTTATTGTGCGGTGAATCGTTTTTTCGGTCGGCAAAAAGATGCAAATAGATCAACACGAGCCAGGACTCAAACTCTTTCTCTAGAGTCTCTAGCCTGGATTCAGCTGTGACAGTCACTGGGTCAACTTTTTTAATCACTAAACGGAGGATTCCAATCTCGAGTTTCAATGAAACATATTCCCATGCTATTCCCTAACCACTCTTGAAATATTCAGGAGTAACATCTTACAAAACAAATGAAACATAGAGTTAGACTATCATGTGCGAAAAGGAAATCTTGGGAAATTCAATTCGTAGCTAACTGGCTTCCCAAAGCTATACCATAGATGGACGAATTATTCAAGCCTTTTCCATCTAGTCCAACCCCCTCGCCCCCAAAGTTCAATGTTAATGTGAACTGAGGTGCCTTAGCTCCAATGGACGAAATAATCAAACCCCCAAAGTCACTTTTGCTGACACTCGCATTGAAACATTGAGATTTGGGGGTCGGGGCTTCAACACAGAGCCAGTTGCAGGGTTTGAATATTTTGTCCATCTACAGTACAATGTGAGGCCCCCGTTCGATAGCTAAGTTGGTGAACATAACTCCAATAACTATGGTCTATGGTACGCAAATAACTATAGTTACTGGGGCGAATCTAAACCAACTTAGCTATCCAACGGGGGCCTAACATTGTGAATTTAAAGATAGCCCTAGCTCCCTTTCACGCCCCCCCCGTTCACCAGATACTTGGAGGATCATCCCAAGTAAGTGGTTAGAACCAGCTAGGATTCGTCAAATCACCATGAACCCATAAAAAAAGAAAAACTAGTACATCCCAATATATTCACATTGTATTTTTTAATGGACCATTCTATTTGATGATATTTGATGGCTAAATATGGCTAAATCTCAATTCTTGATGGTTAAATCACCCTTGAATCACCCTTGAACCACCCAAGTAATAGAACCAACCAAGGTGCCACGGCTTTTTCCTCCATCTCTTCCACTGACTTCGCCGGCGACTGCATGGGCGAGATCTGCTTGCGGGGAATTCGAAGCGCCGGGTGCCGGCCCACTTGCCCTGGCAGTCCACAGTGGATCATGGGAGATACAGTTCTGGTTATGGCCCGAAAATACAAATTTTAAATGGGATGCGTTATAACTCCCGTATCTAAGGTGAAACAAATCTCACTTAAATGGGCTTATAAAGAAGTTCTATATAGCTGTAGAAAATGTATCAGCAGAATGTGACATGGGCCCCAAGTATGATATGGGATATAGATGGGATACACAGGGGATATATATATATATAGTATATAGTTTCTATTTCCCAAGTGAAATTGCTATGAAGAAATTTTGGCAATACATAGGAGATGGGATATAGATTGGAAACAACATGCTCATCCATAGCTATGGAAAATGGATGAACATCGCACTATTAGCTCGATTGTTTACCATTATTACTGGTTGGTGGTTTCACCCCATCTGAAAAATATGATAGATAGTAAGTTGGTATTATGAAATTCCCAATATATGGAAAATAATAAAATTCATGTTCCAAACCGCCAAGCAGATTAAGAATAAGAATGGTGATTTTCTACGGCTATGTTAAATGACCAAAGGTTACCCTTTTGGGATCTACCAATTATACATGTCTGCTTCGTAAGATGTGGGGATTGAACAAGAATAGCAGCGATGGGAATAAAACCAACCATAAGTGAAGTCAACTCCAACAACATGTTGGATTTACCTTCAGTACCTAGAAGAAATGATCCAAAATCACCCAATGGAAGAACACGCATTGGAAAAAGCTTCAGCAACACAAAAACAAGAACACGTGTAAACATGTGTAAACCCTCATATGGTTGCCAGTATCTTTTAAAAAGTCTCATCCCAGTTATAAGTTGGTTTATAAACCCAACTATAGTTGCATCCGCAGGCCCACCAGGTCCCACAGGCCTTCCTTGGACCTGTTTCGCAAGGCTTGGAGCAGCTCAGCAAAGTCCGCGCTGGAACGGTCCACTCCGTCGCCGATGGCCGACTGAACCAACGAGACCTGGTTCTCTCTGGAGTTGTTCAAGGAACATCTACAGGAAAGCATAGTTTTTCCCATGTTTTTCCTGGGAAACATGGAGGAACCCATAGTTTTTCCCATGTTTTTCCTATCAAATATGGGGGGGTTCCTTTAAAATTTCCCTTCAACCAATCCATTGCCATTGACTACATAGATTTTCACCAAAACAGGCCCCAGGTGAGATGCGATGATATGCGATTCGTCGTGGACATAAAGCAACATAGGGTGCTTGGAAATCATATTATTTAAGGTCATGGTGAGATGATTCGAGGGATTGAAGGCTTATGAGTTCATGAAGAATCGTTCAACTTCCACTAATGATCTAACAATAAATATCATCAATGAACTATGTTCACTAATCACTGGCCCTCTCAGGAACCGATTGATTGGAGGTACCTACCACATATAAGGCCTATTTTTTAGGGCTATTTTTCAGGGAATATCCCATTGAACTAATGATATAATAAACAACTGGAGAAGTATCAACTTTGCCATGATCTGTCAGGCCACCAAGTGCCGGAAATCAGCATTCACTCGTTCCAACGCGCACTCCTGCAACCTGTAGACGTAGCAAGGTGGGAAGACCAACAAACTTAGATAGGAAAATGATGATAAACCGGTGGAAAACTAGGAAACATATGGGAACATGATGATAAACTAGTGGGTTTTATTACACACAGATACGGAATGCGGATAGATTGCTAAACTTGGATGTCCTTTGCTGGAAGAAAGAAACAAACTTGTGTGGCTGGGTTTCGCATTTTCCTTTTCATTGACAACACATGCTGCAAAAAAAACGGGCATTAACTAGGTTAATGCGGCATTAACCTTTGCAACCAAGGTTTTCCAGGACACTGGCTGGTGAAGGAACTAATGAAATACATTGCGTGTCTCTCGTGAATAGAGCCACGGACATACTCTTATCCCGTCCCAATATACTGGCTGGTTAATAGATATGCTTTTAACAATGGGTTATACAGTTATATAGTAATCCATGACACCAACAACTTAATAACCCTCTACCATACTCAATCAACCGTCATCTATCAAGTATGTCAAATCATACTATCCATACCTCCATTTGTTCAATTATGAAAACCCCACTCTATCCCAATGTTTTGTGGTTAACCCCTATAACAAGTACGTAGTCAAACTGGGTTTTCAACTAGTCTTTTGGTCAGGGTTTTGAAAATTGCCGGTATACGGTATACCCCGTAACTGATCTTCATTATTTACATGGAATAAACGGCATAATCCCAGTTGCAAACAAACTTACCCTCTGGTTATATTATTACATAACTATGCAAAATGGCCGATAATGATAAACATGATGCAGTTATGAAAGAACATAACTCATGTTAACCTCATGTTATTCTCATTCCATCATACTTAGCCCAGTTATTAGCCACAGTTATGGCCCTTTAAATGCCAGTTACAAGTCAATGATCATCCCATAAATTGCCATAGATCACCCCATCTACCATTAAAATATATATAAATCACCGGTTTCTACAGTTATGGCCCTTTACCAGTTATAAGTACTAACAAAACCCCATTTATAGAATGTATAATCTCATAGAAATAACCAGTTATAACTAATAAATGGCCATAACTGTATGCTTTTAACCCAGTTAACCACCAGAAATCACCACTTTCAGGGCTTTTTCACCGCAACGCTTCACCCCAAAAAGGCGCCTCTTGGACTCGCTGCTGCCGCGCAAATCGAGGCCTCCGTCGTAGCCCAGGGACGCCAAGGCACCGAAGAGGTTGTCGCTTCTCCTTGAAGTGCGACAGGACAACATGGCGGAAAGATAATGGTTGATAATAATGGGATAATAATGGGATAATAATGGTTCATTATCATGGTTAATGATTGTTACAATGTGGTTTATAAGCCCCAGTAACTATGGTTATAAGTACCATAAACCATAGTTGTTGGAGTTATAAACCAACTTAGCTATCTTGGGGGCCTCACATTGTAATGATGGTTAATAATGGTTAATAACGGTTCATAACGATTAATATTGGTAATCATGTTTTGTTTTTTTATAGTAACTGTTAATGAGGGTTAATAATGGGCGATTTAAAACATGCAACATGCTGGCAACATTTTTTTGGTGTTTCAAACAGGGATAGCAATGGTCAAGAATTGCTATTTAAACAGTCATAAGTTATAATGGTTATATACTGTAATGGTTTCTAATAATGGTTGACAATTCTTTTAGTGATCATCATTAAACATGGTTGATATTGGGTGATGATTGTTTCCAATAATGTATACTAATCCTGGTTGATGATGGTTAATAATTGTTATAATAAGAACACAATCAGTAATAGTTGTTGTAATTCATAATCAGCAACCATTGTTCATAATGATCAATAAGTGGTATATTGTAACCCTAATAAATAGAAATGATGGTTAAAGTTATAGTTTATACTTATAATAATAACTAGTCATAACGCTTGAACTGGATCATTTGTAATGATGACTATTAAACAGTGTTGGGAAAAACTCATGTTATATATAATACCTATATACTACCTGGTTTACACCAAAGTACTTTGAAACATTAAATGGTACACCAGCTATGTTGGGACTTTTACATTTTTCTGCTTGATGAAGGCCTAAGTACATGTTATGGTAGAAACATGGTACACGAGTGTGGAACTGACAATGACAATGAAAGGATCACCGAAGAAACAATCATTGGTGTTGGGAAATTGGATGCAACCGACAACGTTCAATGATGATCATGAATAGCCGCCGAAATCAGTTGAGGGCATTTCCGAGCAAAGGCCTGACGCCCGATGAATTACATCATTGATTGATACCGTTGTACCATTCGGCCATTCGGCCATAGTAAAAACTCCATGGCAACAATTCTGTACCCATCTGGGAAAGCAATCAATCCAGATTTGGTATGTCAGTGGATCAAAATACGATGTTGATGCACGCGAAACACTGTTTGCCTGCCAAAAAACGGTCTCATGTCCATTTGTCTGCACACACTTAAATCCAATATAGAAACCAAAAATGGCCATATCCTATACTGGAAATTCATCTTCCAGAACATAATTTTGGGGGTTCCTTCTCGGATTTGTTTTTTGTTGCAGCTGCTTTGCAGCTCACTGGTCGCTATCTTGGATGTCCCAGTGGATAGCATCCGGAAACTCCCTTTTTTGGCCCTTGTCCCGGAAACCTCTGCTTAAAATCACGATGGTAACAAGGATAGAATTTACATGACATATCCCCAGCTTTATGTAAATCCCGAAATCCTGTTACAACGTCGTCTTGTTGACCAGCCATCACTGGGATGAAGTCAAGCGATACGTTCACCCCAAGACATCCCAAGTATATCAGAATCAACAAGCAACACGTTACCATATTAGTATTGGCCAAGCAAAAACCAATCAACACTAATACCCTCTGGTGAACTAACATAGCAATTGAAAATGGCCATTTATAGTGGATTTTCCCATTAAACATGGTGATTTTCCATTGCTATGTTAGTTCACCAGAGGGTATCTCAAATCATGTCATATCACCATGTTGATGGTGCAAACGCGTAACCATCCATATGTCCAGGGATGCTTTAATATAATCACCTTATGTGTGGATCATGTTGCCTGGCTTTCCTATCGATTTCCCCGAGAGTTTCCCATGGGGTTTATATGATTCTTGTTGTGTCTGAACATGGGATATGGGGGTTTCCTAAGTCATAGGGCTACCCACAACTCATCCATTTCTAGGGATTTTCCCAAAAAAACATCCCTTTAGGACCGAGAGGATATCCCCATGACTTTGGAACCCCCCATGACTACAGTTATGGCCCTTTACCAGTTATAAGTACTTATAACCCCATTTATAGAATGTATAATCCCATAGAAATAACCAGTTATAACTAATAAATGGCCATAACTGTAGGCGTTTACCAACTTAGCGATGTTTCGCTCGCGCTCCAAGGATCCGACTTCCTTCCAACTGATTCAGGCGATGCCGGGCCTTGTTGAGCTCCAAGCGGAGCTGCGAACATTCGTCCTTCAGCTTCACCTCGAGGAGGTAGACAATGAAGGACGGTGCTGATTAAGAATGACTATAATGGGTATTAAAACTTATTAGTAATGGTTGACTAATGGGTAGTAATAATGACTAATGGTTCACTAATGGTTCATTAATAATGACTAATGCGTATTAATAATGACTAATGGGTATTAATAATGATTTATAATGATGGTTGATGGTGATGATTAATGATTAATGATTAATGGTTGATGGTGATTAAAACTGATTATGGTAATGTTGTTGATATTGATTAACTAATGGTTGAGAATGATCATCATCAATAGTGATACTTAATGATTAAAGTTGGTTGATCAGGGTTAGATAAAATGAATTGCAGTAATTATAGTTAATGGCTAATACTTCTGAATCATGACCAATAGTTCGCAGTCGCATCCCACGATCATGTCAAATAGCCCATGCGTGACTGGACGACCCCAAAAATGAATAATAATAACAATAATAATAATAATAAATCTAAAACATGGTTTCAGATTGGGGTGTCGGTATTTTTTTTGAGGAAGGGATTGATTGCATATGCAACTATTTTACGAGGATATCATTGGTAAATCACGGCGATATAGCGCACAGCGATATATATATATATATTCATGCACTAGTATGATACAGGTGTTTCTGGACATGTGGTATACCAAAATTATACCGTACGCCAAAAAAGTGGTATGTTTCTTGTGGTAAGACTGTGTTAATGACCAGTGGATCTGGGGGTGCCGATTCTGTTGCGCAGAAACAGCAGGTTGGTTGATTCAATCAACCGCAAATGTATCATCCAAGCGAGGTTTAGCGTCCCAAGTAATTGGGAATAAGATCGTGGACACAACAACCAGTGTGAATTTGTGCAGGCACTCTTACCAATCCCAGTTGGCGTAGATTTTCTAACCTTGACACGTCTTGTGTTGATATCTGGTGTTCCTGGTTACGTACTACCGGCTGCTGTTCCAGCTATAGTTGCATATATCATATAACCATAGTTAAAAGGGACTAGCCTCTGGTAAACTAACAGTTTGCTATGGAAAATCACCATCTTTAATAGGTAAATCAACTATTTCTATGGGCCATGTTCCATAGCTATGTTAGTCATTACCAGAGTGTATATCCCAACAAACCTGGGCGTCAAAATCCCATGCCATAGCCAAGAGAAACTGCACGTCCTGTCCCATTGTTGTTACCGGCCACTTTCTGTGTGTTACCGTGCCAGTGATCCAAACGTTGTTGCCAAAAAAAAAAATATACAGCAACGGTCCCCAAACCTTCCAGATCAAGGCACTTATAGTGTGACTGCGTGACGTGTTTTTTTTACCATCCAAATAAATCTAAATTAAAGGCAACGGTGTGTTTCTGCTTCAAACAACATGTATACTGAGCGTATGTTTGGAATTACAGTTTCAACAGGAAAACAACATGGACCCAAGTCGCCAAAATGCCATCATCATCCACGTAATATGGATGTATACGTCACCATATCCTCCGATTTTTTCTACATATATTTACATATAAATACATGTATATATATAATTATATATAATATCTATTAGCTAAACTCAAAAACTCGCTGCCGTGGATATGTTGAAAACCGCACGAAGAGTTAGCGGGGGGGCGAACGTAGGGGCGAACATGCGGGCGAACGGGTGGACGAACGTCGCCCGCACGAGCGAGCGGGGGGGCGAGCGGGGGGGCGAGCGGACGGGCGAACGATTCGACTAGTCTTGTTTTGCCTGGTGATAATTAGTACAGTCAACCTGTGCCGAAATTATTTTACACCTACTTATACAACCCAAGAATACTGGTACAAAGTTGTTGGTATTCGAAACCAGTGCAATTTTGAGGGCGGGCCCACCCCCTTGAGGGCGCATTAAGGGGTCGCACGAAGGGGTCGCACATACGCATGTACGCACGTACGTACGCATGCACGCACGCACGTTCATGTGCATGTACGCACGCACGTTCACATGCATGTTCAGAAATAAGGTTACCTTTAAGGTTACCTTTTATATAAAAGGTAACCTTATTTCTGTACGACCCTAAGCCTCCTAAAGCATATTTAGTATTAGGAGGTCACTTTTCAAAGGTAACCTTATTTCTGAACATGGGTCTGAACATGGGCTTGAACATGGGTCTGAACATGGTACCTACGTACGTGCATACGTGCGAACGTACGTGCGTACGTCTGTGCGTACGTATGTGCGTACGTGTGTGCATGTGTGCGTTCGCCCCCCCGTTCGCCCCCCGGTTCGTCCCCCCGTTCGCCCCCCCGTTCCCCCCCCGTTCGCCCGCCGTACCCTCGCTCAGATGGCCGTACGCCCCCCCACGTTCAATACGTCTAAATAACTTCAAAAACAGGCCGCAGCGACCTTTTGGGTTTAGCTAAAATATCTATCTACTAACATACTTACATATTAAACATCTAAATTCAGTTATGGATTATCAAATGTATTTAGCCCATGTTTCTTATTTCACATCTTCACCCATCAACCCATTTTTCACAAATCCAAGTCGCGGTGTATCGGATCTTCTGCTTCTTATTCACGTGGCCAATGAGCTGCGCATGACGATCCGAGACCTTCTCCAGATCCGCCTCGAAGAGGGCCACGCTTTCCAGCAAACTCCTGGTACGACGATGGGCCGTGGATAGTTGGTGAGTTTGGAATAACTTATATAACTTGGCTTAGCTATGCCTAGCTTATAAGTTTAGAGCTTATAAGTTCAGGTTAGCTTAGTTTAGGTGCGTTTGTTTAGTCAATTTTCATCTAGTTTAGTTTTGTTAAAGTTAGTATAGTTGGTTACCCCCTGGCACATTATATAACACAACTATGGAAGATCACTGTGTTAAAAGGTAAAACATCTACAAATGGCTCATGTTCTGTGGCTGGTTAAATTACCAGTAGATAGTTTGCCGATGATCGTAGGCCCGTAGGCTATCATGCGGCTATAACGCCTGTAAAAGCTATAACCCATGAACTAAACCCAGTTATTGTGCAATGTTATAGATTTCTTTGTTGGATAGTGGGTAGGTTATAAGGCTATAACTGGCTATAACTTATAAACCATAAAGTGTGGCCGGTTTCGCGGGGTTCCTCACCAGGTAAAGAACACCATGGCCGATTTAAGTAGCATTCAAAGGGGTGTGTCAGGGCGTTTGGATTCATACACAAACACACACACACACCATTAAACACCGTTAAGCACCATGGTGTTTAGCCGTGTAATTGTGACACCTCTGAATATTATATATATATATTACATTACATTACATCACATTATATTATATTAAATTATATATTATATATTATATATTATGTATTATATATTATATATTATATTTTATGTATTATATATTATATATTATATATTAAATATTATTTATTATATTATATTATATTATATTAAATAATATGATATTATATAATATGTATGTATATACTGTATATACATATAATTATATATCTATGTATATGTGATTGTATCTGTCTAATACCTCAGCACATCTGGTGTGACCTTTCTTGTGTTCCATCGGCATAGTGGGACACCATCGATCCATCGGCTGAAACTCCTGTTGTCGACTTGGAGCTGCTCGTTCTCTTGCTTGAACTGCTGCCTCAACACTGCCCCACCCCACATGTTGCAACTGTTGTTGGTGTGTTACTTGAAATATTTGGATGTGTTAAATTCTCATCACTAGATGTAGTATGAACATGTATGAACGGCGATGTCAACTCAATCTCTCTTGACTCTTGACTCACGCTCCGAACATCACCATGAGTTAATGTCCCGGTTCACCTTCTGACATCTCCGGTCCTTCACTAGTTCCCTGGATCGCCCAAATCAGAAGGATTCACCGGGGTTCACCTAAAGTACTGCAGCAGTGCTAGCCTGGTTGGTGGTTTTATAACCATCTTGAAAAATGATGGAGTTCGTCAATGGGAAGGATGACATCCCATATATGAAATGGACAATAAAAATCATGATTGAAACCACCAACCAGTAGCTCATTCCAACTTGCAGATGCATCAAAGACTTGAATGTCAGGCTCTTTGGTTGAAACCAGCCTGCCAAACCTTCCAGAAAGGAAGGATTTCTTCTGCTCAACCGCACCAATATCGTCTCTCGTCATTGAAACAGTGTACTAGGAAAACCATCAGCCAATCTATATAATTTCCACTTGCATCTCAAATGTGGATTGAACAGAATTCATTAAAGAATACCTAGACCGCCTAGACCCTCCAAGTACCCACAAAAATAGGTAAATATCCTAAAACTCCAGGAAAAATATCATCTTTGATGATCTTTGATGGGAACTTGGAGGGTTTAGAGCTATTTGTACAATGTGAGGCCCCCCAGTGATGTTAGTTGGTTTAGATTCGCCCCAGTAACTATAGTTATTTGCGTACCATAAACATCCATAAACCATAGTTATTGGAGTTATGTTCACCAACTTAGCTATCGAACGGGGGCCTGACATTGTATATTCATCAAAAGCTGATCTTCATATGTTGAATCCCAAGTCCTTCCCACGGGTGGCGTCGCGTCCAAAAGGCAAGGATAAGGAGAGCTCGCGGTTGGCGCTGAGAAGTTTCTCGTTCTCATCCACGCAGGTGGTCAAATCCGCAAGCTGGGCTTGCTCCTGGGTGTAAACATAGAGAAAAACATGGTTATGAGTCAAAATCCTGGTACCCTAGCCAAAGGGTACCCGTTTTGTCATGCCGCTGGTATAGCTGGATGTTTATGAACCCCCAGTCAGAAATGGCAAAAAGTCATAGGTTTTGAATGGAAAAATGACCCATCCTCATATGGAAAACCAAGAGTTTTCCGACATGATCTATAAATTGGTGAAATTACTATGCTATAACTCATTCATCAGGAGTAGGTACTGCACCATAGGGCCATTCATCAGCCAGGTGGAATCACATTGAACAAAATATGGAAAACATGGAAATAATATGGGTCTCTAGTCTCTAGTGAAGTGGCAGGTGCCAGGAGGGCAGGTGCCAGGAGGGCAGGTGCCAGGAGGCCAAATCATTGTTTTATTCGTAACTCAAGAGATGTTGACACACATGAACACTGAGCTGTTATGGCATCATCGCGGCCTGAGTCTTCTCAGCACGAAGCTTCAGAACCTCTGAATGGAAGCAGCGCTGTGATGTGCGCAACGAAGACAACTCAGCCTGTCAGAGAGAGAAACTACCGTACATGTATATATATATATATATGTATAATTATATAAATATACATAATTATCGAAGGAAGTTTAGAAGTCAAACTTCCGACAATATGGAGAGATGAAAAGCAGAGCAGGGAAGAAAGAGGCATAGAGAAGAGAAAAATTAGAAGAGAAAGAGTAAGAAGACAGAAGATTCAGATGCGCGAAAAGGTAGGAAAGTCGCGAAACACTGTGTTTTTCCAATGATTTGTGGCTCCGGAGGGTCGACAAGTAGGCTCGCTAAAGCGGCGGGTGCGGAGCCAGCTGGCCAGATGAGAGATGAAAAATTGCACGCCGTTGTGGCGCGAAGCACATTTCCAAGTCAAAATGTACAAAACACACCATTCTCGGACTACTTTTGGAAGTTGCGATGTCGAAAAAGTGCACGCCGGTGTGGCGCGAAGCACATTTCCAAGTCAAAATGTATAAAACATCTCAGCTTCGGACCACTTTTGGAAGTTGCGATGTTGAAAAAGTGCACGCCGTTGTGGCGCGAAGCACATTTCCAAGTCAAAATGTACAAAACACCTCAGCTTCGGACCACTTTTGGAAGTTGAGATGTTGAAAAAGTGCACGCCGTTGTGGCGCGAAGCACGTTTCCAAGTCAAAAGTGTTAAAAACTGACGGTCTCGGACCACTTTTGGAGGTTCAGATGTCGAAAAAGTGTCGAAAAAGTGCTCGCCGTTGTGGCGCGAAGCACATTTCGAAGTCAAAAGTGTAAAAAAAAACTGCGTGTTTTGAGCCTTTTTTGACGTGCTGATGTCGAAAAAGTAGACACTGATTAACTTACCTAACTTGACTAACTTAAGTAACTTCACTAACACGAATACCCTAACTTCGACGACAACAGCAACAACAACAACAGCAACAGCAACAACAACAACAACAACTACAACAACTACAACAACTACAACTACAATAGATCGATAGATGGAGAGATAGATAGATAGATAGATAGATAGATAGAAAGATAGATAGATAGATAGATAGACAGAGAGAGATAGATAGATAGATAGATAGATAGACAGATAGACAGATACATAGTTAGATAGATAGATAGATAGATAGATAGATACATCGATAGATGCAAAGATCGATACATGGAGAGCTAGATAGATACATAGAGAGATAGATAGATAGACGGAGAGATAGATAGAGAGAGAGAGAGAGATAGATAGGTCGATAGATAGATAGATAAATAGATAGATAGATAGATAGATAGATAGATAGACAGAGAGATAGATAGATAGATAGATAGATAGATAGATAGATAGATAGATAGATAGATAGATACATCGATAGATGCAAAGATCGATACATGGAGAGCTAGATAGATACATAGAGAGATAGATAGATAGACGGAGAGATAGATAGAGAGAGAGAGAGATAGATAGATAGGTCGATAGGTCGATAGATAGATAGATAGATAGATAGATAGATAGATAGATACATCGATAGATGCAAAGATCGATACATGGAGAGCTAGATAGATACATAGAGAGATAGATAGATAGACGGAGAGATAGATAGAGGGAGAGATAGATAGATAGGTCGATAGATAGATAGATAGATCGATAGATAGATAGACAGATAGATAGACACATAGGTAGGTCGATAGATAGATAGACACAAAGATAGATACATGGATAGACGGGCAGACAGACCGATAGATAAATAGATAAATCGATAGACGGACAGATAGATAAATAGTTAGAGGGACAGCTAGAGACATAGATGGCGAAAGTAGGCGCTAGGAATCTACAGAGGGATGTGCTAGATTTCGTCATGTGTTTGTAGTCTGCTGTGTTAACACTGTAGGAGCTGTTGAAGTTTCAATTTCGGAATATGAGGATCGTGTCAGTACACGGTAGATGGATGGATTCGGATGGATGGATGGGTGGATGGATGGATGGATAGATAGATAGATAGAGAGGCAGGCACGCAGATAGACACCACTGCACTACATTACACTACCTTCCATTACACTTCACTACATTACACTACACTACACTCCACTACACTACAATACAACTGCAACTGCACAACTACACTCCACTACACTACACTACACTGCACTCAATTACACTCAATTACACTACATTACATTACATTACACTCCACTCCACTACACTACCTTACACTACACTACTCCCACTACACTTCACTACATTACACTACACGACACTCCACAACACTACAACTACACCTACACAACTACACTCCACTACACTCCACTACACTGCACTACACTACATCCCACTACACTACACTACACTACAACTCCCCAACTACATTCCACCACACTCCACTGCACTAAATTACACTACACTACACTGCATGACACTACACTACACTCCACTACACTACATTACACTACACTAGTACACTACACTACCTTCCACTACACTTCACTACATTACACTACACTACACTCTACTACACTACAACTACAACTACAACTACACTCCACTAAACTCCACTACACTAATTTACACTACGCTAAATTACACTGCACTACACTACACTACATTACACTGCACTACATTACATTCCACTACACTCCACTACACTACACTACAGTGCATTAGACTGGATGACACTGCACCATAGATAGACAGGTAGACAGATAGACAGATAGACAGATGAAAGAGAGAGAAGGAGAGATAGATAGATAGATCGATAGCTGGATAGATACATAGAAAATAGATAGGTAGGTAGGTAGATAGGCAGAGAAAGAGAGAGAAAGAGTGAGAGAGATCAAGCACCTTTCAATCCATCAGTGGCTTCGCTCTGTCATCCTTGATTCACAACAACCAACCTTTCCTATAGGTTTCCTATTTTTGAAACTTCCGCCACCGCCTTGTGCGGTACTGCTGGTAAATACATGTTTGTTCGCCGCTTTCAAAACCTGATTAGTGATATAGTCACCAAATATGGAATTCAACCAGAAGTATTAAGGATGATTCGCAACTAATGAACAAAGTTGGGCTACAAACTCCAGAGGAAGTACCCCTCATTCAGGATCAGGAAGAGCCCCAAAAAAGAGCACCTTGAGTGCAAGAAATGTCGACGATTTTGTTGTTTCACTGTTGTTGGCAGAAAAACATCTGAAACCTCCATTCAGAGACAAACAGGGCATTAAACAGGGCATTACGTTCCTTTATTGGGCACCATTTCAGGCTGCCGGAGACTCGCATAGTAGGGATCTAAATGTTGTCCCGTGTCAAGTTCAAGATACATTCACCAAAAAATCGTCGAGGACAATGATGTCATCCCATGGCAAAGCTTGTTTACACCCTCCAAAAAAAAGAGCTGGCAAATTGAACATTCCCTGTTGTTTGCTCGTTAGTATATATATAATTATATATATATTGTATTGTATGTACACATTACATATAAGATGGTTTTTTCAACTACCGTTTGCGCCAGCTGATTTCCCCTCTCCGGTGACGGTTTGACACCGCAGACCTGCACAGCAGCACTTCGAACCAGCCGATGCCAACTATTTTGACCTCCGGTCCCAACGTCCCAACTTTCGCCATCGCCAAGTCAATCAGGAATGTGTTTTTTCTTATCCAAAAAAGACATGATCAAGTCTTGAAGAACTGATTTTCAATCCATAAGACATGCTTGGCATTTCCCAGATTGGAGTTTTTCTTATAGTAATCCCCAAAAAGATGTTGAAAAGTCAATTTCCCACTCCAAACATAGAGATCAAAACCACTTTTCTATATTTTTTTTCGGGGGCCCAAAGATGCGATTTCTTCCCACCTTTTTTCACCATGCTTTCTCCGGGGTGTTTTAAATATTACCCATAGGATCCATGTATGCTATATATGGTAACATGGATCCCATCAATATACCCCATTTATGTTAGTATATATACCAGCACCATGGATCCTATGGGTTAGGGGATAAAAACATTAGAAACATATTATGTTTGTAAATATCACATAATATGAGAGTGTCAATAGTCAAAACCTGCATTACCCTATATATATAAAACCTCAAAACGATGCGTGATGTTCAAACATGTTCAAGCTAAAGAATAGGGATTTATTTGGAATTGTCAAATATTTTAAGAATGTGGACGTGGTTTGTAACTTATTCATAACCCATAGGATCCATGGTGCTGGTATATATGCTAACATAAATGGGGTATAATAATGGTAAATGTTACCATCTATGGCAGCACCATGGATCCGTCATGGGTAATTGCACTTCCTTTCCAATCACCAACCAAAGAAACCCATCATCTTCCACATCAAGATATTGCGGCGCATCGAGATGTAGGGATTTGAGTCAGCAGGAACTGTATGGATGTTCACCAAAAAGAGATCAGGAAACTCACCAACAAAAAAACATACCCTCTAGTAAATTAACATAGCTATTGAACATCATCATTTTAAAGAATTCATCATCTATCAACGGGCCATTTTCATCATTTTCGCTATCTCAAATGACCGGAGGGTACTTGTGTAAGTCACGATTCCAGGCCTGGAAAGTCCGCATTCACAGGTACCCTCTGGTAAACACACATAGCTATTGAACATCAGCATTTTCAATGGGTAAATCCACTATAAATGGGCCATTTTCAATAGCTATGTTTGTTTAAATTTACGAGAGGGTACCCACTCAAGTTGCAATGCATCAATTGGGATGGTGGGAAAAACCCACTACAAGTCATCGCCACGATTTTTGTCCCGAGGTACTGTCGACTTCACGTTTCGCTTCCTGTTCCTCCACTCGCAGGCTCCGCAACGCCTGCGTTTGGAAACTGGAAACGAAATGTTTGGCGCCGTGGTGTCCACTTCGGAAAGGGCTAGTTCTTATTTATCTAAATGAAGACACACGGGAGTTCGTTGGGAATTGCTGATTCGTTCTTGAAGAGCAGTGTTTCTGTGGAAAAAAACATTTTAAGTTCATTTGGAATCCATTGTTTCGTAGGGGTTTTGCGTGTAGAGCAACATCTTTGAACTTTTCTGTTTCGTGAGGAAACATAACCTTTTGAACGCGCAACAGTAGAACGATTTGGAACCATCTTCCAAGTTTGCTACCCCACCAGAAATCACACCACAAGGTGCAAAGGACATTTCCTCAGCATCACCTGTTAAAGGGAATTGACCGCAATGAATTCACAAACAAGTGATGCTTACAATTGCAGCCCTTAACAAGAAGTTATAACTGGCCTATAAGCTCACATAATAAATAAATATACGTATATATATATATATATAAATATAAACCTCCTCAGTTGCAGGAGTTATAGTCACATTGTGTAATTGTTTAGAGTTTAGGGCCATAACTGTACCCCGTCCACCTCCCCCCCCCAAAAAAAAGAGGGACATCAAAGAAAACCCTGCAGCAGTTGACACCTTCAAGTCCCTCTCTAAACTCTCGGCACGTGCTCCCTGGCGGATTCGTTCTGCTTGCTCCTGCGCTGCGCAGTTGGATGTGTAAGACTTACAGTCTTATTGTACGAATGCAATCGATGATCGATGATGATGATCGATGATGATCGATGATGATCGATGATGATCGATGATATTCACCATTAAATATCATTAAATCCCATTAATTTCCCATGTGGTCAGTGGTGAGTCAAAACCTAGCGGCCTAGCGACTTGGCCTCATCCAAACGTTGCGTCAAAGCCGCCAACTGTGCTTCCAGGGAGACCTGGCACGATCCAAAGGGCGACCGATGGAACCACGGCGGTTGATGTGGTTGTCTAATCACCAAAAAAATGTAGCACTTCTTGTAAACAATTGGACTACCACGGTTCACATTTTTGTTTTGGAGCTTTAGATGCTTCAGATATCTTCAGATTTCGTTTGGTTCTGAGGTTTTACCCTTGAGCAACTGGGATTATCACAGCATGGTCAGAGCTTTGAAAAAAGGGCAAGCGAACGAGATTCACTGGTTTGTGGTTGACTAATCATCTTGAAAAATGATGGAGTTCGTCAATGGGAAGGTTGACATCCCATATATGAAATGGAAAAAAATGTTTAAAACCACCAAGCAGTTCATGTTTTTTTCCACTTGTCACCGTGGCTTTTCCTAGAAGTCATCCCAAGGGTCGCCTTCTGATCTGAAACTTCAGCCAAGTCCAACTCAAACTGCGCCTCCTGCCACGTTGATGTCCCAAGCCAAGTATCCAGGTCTCCGAGGGTATCCATGGCTGGTATCCAACTGGAAAACTCAAATCAAACAACTCAGCAAATCCCTACACTTTCCATCTTTTTTTGGCGATAAATCTCCAACTTTTCATCCTCAGGGTCAGTTGGCAACAAAAGATACACTTTGAAACCACCCAACTCAACAGTTGAACCATGACCAGGTACTTTACCTACAACCACAAGTTTTCCCCTTTAAACATGACCAAACACCGGCCCACTTGGATGTGCAATCCGCTAGATGCAAGCAAATCAATCACCATATATTCATAGTATATCATAGTATAGATTAGTATAAATAGTATAGGTAGATATTGATGGTAAGATATCCATCATTACATCCATAACATGACCATATCCCACCATGGTGCTTCACACTTTGGTGCATCACATCCATATCCGTCATATTGTTCATGCTACTGCTACAAATGTATGTAGTCCAACAAAAAAACACACCATACCCTGGGACCCTGACTCCCCACCCCCTGACTCCATTTCTTAAGGCTCAACCTGACGGCGTTTCTTCCGGCTCGTCCTTAGCAAAAACCTGCGCGGTGTTCTGCTCGCTGCAGCGCATCATCTCTGCACGAAGCTCCTCGTTGCTGCGCTGTTCCTCTGCCAGAAGCGCTTGAAGCTCCTGGAGCACGGCGCAGGTATCAAGATATCGCAAAAAAAACGCGCCTCCAAAAAAGATGTTGAAGGGTAACACCCTACTAAAAGAGTGATGAATCAATGTTCTATCATGTTCTATCTGTTTTTGGAGGCTTACTTTAAAAATTAATATCACCATGAATGGAATCAACATGGACAGGAAACCAACAGATTTACGGGATTTAGACCATGGTTTCTGGTGAAGATTGTCTTTTTACCCTCCGTAATCAAATGTGGCTAGCTGGAAAATCCCCCATTAGTCAGATTATTTTCCACCTAGAAACAGAAACCTCCATTTAGTCTGTTTTTTGTTTTTTCCAGCTAGTCACGTTTGATTGGGTACCGGTAAACTTACAATCATTCACCATTAATGGGGTATGTATGTTCAAAAAATGTTGGTAAAACAGAGGAAACGATAACAACAACCAAAGCAGAGGAGAAATCTGCGGCAAATCACCACATACCCAACACATGGAGAGCTCCCACAAAACAACATAATTGTCCATAATATTGTAAACCCCAAATTGGAGGGTAAGTTATCCCAAGAATACCATGGGATACAAGAAATGGTGGTACAAGTACAGCTGCGTTTCGCTGCCACCCAGCAAACATCCTACTTAAAGGGACAACATGTTGGGCCTTAACTTCCGGCAGATAGATGTATACTTATATTTGTTTATATATATAACTGGAGAAACATCTGGATAAGGAGAGGGATATCCTCAACATGTGTGGCTGTGAGTCAACGATGAAGATTATGCTGTCACATATACAGTGCCCAAAGATAAACCCAAGATGAAACATGATGAACCACAAGTCATAAACCCAAAAAAAACGGCACTGTGACAAAATCCAGCGTTGGAGCTATGACAACGATGGCAGGACATGACATCTCAGGATGCTGAAAACAGGTAGCCATCAAAGGAACAGCAACAACTGACGACACATTCGCCACGCTGATGACCAGCATGCATGTTCCCATTGCAGGAAGGATAGGAAGGATAAGTGGTTCCATTAACCGAACCGAGTTGCCGCTTTTTGTGCCGAGAGATCATCCACCGTCCTCAGTGGTACCAATCTGCGTGGGGAGAAGATGTGTCTCAAGGTCATTTCTGAACGGGAAAAATCAGATTTCCAGACGCCAGAGATGTTCAACAGCTGTATCTCTGCTATTCATAAAACTCTTTAGGGGAACACTAATATGGGTGGCTCTGAAAATGCGGGGGAGAACATTTAAAACATGCAGAATTCATGTCCGAAAAAGTCCGTGGATTTCCAGAACAAAAGAGATGCGACACCTGTGCTATCCTTAAAACATGGATTAAACATGGCAGTTGTGTAATGAGGAAAATGATAAGAAAATGATAAGAAAATGATAAGAAACCCATCTGTTTTTTTGTCGGTTCACCTACAGCTCGAGCTGGGGCAAGCGGCTGAAAAATGTCACTTGACATGCCAACCCACACATCCACATAATTCCACATATACATAAATTAGTATATAATCATAAATATATATATGTACACATATCCAATGCGTTCTACATTAATCAAAACCATGCTTTCGTCCTCAGAGATCACCTGACCAATCTGGGGAGCTGTTGAGTCCCAGACTGTCGATCTTCCTTCATAACTTCAATTTCCGCTTGCAATTTGAGTATTTCATCCTGCGGAAGGATCGGCTCCCGGCTTAGACTTCAACCCTGTAAAATTGAGTTCAATCTCATTTAGCCAATCTGAAATGGCCATAATAATGCATAATGTGTGTATATATATATATATTAATTTACAATTATATGTATTTCTTCTATTTCTTTCTAATATAATACTAATACGCCCCATGACAGGGCCCAAAGAAAAGGATCAATCCAACACCTCACCCATGACAGGGCCGTGTACATGTGAAAGATCAAAGTGATCAGGCTACCTTCATCTTTGCCTTGGTCAAGTTACATGGAGTTAATACATTAATAATGGGTTCTGGTTCTGGTCATCAATCCAAAAATATGAACCCTTGCATAAATCAATATATGTTGTTCCCTATGAAATGATTGCTCACCATTTTTTGAAATAGGAAAATCACCATGAAATCACCAATTTTACATCAATGCCTGACCACGGCACATCTACTTCTGGTTGCTGCCTGGAGCTGCCTGGATCTGGCGTCCTCCTGGTGTGCTCGTTCTTCCCGTAGCATCTCTTGTGTCTCCTGGTCCCTGTGCATCAGCCGTTCCTCGTGCTGCAACCTGAATCGGCTCCCACCCAGGTCACCATTTATTTTAGGTGGTATAAATCATTCCCAAGGTGGTTTGCTACTATATTTTACCCACATCAATAGAAATGAACTAAATAAACATGAGAATTCGGATTCCCGCGGGTTTTTAAGGTTAATTGATACATATTAGGTACATTGGTTATTGATTGTCTAGGTTCCAATCTTATTCCATGGCACACACCTCTGGCTTTTGCTGACACATGGGACACCAAAAAAACCTACATAATTACTGCATAATTGATTATCTTTGATTACTCCAGTATGCTAAAGCATACAGAGTTAGAATTGAACGCTTTTCATTGACCCTTGAAGCACCTCTGTTTGTTTGTGAGAAAAACACCTGGCAACTTGACCTGCATTTTGTTGCGGGCCTTTCATCCAATTCTACACAATAATGTCCTTTTGGTAAAAATAGAGGGGCCGTTTTGGTATACCATCTATCATCATTTACCTGTTGTTAAAGGGGTTTCTTCGAACCCCTCTTTTTTCATCAACCAACCAATGGGAAAAGGACATCTATGATTCTACATGGGTAGTTCTTTCAGGTCAGCCCTGAGCCATGCCACTGGCTTTCGCGCAGCATTTCGATCTGAAGGTCTTTCTGCGACAGCTGCTCCTCTTAAATCAAGTGGATCGAAGCTAACAAAAGGGGAGACATGAAAAAGTCATTCCAAATCTGAATTTAACAATAGCTAAATCGAGGTTCCATCCGCTTCTTTAGGCAAAGAATTATTGAATTGGCTTGAGTTTTGGGGAACACAAAGGTGTTCAGCTGGGCACTCAGTCACCCTGCTGTATGTTGCACCTCGCACCTTGAGACTTTCTTTCAGAACAAAGCATTCCTACAGTTCAAGTTGGAATGCGTTTCAACATGTTTCAACAATCTCAATCTGGTTGGTGGTTTTATCCATCTTGAAAATATTAGTCAATGGGAAGGATTATCCCACATATTATGGGAAATAAAACATTTTCCAACCACCAACAATCTCAATGATTCCTGTGGGCATTATTCTGCATCACATAGCAAGTAGTTCAATATCCTGGACAGTTACAGTATGTGTTACCCGATATTTTAACATAGCGAAATGGCCCATGGATGTGCGTTGATTTACCTATTAAACATGGTGATGTTCCAGTTCGCAAACTCTTAGTTTACCAGAAGCTTGTTGTTTTCAAACCATCATCATTCCCATGCAGCATCACCCGGCCCAAGTCGACGCTCCTGCTGTCGCCGGCATGCCTCCTGAATCTCTTGCAGTGCTTGGTCTTTGCAAAGGATCTCCTCATCCTTGGACCTTGGTCACTCTGAGGTGCAAAATCTGGAAATCTTCTTGGGTTCATATCAAAGATCATGTCCCGTGACATGCCTTGGTAAACTTTATGAATCATAGCCTCAAAATGTGCAATGGGCATAACGGCATAATTCATCATACTTCTATGTCCTGTCTCAATCATAACCCACAAGGAACGATTTAGGGTGTTGCTAGTTTTGGTTCTGCGTGGGCTCTTGTGGAACCCTTTTCCGTTTAGTTGTTTTTGTTTCTCTACAAGCATCGCAAAATTGGTATGAGCCATTCTCAAATGGGAAGTAAAAACCGCAGGAGGTTTGAAAGTATAACCACCAAACCACCAATCAATTCTATTCCAAGGCACTTGTTTTCTTTCCTCAGGGTGGTGATCTGCAAGTCACCGTCTGCAAGCTTTTCCTGTCAGGGGCAGGGCCCAAACCCTAGCCGGAATAGCCATTTTGTTCTTGCGCCACAGTCAACCATATTTTTGACGATTACCCTCTGGTAAACTAACATAGCTATGGAAAATCACTGTTTTTAATTGGTAAATCCACTATAAATGGCAATTTTCAATAGCAAACTGTTAGTTTACCAGAGGGTAAAAGCCGAGAATGGTGGTTTCTGTTGCAAAACGCGCATCATCTCGTGGATACGATAGGGCTTGTCCGGCTGGCCTGCAGGTCCTTTTCCTTCATCGCGAAGAAGTTGCTGGTTTTCTCAGTCTCTTCAAAGATCATCATGTCTCTGATCTCCTGTGAAAAATCGATGGGATTTTCCTGGAAAATCGGAAAACCGATGGAATAGTCCCATGAAATATGGTCAATGGGAATTTCAGGAACCTAAATTGGAGGTACCTACCATATGTAAGGCCTATATAAGGCATGTAAGAGAATATCCCCAGAAAATATGGCCTTATATGGTACAGTACCTCCATTTTAGGATCCTGAAATTCCCATGAAATATGGGGGTGTCCTGATTTTTTGTTTCCCTTAAAGCAATCCATTAAATGGGTCGACTGACCCAACCTGCACCAGCGCCGCACTGGACCAATGCATTAACAAGACCGGCCCCTCACTGGAAAAAAACGTAGACATTAAATTACATGTGGGATCGACAACTTGTTACTGACTTATCTTAGAGACTGAACAGAGAATAGCTGGGTATAGCATGATAATCATGACACACAGCCCCTTAATTAAATAGCATCACAACTCATCCAACTTCACCATTCACTGACCGTCGGCTTAGCGTCCTGGTTGCGCAATTGCTCTTCATGAAGCGTTTCTTTCATCTCCGCCTCTTGGCGGAGCACTTCTTCATGTTTCATCCTGGGCGCGGCGATCAAAGCTTTATCAAAGGGGGATCGTGGGATAGAGAATGAACCAGGACACACATATTAGGTGTACAATAGGAAGTGTTGTCAATCCAATCCATTAATGTGATAACCAATATATATATATATATACATAATTATATATATAATATGGATCTAGAAATTATAATGATGTATATCCACAATCCATTAATACTAATGATGAATAATTATTATCAATATCCATCTATGTAAGTAACCCATGTTCAGCGTTCCCATCATGGGATTCAACATGGCGGATTCAACCTGATTCAAGCAACCCCCCAGGGCCCCAGGCCTCAGTTCGATGGCACCCTTTTTTTGCGGGGGTCCCAGGTCCCGTGTATGATGGGGATTGATGGGGGATGTGATGTGGGAAATCATGGGATATATTGGGATATCATGCAAGGTGGTGCCCCCCAAGATAGCTAAGTTGGTTTATAAACCATGGAAAGTATAGATATATCATGATATATCTATCATAAAACCTAGATATTGGAGTTATAAATCAACTTAGCTAACTATGGGGCACCACCTTGTGGGGTATCATGGGATATCAGATATAATGATATAACCGGCACTGTGGGGAGTTGCCCGGACATTGGGTAAGTTACCCAAAAGACATGTAGAACACCAACCATTGCGGGAATAAAATGGGAGATTAAGCAAACAACATTATGACATATGACATTATGATTGCTGTTTGTTTACAAACTCAGTATGTCCTGGACTTACATGTTTTATGTGAATAATGATGAAACTCCATAGTGAAATTGGTGGTACTGGTGCCCCATGGTTAAAGAACAACGATTCACCACCGGGCCGATGTTCGCTGTGGCACCTGTTCTCTTCCTTCAGGGCATCGATCAGGATGTCTTTCTCAACCAATTGCTCCTCCCGGTCTCCAACAGCTCCATCTTCCCACTGGAGCTACGTCCCATGGGGGTGGCACAGCATGAATCATGGTGCTTAAGTCCCCTAGAATTATGGCTTGAAATACCAGTTATAAGTACTTATAACTTTTATAACCCCATTTATAGAATGTATAATCCCATAGAAATAACCAGTTATAACTAATAGCCATGGCCATAACTGTATTGGATTGATTCTCATCCAGAAAAAAAAACGGATTCTTGTTGCATCCCCCACTTTGTTAAGAAAATGCCCAAAAACGTTCTGTTGGGATCTGTCGGTTGTATCACGGCTAGGACTCAACTTTAACCACGAAGGACCAACCAATCTTTGGTCAGCAGTGCATGTGTGAGGGGTCTGTAGCTCACCATTTTTTTGTGGCTGCTCTTTGAAAGTCAAAGCTGGCAACAAACAGTTTTCTATGAACCAATGGTAGTTTCCCACTGCCTCAAAATTTTCCAGAGATACAATAATTGACCAACAAAGAACAAATTGATCTTTGTACATGTGTATGTATATACATTATCCATTATGTGTATATATATATATGATGATGATGATTGAAACGCTATATCATATCATATCATTAAAACATATTAAAACTGTGGTTATGATACAGTTTCTATTGCTCTTGATTTTACTATGATTCTTCAGTGCTCCTGCAGCCTCTCTAGCGTCTTGGCCGTCTCCTGACCAAAAATGCTGGGATCAAACTGATTCCACGAATGAAACCAACGAAACATGGAATGAAATCATAAAGACATGGTGTTTAATGAACATGTTTATCTAAATATCATGATATACATGGTGATGCTCCCCAATGAAATCTATGTTTATGTTACTCCATGAACTAGCTTGATATATCTACCATAAACCCAACAGTTCTTGGAATTAGAAAGGCTGACTTTTTTCGTGTGGCATCGTCAGTCAGCGAGGATCTGACCTCGACCAATTGAAACCATGAAACCAGCGATCAAAGCCCTTAGGATGTTGAATGGCTCTGAAAGTGAGGTAGACTCTCAAACAGCGAAATGAATCGGGCACATGATGATAATGGTGATGATTTTTAAATCCTGTTTTCAGATAATGGTGATGATAAAGGTGATGATAATGGTGATAATGGTGATAATGATGATAAAGCAACATGGGATACCCTATGTTTTCAGACAAACCCAAATGATCTCCATCATGAATGGCGATGATTTCTATTTCTTTCCGACGATCGTTGAACCCAAACAAGTCATTGGAATGGCTTATGGGTAATTTCAGGAAACCCGTAGGCGCTTAGTATCCAACTAAAGGATACTTGATCCAGGTAAGTGTGTTCTCTTCAATTGATTCTTGGAACAGCACAAACCGTAAGTGTTTTAAACAAAACAACTCGAACTATCAACAATCAGCTATCAACAAGTTGTTGATATTTAAACCCCATTCAGTATCATCAACTATACTATCCATCAAGTGCAAACCAGAAGGCTAAAACGTTTGTTTCGGCATGCTACGTCCGACCCTTAGCTTGATCAACCCACAACCAAACCATCAGTTGGGCGGTGACCTATGGTATTCCTCCACAGATGTATCTGGAAAAAATGCACAATTTTACTAACCTGAATTAAGGCCATTTTAGGATAGGTATACACCTAACATCCCTAGTAACCATCATTCCGGTGAGGTCAAATTGAGGTCATGTTAATCTATCCAACGTGTTACATATGTATATTACAAAATTAGTTATGTTGGATATACTATCTTATATGGGTAATAATAATAATAATCCTAACAATAATGACAATGACAATATTTAATCTGTGTATATATATATATATATTATGTTATCCAACATAACGTCTATGAGTCAATGATCATGACAAGAAAACAGCCCATTCACCAACTCTCACCAACCACCGAGGTTGTTCTTTTCCCCCGATCATAAACGACCCATGTTTGGAATTTTCCGGTCATGAATAGTCTTCAGCAGTCAAACACATGGCTGCATGCTATGAAGGTTCTAATGATAATGGCAAAATCATGGAACTAAATAAGCGATTCTCCATTGCCATGTTTGATTACCAGATGGGCCGGATCAAATACATTCCACTAAGATTTCGATTGCCGTAGAACTCATGTTGGCTAAGCAAATCCATGGAAACGCGCTGGAGACGTGGCTCCATTCGGAAAATCCATGAAAATCAACAGCTTCCAACTGGAAGGACCTGGTTCTCTGCGCGTTCCTCTTCTCGGATCTGTTGAATCGCTTGTTCCTGGCGGAAGAAGTCCTCGTTCTGCAGCCTCACAGCTGATGGTTGACAAGGTCAACCTGTCGGAGAAATAACGTGTTTATTCAAGGGTCAACGGCCAAATATATAGTGAACTTAGGATAATTCAGGTCTGCTTAATAATATTGGCTTACCAATACCCATGCATATATAAATACTGTATATAATTATATATACATATAGACCTTTCGAATCGTACTACATCTCCATATGTACATGTATATGTAATCAGCTGAAAACCAGGAAATCAGCTGCCCTAAGGAGATTTGCTGAATTACATTTCTATGGCAACAGATGGCAACGGATCTTTTTTGCATGTTTCATCTGAAACAAAGTCGAAAGATGTTTGCATCATCTTGTGATATCTTGTGTCTCATCGGATTCCAAACATCCCAAAGAAAACAATAAGAACCACTCTCCTTGCATAGCCAGTGTGACAGGTATCTCCCTGCGGACGTGATGAACAAAGAAGGGCATCACCAAATGATTGGCAGGGGAGCACGGCTCTGAAACACATTCATATTATTTGACCAAAGTCAGGCTTGGCTTAAACAATCGAAGAACAACATAATTAACCATCTGGTTACAGTATGACTAACAGTTCGCCATGGAAAATCACCATTTTTAATAGGCAAACCATCTATAAATGGGCCATTTCCCATGGCTATGTTAAATAACCAGAGGGTAAGATGCGGTTTATTTCCAAGAATTCACTACTTAGACGGATGTTCGTGCAATCCCAACTGCCACCGGTGAAAGCACAATCCTTGATGCTTAAGCCCTGATTGCTGGTTGAAAACCACCGTTTGAAACCACCGGTATCCCCTGCAATCAAGGAGCTGGCGTTCCTTCTGAAGTTTCAATATTTCTGCCTCCTTTGCAGCAAGTTGCTCCTCCAGCTGCTTTTCCTTCTGCTCCCAAACTTCCGTGCCGGCAGCTTGCAGCTCCTCCAAAAATGCTGGACGATTCCAAGTTTGGGTCAAATTATGGGGGGAAATGATGAATCAATGGATTTGGGGTACCATATTTTCAATCCCAAATGCGTTCGAGAAATGGTATCAATTCATGGCTTGCACACGTGCTTGATGTCACACATCTTTGGATCTCATGGTTTTTAGATGCCAACATCGGGTGGGGCACCAACAAACAATGGGGATTTAATGGTAACACCTCGCGCTACGGTCCAATGAGTTCCCAACTGAGCCCTGCTACAGTATGACTGCTTGGTGGTTGACTAACCATCTTGAAAAATATGAGTCAGTTGGGAAAATTATTCTCATATATGAAATGGACAAAAATAATAAATAAGTTCCAAACCACCAACCAGTATATTTATATCGACCGGGGGTTGAACATTGTCTTGCTCATCACGTGTGGAACATGTAGGAAGTTGCCGTTCTGCAAGCAAAGCTGTCAACAGAGACGTCCTATTGCTTTCAACTTCCTATGCTCTAAAGTTGGTTTGTTTCTCCGGGGTACCCTTTGGCAATCTGAGGTGGCAATTAATCTCGAATCCTTGTCTGGGAAAACATGTGCTGTCTTACATGTCCTATCCTCTGGTAAACTAACAGTTTGCTATGCAAAATCACCATCTTTAATAGGTAAATTAACGAACTAAATGGGCCATGCTCAATAGCAAATCCAATGAATATTCCATGCATATTCCATCATACCTTCATCATATCCCAGTTTTTGATGGCTGGCCATCTAGCCATAGCAAACTCTTGAATTTACCGGAGAGTAAAGTCAATGAAGCGTCGGCGGAAGTGCCCCCCTCCTGCTGGCGCAAAATGAGCTCTTCACGCTGGAACCTGTAGCAGTTAAGCGCCGCCAAGTGCAGAAAAAGGTAGAAGGGGAACAAAAAAATACATGGTCAAATTTTGTAAATGACTCGAAACTCTAAACCCATTAACTATCAACCAAACAAAACTGGCGAACTTTTTGTAGATCTATTAAATACTTATTCACCCGATGTTGGACCAAATGGAAATACAACCTGGCAATTGGACTACATCTCGGAATTGTCGTGACCAGAGACAAAAAGGGATGTCCAAACACCTTTTTTCAAACGATGTCACTTCAAGGAAAGAAATAAGGGTTGATATAGTCTTTGCCGTCATTTGGCTATGGATCAATACCTATTAATACCATTTTTAGTGCGATGAACATCCATTTACCAGCTATTTTGATGTTCACCAGGGGTACAAGGTTTTGACACACTGCCATTTACTTGTAATCCACTGAGCATAAAACAATGGGCAAAGTAAAGGCCATCCATGATATCCATGGCCGTTCCGCTCTGGCAACCCGACCTGGCAATCTAAGATACATGATGTGTAGATGATTGCTCTCTGTGCTATGTATATATTTTAAAAATTATGGATATATATATATATATATATGTATAATTATGTATAAGTATATATATATATAATTATATATATATGACTGTAATCTTAAATAATTATCTGTGCATGTGATAAGTGATAGATCATTGCCAAATGCGGTTCATTAGAGGTTGAATTAGAGGTAAGATCTGGATTAGAGCTTTGAATTGCTACCTTCAACAAGTCCACTCTAGAGTCAGTATCGTTGGGCTGAAGCACAGCGAGGTGGAATCAGCTCCAGCCAATATCCTCTGGCAATGTAACATAGATAGAAGCGGACAATCGCTCCATGTTGTTTGATGGTTTATTTCTTGAAAATGATGATTTTCCCCTATGAATCTGTGGGTCATTACCAGCCAGCACTAGGCAAGGAGCTGGTTCTCCTGCTTTAGCATCATGATTTCCTTCTCCCTTTCGCCAAGCTGCTCCTGTGCTCGGGGATTGACCGAGGTGTCATCCTCGTTATTATGATGATATTGATGAAGAAAACCATGACCACAACCATGACCATCATCCCATTCCCACACTATCTCGATGCTGAATCAGGAGTTTGGGATGGCACTGCCACTTTACCATGGCTTTTGGGCTCAGACTTACCGTCGGTCAGATCATTTTCAGATATTTTGGGCACCATGAGTCTGAACATTTATCTAACAAAGATATTCCAGAAAAAGTCAATAAAGCAGGTGTGGAACATACAGTCATACAATGCTTTGCCAATTCATCGCGAAAAGCCACCCCACCTGACTTCGGACTTCCGCCTTTTCTTGGAGCTCCTGTCGGATGGTGGATGTGTAAAAAAACGGGGTATTACGAACCAGCTATTTTTGGAGATATCATATCTATTACAGAATGAATATGTTTATATTTATATTATGTTTAACGAGCAATATCATATTTTGGTGAATGGTGAGTCTTATTTCAGCAATATAATCGGAAAACACATATGATATTCCATTGGGTTTGAGGGTACCCTATGTTCAAACAATCCACATGGGAATGCCAAGTGGATTTGGACATGTGGGAATCCACTGGATTGTGAAATCTCTATCCGGGGATCCCAATGCCAACCACTCCTCAACTCGACCTGTGATGAGGGCCGTCAGTTTTGAGCGCCATTTGTACTGGGCAATCCAATAAATCAGTACATGAGTACATGTTCAAAAAATCAAACGCTGAAGTGATTTCCACTTCCCATTTCAATCAAGTGAAATCTCAACAGGCCAGTCCTCCATACCATGTTACAATGTTACATGTACATGATGCTATCTCCGCACCATTTCGCACCCTGGCTTAGCAGATCACGTGGGGCTACTTTGCTGGGTTCCTTTATCATATGATAACCCAGCAATAAACCATCCCCAAATGGTAGCTTTATTATTGGAATTGGGTTTCCCACAATAAATCTGGTTGGTGGTATACCTACCCCTCTGAAAAATATGAGTTCGTCAGTTGGGATGATGAAATTCCCAAATGGAAAGTCAATAAAATTCCATGGTTCCAAACCACCAACCAGAAATGGAATATTCCAGGAATTGCACGTGCTTTGAGATCTTTAAGGTCCCCTCCTAGTCGGTGATCATTTGTCAAAATCGTCCTGATGCTGCAACTGTTCTTCGCGTAGGACATCGTTGATCTCCTTGGAAGGCCAGGAAGGTCAGGAAGGTCAGGAAGGCATTTGCCGTCATTCACCATCTATACCAACCAAGAATAGGTACTATAGTACAAATGGCATGGATATGGCATGGGAAATGTAGCTTTATTTGCTGATTGATATCAGCAGCAGTTGGAGGAAACCCTTCTGGTTCCCTACAAAAACAGCACAGGACTTCTGCATGTCTTACACGCTCATGTTGGTAGTCTCACCTGGGAATGCTGACTTATTAATCTTATCCTAGAAATTCAACAGTTTGCTATGGAACATCGCCATGTTTGATGTAAATCGTCTATATTGGCCATCTTCCATAGCCAAAACGTTTGAATTGGGGGAACACCAACAAATCACAGAACATTTTCCACGGCTAGGCTGGACAAGAGTATAGCACAGGGTGATTTTGGTTTGAGTGGGCAACTATGCGGGACCACTGGCGTGGTGGGCAACCCCTATCTGCAACATCTTGACTCGTAGAGCATCGTAAAGCTGCGGCTCAGTTGAGATTGAACAAAAGAAACAACGACTTAACGAGGCACACATGGTCCACCAAAAAAACTGCAAACACATTCAATGCGTACATGGCTTTGTCTGAGAATAGGCTAACCCATGGTAACCCCACATGGCATGCTTTATTTTCCACAGTCAAACTGCCACAAAAATTGGGCCCATCCCCGATTTTGAGACCTACCAACCCACCGCTTTGCAAATCGTTGCCTGCTCCTTTCGCCGAAGCAGTGCTTCACAAGCAAGCCTCAACAACTTGGCTTCTTCGAATCCCATGAAAAAAATACCTACCTTGATCCTCAAACCACCAACACGTGTTGGGAAGATACAACATGATTTGTGCATATTAGATGTATATAGGATATACAAGGATTGAGGTTGTAGGTAGATGTAGGCAGTAGTTTGTTTAGATTTGTCCCAACGGAAACACTAGTGAATGGACACCCTCATTGGAGCAATCATGGTATAGTATATTTCATTACCTCAATAAACTCAATATTGTTACAGTAATATTGTCACAATAAGTTACATCTAGCAACACAAATCAACAAAGTGACTTGCCAAACCACCAACCAGACCATTGTTGTGCACCGCAAATCCCCGACGTTGCCACTCAAAACTCCCAAAAACTCCATCTTAAGTCACCACTTTTGCTAAAGTTGATTCCCCAGTTTTGCCATTGCCCGCCAACCCCCCTTGTTTTGCCTATAGCCAGTTGTTGCTAATGGATTGGCCTCTAGTAAATTAGCACATATATGGTTAACTATGGTTAACCCATGCCCAAAGGAACATGTCAACGTAAATTTGCAGGAAGCGGTTTCTGGGATGATTCCCCGCATAAAAATTGACATCATTCCGAATCGTTCCAGTGACATCACATCGTGAAATCCATGCCATGCAGCTGGTGCTGTTCTCTCAGTTTCTCCATTTCTCGATCCTTCGCTGCAAGCTTCTCCTGAAAACTGCTACTTGATCCCAACCAACGTGAATTTTTGGTACCTTCACAAACTTACCCTCTGGGAATTTGTTACATAGCTATTGAAAACTGCCATTTATAGTTGATTTACCCATTAAAAAAATTGATTTTCCATAGTTATGTTAGTTTACCAAAGGGTAACCCTAGGATCTTAACGGATTTTGAGGATGCTGTGAGGGTCAATGGATCATCAGAAACTGATTGTAAATGGTGACATTATTAACGAACCAAGACATATCAGTAACTTGGAACAATCACTTGTGGGATATGTTCTCAACAATAGTGGGTGTGGGATGAAACACTCTACTAGTCATGTTCCGGATACCCAGGAACTGACTTCATACTACTTTTCAATATTGCATTCCAATATATTCCAAGCATCATACTATTGCTTCAGACCATTTCAAACAGCTGTCTTCAAGCAAACAACATTCGGGAGCATTTTTTTTGAAAAACGTTCTAATTCGTTGCTTAAATCAATGGGAATTCAAGGATCCTAAACTGGAGGTACCTACCATATATAAGGCCTATGTAAGGGCTATGTAAGGGAATATCCCCACACAATATGGTCTTATATGGTTCAGTACCTCCATTTTAGGATCCTGAAATTCCCATTGATTAAACACAAAACAAAACATGATAAAACATGCTGGTTCAAAAATCGACATTCTATCCAAATATATCTCTTGAGTTCCGTTTTTTGGCCTAGAAACAACAAGGGCTTGTCTGAAATTTTTGTCTCCGTAAACCTAGTGGTTAATCATCACTTTCGAGTTATGAATTGTAGATTCTAAGGTATCTACGGTATCCCACACTTTCATACGAACCCAGTACACCAAAGCCACAATAGTGTCAACTCCAGATTTATACCCTCCCTGGGTTGTTGAATCAGGGGATACCCTGAAAAAGCAGCCATCACCCTGAACCACGCGGCATCACCATTTCAATCCCATGATCATCCTATCAATGTGAGGCCCCCCAGGGATGTGAATGTTGGTTAACAAATTCGCCCCAGTAACTAGTTCGTTATTTACGTATTATAAACCATAGTGACCTTGGAGTTATGTTCACCAACTGAACGCTATCTTGGGGGCCTCACATTCTAGAAGGTGTTACTCCCCACTTATAGATTGCTAAACACTACCCACATATAGCTATAGCCTTGACATAACCACACAGCCTACGTGGTTTATTGGAATTATTTCTACATATATATTTCTACCAAATTAGCCAAACTGGAGCACCATCTTGGAGTTGTAATCCATGCCCATCTCAGAGGAAACAAATGGACCCGTTTTACCCACTTAGCAACCCATCACAAACAGTGCAAAGTCCAGAAATGTTCTAATCCATTCTCATCATATTCTATCATATTCACTATTCACCTTCTATCCCATAAAGATTATCATACGGAAGTTTCTTGAAATGGGCGGACAATTTTATTTAAACCCATGGTGACTTGGGGATCCCCCATTGTTCGACCCCCCCACATGGTTATGGGTCAAGACCCGGTACCTGTTTTGTCATAGCTGGTATAGCTGGATGTTTATGAACCCCCAGTCATATCCCTATGGATCCAAGTAGGAAGTGTTTGGAGTATAATTTACTATAATTTGGAAGCTTAAGTACCTTCTCAGACAGGGTTTGGATCCATAGGGTATGGTAATTTCATAGGTTTATTGTCCCATGACCATATCATCACTGGTTGGTGGTTTCATCCCCTCTGAAAAATATGAGTCAGTTGGGATTATTATTCTCAATATATGTAAAAATAAAAAATGTTCCAAACCACCAACCAGATCATATTCTAAACCCATGATCGAACTGGCGAAACGACGATCCTGCAGCTTCTGTTCTTCCAGCGCCCAGGCTTCAGCCGCCTTTTCCTGGAATTTTTGAGCTGAACTCTGTACCCCATTGATCCATGATTTTTGGGCAATGTGAAATAATGTGAAATCATGATACTATGTTTATAATGGATTGATATGGATTGATTGATATACTTTGTGGTTACCCCATCCCATCCTTGGTCTAAATAATCAGTCAAAAACAAGTCAGCCATACCTATCGAATCATGGTTCGGAATCGTGAATGCCTTGCTATATTATTACTGTTTTTTGTTTTCGATCCGGGTCGGATTCATCATCATCATCATCATCATCATCATCGTCATCAACATGTCTGGTTTGGTGTTTGGTTTTGGTAATCTTCACTGGTAGTAACAGTTTCAGTCGTAACACTCATCCAGTTTTGTAACAAATGGGGTTTGTCATGACAGGGTTTGTCTGAATAGTTGGCATCCACAAATTTGATGCTTCATCATTGTATTTCCCATTTGAACTGCCATTTGAAGGGTATACCATGGTGTACCCCATTTCCACCGCCCCAAGATGGGGAAGAAAATCGCACCAGATTCAGGATGGGAATCCTTGGGAGGAATCACCAAAGTCTCAAGAGGTAAATATGGGTAGATGACCCAATGACCCCAACCCAAATCCTTGCTTTTTTTTGTCACAATTCACAGGACATAAAAAAGGAAACTGCGGGTCAAAATCGCCTCCAAATACATTGCAATTCTTGTGAACTGTCTCTTGGACCCCCCCATGAAACTGTCTAAGTCGTTGGATTCTTGAAAGATAGTGCTAAGAAAACACATTGGTCACTGGGCAACTGGGGGTCATGATACGCACATAGTTGATTTTTTCCGGTAAATTTACATGAAAATGCTAACCACGCAAGACATGGTTTAGTTTCAAAGGAACAAAAAAAACTATGATTCCTATCAAATCTAACCATTCTGGACAAGTCATGAGAATTCACCAAAGAGACAAGACTGATTCCCGAATTCGAACCATCATTCTACAGTTACGGCCTGGCCCTGAACAGTTATAAGTGGGCTGACATAAGTCCTATAACTAAGGTTATATCAATATTGCAATCCATTCAAAATTGTTAAGGGCCACACCTGTAACCATCTTTCCGCTAGGAAAACACATCTCCAACCGCTCACCTTCTCTTCCCTCATGATGGTCTCTCGAAGCTCCTGATCCACCGACTAAAATTCTACCAGAAAATAACACTGATTTACGGGTACTATATAGTTTACTACTATAGCTAGCAGGCACCAACATAAATAACACATGCTAAATTTATCAGTGTTATAAATCTGGAGGTGCTGTAAATATCCTCAAATTTGTTGAGTATGGGATATGACCAATAACCAACAGAAAAAAAAAAACAACGATAACCAGCAAAATTATGCAAAACTTGTACTGTTTGTTACTTTTTTGCAATTTCTGTTGGTGTTTTTCGCAGTTCATGTTGGGTACTGAACAGCAGCTGTTACTACCATGCGGTATGGGTTCAATTCACCTTGGAATAACTTGGTTTGCCAACACAGCTGGCTGTTCTGGATGTTCATTCCCCCATCGATATGATCCCGGAGGTATTGATCCAACCACATATTGACTCTGTATGCCTCCGTTATATTTAGTTTAAACTATGCTATATCAAAGATATCATGGACGTTAAACATATGGAAACTAAACATGAAATTCCTTCGAACAAACATGAACAAACATGAATAAACCTACTGTATGTTGTATGGGAAGAAAGATATGTTTGTTGGGTTTGCATGTACCATTTAAAAAATACGGGTCTATCTGAAATCTTGATTTTGTTGGTTGAATCGTTTGTTTTAGATTCATACGTTACAAAACGGTTCAATCATCCCCATTTGTGTGGCTCAAATCGTGATAAATCTGAATCCTGATTTTGATGGTTTAAATTCCATTTTGAATGGTGATGTTTGATGATTTTTTGATGTTTTTTGATGGTTTTTCCCAGGGATGTTCCACATTGGGTCCTATGTTTACCCCAAGGTAGTCCTCGATGTCCGTGGTTTCGAATAGGCTGGGCGACACCGCGGATGGCAACGACTCGCGAGGAATGGGAGAAGTAACCTCAGATGCGTTACTTCCCGGGGCCGTGACGAGGTGGCTCAGTCATCCACAGAATGGGGGAAAGCAGGTCAATGTGAAAAAAAAAATATTCCAAATTTATGCAACATTTTGATATATGGGTTTAAAGATATGTGGATATTAATATTGCATTTTATATCTAATAATGACCGGTTGAAAGTAGATATCAGATGATGAGACTTATTCTATCTGACAATATGGTTTTCACTGCTTTGTTGTATCTTATACCATGTAATGTGGTAAGCCCCATAATGCGGTAATTCCGTTCAATGTGGCAAACCCAAACATAAACCTTCCCGCAATAGAGGTTTATTATTGGGCATACCCCTATGTCGGATGATGTAACATGTCCCAATGGTTGTTTGATGGGATGGTTTAGTATTGGGTTTACCACATTAAAAACATCTAGTGTAAAACAAACCCAAACAAGGTAGGAAAATGATTTGTCACTATTTCAGTGGGATTTTATTTTTCCATTTTGGGGGGTTGCCATATCTAATGTTAAAGGATTAGATTTGTTGGTGATAGTTACCTCATACCATAAACAATTTAAATCAGAAACATCAGGTTTTTGGCTGTCCTTTTGTATCAAGGATATTCCCAGATATTTCCCCAGGTGGGCAAGAGATATCAACTAGAAACATGCGAATATCAAATCCCAATGTCAATATCAAAAGGTATGTAGGGATATCAAAAGGACACACAAACAAAGAATGGGAATGTGCAAACGCATGAAAATTCACCAGCATGCAAGGATAATCAGAGGGATACACCGGGAATGTCATTCCCCACCTGTCAGGTGAGGGTTGTTATATAGATTTCTTGTTAGCTGGCCCGCCTTCCTTCTCCTCCTCCTCGTTCTCCTCGTCCGCCGGACCTCGTCTGCAAGCTCTAGATCCCAATGTTCCCCGCCGGACCTCCACCGCAAGCTCCGGATCAACGTGTTCCCCGCCGGACCGCAACCGCGAGCTCCGGATCAGAGTGTTCTCCCCTCAACCACACCGATTCTCCGAAGATATACGATAGAATGCCAGAAAAGAGTGTCAGAATAGATGCCAGATAGAATGCCAGAAAAGAATGTCAAATAAAATGCCAGATAGAATGCCAGAATAGAATGTCAGAAGATTATATATACCATGTATATTTCCAGATGATATATCAATAAGTGCCAGGGTGGTGATCACTCGAATTAAACACATATTTTATCTTTTCTCGGCAGCATTGGGGGCATGAACCAATTACAAAGATGTGGATATACTGAGGCTACTGAAGATTGTGTTACCAACAGTTTTGGGGATAGCAACTAGAAAGAATTTGTTGATTGAGGCACACACCACCAGGTTTCGCACTTTGTGAATAGAATCGAAGGTAACGGTCAGAGAAAATGACACAACAAAAACTGTTTCAAGATGCGAAACCGCCAAACACATTCAAGCATGTTGCTGGACAGTGGTGTAGGCCTGCAATCTTGTGGTTTCCAGGAAGTAGCTATGATGGCTTCAACCCATCCCAAGGGTTCAACTGGGATCATGAGCCCATGCTGTTGAAACCACTTTCCCACCAGAAAGGAATAGTGTGGGAATGGCTTGAAGAAGGAAAAAATGGAAGCTCTATTTTGTGAAGTGCCAGCCCTCCAAAGATTCTGGGCAAACAAGTCATTCTTGGGACGATTCTGGTATCCATCAGGATCTAGTCCTCACAACTTATTTTGAGCCCCACTCATTCTTCAGTGGCTTCAAACCAATATGATTTTATGTCAAGGTTTCCTAAGTCATAGGGGTACCCCTAAATCATCCACTTGAAGATTTTCGGCCCTTCGGCAATTTTCCATCAAAAAACAACCATTCAAGGTGGCGTGAACAATGATGTCGTGCGTTTGGTCATTTTGGATCCCCTATGACTACAATGTGAGGCCCCCAGTCGATAGCGTTCAGTTGGTGCACATAACTCCAATGTCACTATGGTTTATGGTACGTAAATAACATTAAATAACGAACTAGTTACTGGGGCTTATCTGTTAACCAACATGCACATCACTGGGGTATGGAAACTATGGAAATCCTGCGACAGGTGCAGGTCACCATCTCCCGCACCTCCAAAGTTTCCATCGGCGCTGGTGGAGCCTGCGGTGCCACCGCCACTGGGCCACGGGGCGGCGTCGTTTCACGGCGGGCGCCGGGCTTGGGCCAAGGCTTGGGCAAGTCCTGGCCAAAGGTGTCGATGTACCTGGAGTGAGTGTTGAGGTTGCAAACATGACTGGAAAATCTCTCATAAATTGGAGGTTTGTAGCTGGGGCATACTTGAAGAATTGCCATCAATTTCTCCATTGGGTGATTTTGGGGTATCTCCGGTCTTTGAAGAAATTGAAATTGTTGGGGAACACAAAACACCTCAGTTCATCATATATCATGAGGCTCACAATGACATTCGCTGTTTCCCATGCCCGGACAAACCCAAGTGGCATGCATGGTGTATGGAAAAAGATGTAAATGTGATTGAAATGACCGAGAGTTTGGGTGGTGTTGGACGGGTGAAAGGACAACGATTCACAACTTGTCTTGAACCAAGCTACTTGCAGGGACTATATACCAAGCATGTGCGGAGCAACAAACAGTTCTCCAAATTCTGCCACCCAACGCCCAACGGGCTTGCTTCTGAAATGTGATTGGAATTGGGATTATACTATCTTCACCGACCCATGCTTTAAATGACCACTGTAATATCTCTGTAATCTTCTGTAGACGCTTTCGCAAGAGCAAAGAAACAACTAATCATGTCATGAAAAAACAAACAGACAGATTGACTTAGCTAAAGAGCAAAACATCTAGAGGCCGATGTATCATGTTTGGTAAACAAGCATTGCGCTGCCCAGTCTCACCAACACGGTCAAGATTTATTGGTGTATGTTGTTTCTCTGTTCCCAAGCTCGTACACCATGCGCCAAAAAAAAACATTAGCTTTCCACAAAAGTACAAACATGTTACTGCAGGTTTGGCCCTTTACCAGTTATATGTCAGTTCTAGCCCCATTTATGGAATGATAACCCCATGTATAACCATTTATAAGTTATAAGTGGTAAATTGGTTTTAACTAACTGCACTTTAAAAAACAACCGAATCTTCAGGGTCTCAGTTGATGTTTCCTGGCATTAAACCACCCGTCAAGGACGTCAAGCCCAGTGGCGGAACCAACGGATCCGTCTTGCCCTGCCATCGCCGTGTCATGGCTACGCAGCCGCGATGCTACGGAGGATCGGCGGGCTCCCAACAGCTGCGATGGAGTGAGCGCCAGCTACTTCTTGCTGATTCACCAGGGTGATGGAAGCGAAAAAAACTACAAGGACATGATGCATCATCATGCATCATCGTTGTTATTATTCCTTGTATTCTATTCTCATCAAATATCATTGCAAATACTATGATGATCATACTGGCTGCTTCTTGCAACTTTTGCCTTAGACAGAATGCTGGAATCTGATATCTAGAATGAACACTACCCAGACATGCGGATACAAGATGGCACAAGACCCATAAAATCATTTGCAACAAGCTAACAATGGGACACATATCGCACACCGATGAGTCTTACTCTTTCAATGGGCTCCCAACACGTTTCATCCACAAAGCATCCATGGTTCATCGACCAAACATTGATTTTCAACGCGGTACACTGCGGATCCTTGTAGTGCACACAAAAAAAACCCACCCATACTGATACTAACGTCACTCTACAAGGGACATTGGCCTATCACGGAAAGAACTATTTACAAAAGGCAACATAACCCAAAAGGGAAGGGGTCAAAATCTAAGCCCCCGGGGCACCACCGATGCTGTCATGATGTTTGATATTTTACCATTCAATTTTAGAGGCATCTAACTTTGACCCATACTCTAAAAAACATCGGCACCCATGCAAATCAGCTAGGGAGCAATCCTTGGAGTCTATGGCCCCATGCCCAAGTGTGGTACATACCCTCACTTAAAGCAATATGACCACCTGGGGACTTGGGAAATAAGTTTCCATTGTTCAGTTTCCACATATACTGCGTGAAATCCAAAATCTGCGCAAATATAGGGAATGAGTCATGAGTCATGACATCTTTATCCCCTAAAAACAAGATACCTCGCCCAAGTTTTTGCTATCTTGAGCTGAAAATTGATTTTGGGACGGCAGAAATTGCATCTCAACAATTCTTCGCCAAGCCAAGTCCTCGCCTGCGCTTCCCGTTGCAGCTCCTGTACCTTGACCTCAGAAAAGTCACAGGATTGCGGGGAAGGACAGTTGCAAGAAAGTCCAGTTGTTAATGAATTAATGGAAACAAACAAACAAACTGGTTTCCCATGGTTTCCCTTGATACTGGTTGGTTAATAGGGATTCCCCACATGCCTTGTGATAATCACCAATATTGCTAATATACTGGTTAGTATAATATCCTATCATCATCAACCAGCAAGAGTTTTGAACAAAGCTCACCTCAATCACCGGAATGGAACGGGTTGACGAAACATTGGGAACTCTTGCGAAGACGATAAATGCACTCAACAAAGAAAGGCGCGAGGAAGAAGGGAACACTGAGAACATTTGAAAATTCCATCGGTGAAAAACATGTTGCGACCAACAAAGTGGAGAAACGCACGCATGAAGTTGTGAGACCGCATATTGTATGAAACATCAACCATTGTGTTCAAAAATCACCTATATGTACAAATATGCAGCAACATGTCCACTGATAGTTCTTTTTGAGCACTTTTTAAATGATCCACGCAAGCTTGGGATAGAAACAACAGAATAGAAGCAACCATGCTATGTATATTAGACTCTTTCTGTTTCATGCCCAATTCGTGTAGAAAACACAAAACACATCCCATTTCCCTTCATCCCTTCAGGGTGATCCAAGCCTCCATCTCGCGGGCATGATTTTGCTGCTGGACATTCTTGTCCTGTCAGCGGCCAATTTTTTGCCAGGCAGCTGAGGGTCAGCTCCCCCAGTCTCTCCGATCAGCAAAATCTACCCTCTGGTTATTTATGACTAACATAGCCATGGAAAATGGCCCATTTATAGATTATTTTATCATTATATAATACCTCCATTTATGAGGGATTTTCCATGGCTATGTTAAATAACCAAATGGTACTTCCAATGGCAGCTTTCGGCTTGTTTTAAACACATGCTGGCATCAGGACATTCCGCACAATCCACTTTGAATCATTCCTATGTGCCAAACACCAAAACTCATTGGTGGTCTCACCCCGACCCCAACAATATGCTCGTGACAAGTGGGATCACAATCCTCCAAGGTAAAAATCCCTATGTCCCCACTACAGGAAACCACAATTGTTGGCTTGATATCCGCATTTTGGATTTCTGTACCCTCAATTCTCATGGCAAAGGTCTAACACCAAATCAAACCATCCTCAAGCCTCATTTGAATGATGTTGAATGTGTCTGAAAATGGCCAGTATATGTTACTCCTAATCTATGGCCATGTTACCGAAACATAAATAAACTATGATAAACTAAGGTATACATATTTCGGTACATTTTTTGTTTTTATCCATCTTCAATCCCATGTTTCTGGCTAAATTGAAAGGTCATGAGTCATAAGTCATCTCACTGATTTGAACTCAGACTCTTTGGAAAACCCCGAGTCGTCACATGTCGCAGTCTGAGCCGCTGATTGATGTTGTAGTCTTTGGGCCTGGCGCGTCGGTGACAGCCTGATTTCTACAGTGAAAGCCCGAAATACCATGGTGGCTGCATTACAGCGTTTTCGGAAACGTTGAAAATATCCTTTTTCGTACCACCAGTAAATTTTCTACAGTGATTTTTACAGATGTTTCTTTTTAGATGGGGTGATCATTCCATGCATGGGGTTATAAACTACATATAACTGACTTATAACTGGTAAAGGGCTTAAAGGCTTTAACTGTAATGGATTCTTTTGATCAGATTCTGTTAAGTCATCAAATCATCACCAGGAAAAAACCTAATTAATGGAATAGTCGCACCATCTATTGGTGGAGTGAAGTAAGAAAGACAACATATTATGATTTGCGGGTGAAATCCTACTCGGATGGGTTGCTGTCTTTTGGCAGCATTTGCTGATGTGGATCATGGGTTTGAAACCCACAGCCATGTGACTGAATTAGGATCGTCATCCCTCTTGTGCCATGGTTGTACTGAAATCATTGGATCATTGGATTTCCTCTCCAGGTCGGCCTGCTGGGGACCACCCTCCCAGTTTTTCTGTTGTCTATTCCCGCCATCTCTTTACTTCAAGCAGCAGCTACATACGGCAAGAACCCAAGCACAGCCCCTGTGCAAAGGATCTCACCCCACCAACACTCCTAGAGATAAAGCCCTGTTATAAATGGTGATAAATATGTGTTCTCAATCCATCTGTATGTGTTTATCATTGACTTCTACCTGGTGTTTCCGGCCATCGCTGTTTTTCAATGCAGCACCTGCAGTGCTCGTTCCATCTCAGATTGGAATTGCTCGTGATGATCCTGGCGAAATGATCGCTGCTGCATCGCCGTTCGGTCGATCACCAAGCTGGAAAACGCCACAGCCATCCAGCCACTGTACAACAAAAACCCTGTGATCGCATGCGTTGGTTCAGCAAAGGCATGTCGGAGATCAATAAATTTCCCTATGCCAACCATCGAATGGGGAACTGTTTTGGCTTTTTGGCTTAAAATCTACATGGGACACACCCAAAGTCTCCATCATCTTTATATCTTTCTTGTCAACTTATGTCCGGTTGGTGGAACCCAGTCAACTGAGTAAATCAACAAAAACTAAAACCACCATTGAACCACCCGCTACATTTTCCTCACGGAGAGACCATTAGTTGTTTCTGCTCGAAATCTTCCAACGGCAAACCCCAAACGGCGCTGCAACTTGCACCGTCCTCCAACGTCCTGGCATGGTGATCATCCTTGTCCTTCGACGATCAGCCGCATCTCTGATGTTACAGGTGTATCATATCGGTATCCTGGGTCAGTTATGTCCAAGGTATCTATATATATATATAATATGGTATGTTATACATGTTAACACAGGTATCTATATCTAATATGTCCAAGTTATGTCCAATTTCTTACTTGATCCACATCTCAAACACATCTGTCGCTTCATCCAGCCCCGACAATCATCGCGAAGCTGTGTGAACATGGTCTTTGCTTCAATAACCGTTTCATTTCAACAGATCGGGGCAACGCAGCCCTTGCCAAACCTGAACAATCTGTTGTGCCAGATCCAAGGTGGATTGATGGTGAGCCTGATGTTCCTGCGACGCCGCTCGTAGGGGCGATTTGATCCAATTGAAGCAGCGGGGAATTCAAATAAGTGTGGAAATGGAAATTAGAGACATTGTGTACGAACAACAAACGCGGATTTTCGCAATAAAACTTGGATTCAAACAGCGCAAGTTGGGATGTGATGAACAATCATTTGACTTTAACCAATAAAGATGCAGATATTGGCAACAATAGGGACTGATGCAGTAACAACGTGAATGTGGGTGGACAATCGTTAACAATAGATGCTATCAGCCACGTAGGACAATGGGTATCTGAGAAACAATAGTGATGGAAACATCCCCAACATATGGGTGTGTCCAAAACTGGGGAGGGATGGCTCCTCCTCACCAAACTACTTTCTGTGACCAAATAATGCAGGGTTAATCCGGATTCAGATTGCAAACCTGGCTAGTGGTTTTAACCATCTTGAAAAATATGAGTTCGTCAATGGGAAGGATGACATCCCAATACATCCCATATGAATTATGGAAAATAAAAGTCATGTTGGAAACCACCAACCAGAAACCGTTTCATAAATAGAGCGGAAGTTGTGATTTGATCCCAGCTACCAAACCTGATTCTTTGAAGAAACGCTTTGGCATCTTGCTGCGACCCACAAAACCATACTGAGGAAACTTCAAGAAAAATGGCGGAATGACATCAGTTTCCCCCCGTCCAAGTGAGCCATTGAGCCTACTATGTCCATCTATTTCCCGCAACTCATGTTCTCAAGTCTTTTCCGCTGCTAGTTCTTTTGCAACACCAAACAATATGAATAAACTCCTCTTTATCCTTCGGCGCCTCCCTCAATATTGCTGTCAAGTACCTCACTGGCCAACATGTTCCAAACTCATGCCTAACCATTTTGTTTAAACCGAAACTGTATCCTTTGTGAGATTTGTCAACGACCTGCGTCTTTGTCTTTGTTTTACACCATGTATTCTTCTCGGACACCCCAAAGGAACAGGTCTTTTCAGTTTTGCTTTTAGAAAGCATCTGCCCTTCTCCAGACATGTATCCATCGACTTTGGTGTGCCCAAGATTGCCCAAGCAGTATCAATGTCCCTTTGTGGAAGATATGGTTTTTGTGGATTCTGGACCATTTTGGAGGGAAGAAACGCCACAGTTAAGACCAAAGAAGTCCTGCATAGCTCGTTCCATCTCAACTTCATGTCCGGCAAGTTGCTCCTGGATGAAGGCGAGAACAAAGGAGAAACCCATCATGGAGAAACATATCAAACCATAACCTGTTTTTTTGTCGGTAAACATACACGTGTAATGACAGATCCCTTGTCTAGTTTTTTGGATGATGGGGGTACAACCATGGTACTGTATACCATAGGATATTCCAACCTGTTAGGGTAAGTACCATGGTTGTCTACTACTAACCCGCAATGACCGAGCGCAGCCCAAAGTAGTGAACCAACACCGTTTTCACCAAACACCTGTAGCGATTGTGCCAGAACAGCATGGTGTTGAGCCCGCACTTCCGACGTGGTCAGAACCAATCAGAACCGGCAAAATGGTGGGTGTATTTGAAAATGGCACCCGTATACCGGCAAAATGAGTATTCTTGTGTGGAACTTGATGAAGCTTGCCAGTCCCTTCGGGGGACTGCCGCCATCATAAATCCAAAGCTTAAAGAACATCACCATGGGCCATAGCGTGTCCAAACATGATCAATTTCATAACCCCTTGGTGGCACAGATACCCACATCATTTTCCATGGTGGTCTGAAAACATCCGAGCCGAAATATGAACACGTCGGAAACATTGTCCCATGTGTTGGGAACATACCATATACTGGTTGGTGGTTGACCTACCCCTCTGAAAAATATTAGTCAGTTGGGATGATTCTTCCCAATATATGGACAAATTAAAAAAATGTTCCGAACCACCAACCATCCAATGAGAAACGGAGTTCTGTAACGTTGGGTTTCGCAAACCTTTGGAGAGGCCCGGCTCAGCTTCGCACCCGGACCACTCGTTCCAACTCTGCTTTGTGTTGGGCTTGCTGCTCCTGGAATATCAAGATTCTACGGGGCTTGATTCATCATGGAAGGCACAGCCGTGCTTTCATGATTTACGAGCGGTTTGTTCTTCATCTTTAGGGTGTGTCCAACAGTCTAGATCTCCCAATACTTCTCGGACTATCATTAAACATCCTCCAACAGAAAATTTGAAGTGTTCTATTACAAAACGGAAACCAATTAACCTGGAAGCATTCTAACATTGTGTGGACACTCAAGCGCATGCCTACCCAATGTCAGGGGACCCGCTTTATGCACCATGGGTGCGGCTGCTCCTCCAGTGCAGCTGCCACATGCTGATCTTTGTCCTGCCAAAAAAATCCAAAAACCGTCTTGGGGTCGGGACAGGTGCTGAGGGATTGCGCCACCCATCGCACCAAAAGCAATGTCAGTTTATAGAAGGTTTCATGGAAAAATCAACAAAATCGTTCTCTACTCTTATGTGTTTTTTCAGACAGGTTTGTCTGAACATGCAATCAGTACCCCCAATTCCGCTGCTTTATCATGGCCCCATTTTCAGCGCCAAGGCCACAAAAACCCATCTCCTGTAGCACCTGAAAGGCAAGCTCCAATTCAGACCTGTGTTGAGCACGCTGTTCCTGACAAGGGTGGATGTTCCCAAAGGTCACAGCGTCGAAAGTTCAGCTGGATTCAGCTGGATGGGTGGCTGGTTCTTCTTGTAATTCATCATCCCGAAGTTGGGGAATAATATGGAATAATGAGCAATGCCAAAGTGAATTTGCAGCTGCAACGGAACTGCTGCAACAAAAATCCTAACAGTGACACTGTGTTGCCCTTTTCTTTGCCGAACGCTGTGTTGGCACCATTTTTTGTCCGGTGATCCAGCCTCCAACACTTGATTGAAGAGGCATTCATGCTCAGCACGTTGCTCCTAAAGTTCTTACTTGCCAAGCTCGACCAAAGACACGAAGCAGCGTGGGTGGTAAATGACTAGAAACACAAAAGTCTTTGCTCCTCCAAGGCATTTGCAAAATAGTCTTCTCTGTCCTTGCAGGATCGTAAAGATATCCCATGTGAAAAAATCGCAAAATAGTCTTTTTGGACTTCTCCCTGTCTTCAAACACATTCATGTTCTCCGACAAAGGCGCATGTTGAAAAACATATGTTCAACACAAATAACTTGAACAAAAGCACATCTGCGTCCTGCATTACCTGAAGTGCCAGCTCCAACGCGGACTTATGCTGAGCACGTTGTTCCTGTTCATGACAACATGTTTGCGGATGCCGGATGTGTCCAGCTATGTCTGATGAATTGCCAACAGCTTCGTTCGGCATTTACCCTGGCATGCTGTTGGGTGTCCATCTCTTTTGGCCCGGGGCGAGCCTCCAATGTTTGATTGAAAATTTGTTCATGTTCCACACGTTGCTCCTGAAGTTCTCACTGGCAAGGCCCAATGAAGAACGTGAGGGGGCTGTGGACTCACCGCTCCTCTAAGGCATTTGCGCAATGTTCTTCTCTGTCCTTGCAGGATTGACCAAAGGCGAACACTGTGAACATACAATGTTTGTGTTATATGTTTACTGAAGCCTCCCACATAATAACTTGAACCAACCACACTTCATGCACAACCACAGAATTACTGAAACCAACTGCCCTTGTGTGGTGTCCACAAGCTTCATCATAAGAACATTCAGCTTCGTGGATGTGGGGCGCAGGTCCCGAAGATAAACCCATTCAAAGGACATGAAACAAACAAACAAATTATCGGGTTCCTCAGATTTTGTAACAATATCATTCACCCACCTAAAATATCCCAAAATGATGTTAGAATAAAATGTGAAACCGGTCTAGTGGGTCCACAAATGGTTTTCCATTGACTTAAAACCAAGGATAATACCAACATCTACTGAGGAACAACCAAATAATGGTTGGTGAATGACATGTTGCCGCAACTAATTGATTTTGAATATCCTCAATGTATCATGCAAGCGTATACCACTGGAATAAAAACATCAACATATCAATCCGTGATTGCTAACCAAAAAATGGTGTTAAAACAAAATGTTTGACAGCCAAAGAGCCACGGGTTTTGAGATTTATTCCAATATTTTATAAATATCGTCCCGCTGGGGTCTTTGAAATAGCTTCCCTGGACCAATACAATACGTCACTTGAAATCTTCGGCTATATGGGGGTGGTTCCCTCAACCTTCATTTACACTGACGTGGTAGTGGTCCATTCAGACTTATTGATCGTTAATTCCGCGGGAAAATCCTATGATTCATGATGGTTAAAACGATGTTGAACTGGTTATTTGATGGCTGAATCAACGCAATCTCACACTTTCACTCCCTTTAATTGGCCCATTAAATCACCATTCTACTATTCTACTACCATGATACCAGCTAAATAACAAGCATTAACCAGCTAAATAACCAGCTAAATAACCAGCTAGATTGTCTATATACTTAATGCGTAACATCAGGCAACTTACCGTGGTTTGATAGGCAAATCGATAAACCACCTTTTCACTGGCCAGTTTCCATAGCTACCTTGAGCTACCGGTTGGTACACATCCTGATTAGTGAGTAGTATATTTGCAGCTATAGTCACTATACCATACAACTGCTCGTATATGAAACAATTAATTTTGGGGGTGTGCCATATCATATTTTTTATTTGGCCTCTGTCCCCCCCAGTTGATGTATTTAAATACCGCTATAGCTATATCCCCCTGAAATATCACATTTTTGTTTGGTTTTGCGAGGGTAAATCCTCCATTTTTATGGGATATACCCCGAATTATCTTCTTTTAAAATCAGGTACCTGGATATTCAGTATCAAATCACTACGTACAGTTATAGCCCTTAACAATAATACCTGGTTAAAAACCTCATTTAAGTGATATATAACCTTAGTTATTGGAAATATGTCCTCCCATCTATAACAGCCTACAACTGATTAAAATACTTTCGCTGGCCATCGGCTCTATAACCGTTCTCCTTCATCACCTGCAGCGCCAGGTCTAAGGCCTGCCGGTGCTGCAGTAGCTCCTCCTTTTCGGCTTTTCGGCGGGCGCACAATGCTGAGAATATGACAACATTCCCGAAGCAACGTAGGTAAATATTATTGCATACATTCGACTCCGTATGCGATATTTGATGACATGATTCCATTATTCCATTTTAGGATATTTTAGACATATATGTAGTCAAATTTTGGACACATTCAAATGAACCCGATATTCGATAAACTGTTCGATAAACTCGATGATTATTCGGTAATTTGGATAATCTAGTATATTGATGAATTTCTTCAAACACCAGACGCACTGCAACAAAACATACTAATCCATGTCCAAAAACAACTTGCACTGCTTTCATGCAGGAACAACCCCCCAAGGAAAACAGCAGGGTTTTTGAGAAACAAAGCCCTAGCCCTAGCGGAAACCACAGACTTGAAACTGACATTGTCCTCACATGTGTGGAACACAAAGTCCCTCACTTCCGAAAAACATATTGAGGCGTGAATGGGCATTGGCTTTGGTGAATATAAGATGGCATACCAATATCAAGAAGCTCCATTAGCCAATCCAAGCGGCTGACCTCCTGGCAATTTCCTGAAAATATACCATCTGGTTATTTAACATAGCCATGGAAAATCACCATTTGTAATAGGTAAACCATCTATAAATGGGCCATTTTCAATGGCTATGTTAAATAACCACAGGGTATGTTGTTCAAATGTTTTTTCACTTTTTTGTGTGCAACAAAAAATTAACCATGCCACCAACATCCACCAAGCATTTCTTTCTGGGATTTGGGATCCGACAAGTTGTGATAGTTTTTAAGCGTTTCGTGAAGACAACGAAGATCCTTAAGGAACATCAAGCAAACATTTCGCAGCGCAACATTCAACTCCATTCAATTCCTCCTACTTAAGCGCGGTATCCCTTCAAAAGGGCATGGCTGGCATAAAACAATTTGGGTGAAGTCTTGGCTCATAATGAACCATCAAACCTGAAAATCCAAAGGTCTGCGACTTCCAGATACCATTTTTCTGGAGAAAAACATAAACAAGTCACATGTGAAACCTTTAAAGCACCAACCAGAAATGAATGACAATGAGAAGCAATTGCCATCAAACATTGACGGCGGCCTCTTCGCCTGAGAAATTCAAAAAATTCAATTTATGCGTTTATCTTCTTAAGATTTGGGATGAACTCTAAAGTTGGACCTTGTATTTTGGGCCAGACTCGACGCAAAGCAAACCTGAAATATTGAGACCTCGGTTTAAAACATGCCGAATTGCCGCTTGAAAATGCTTGATAAAACTCAGATATACATGATGTAGAAAGTCATAAATCATATCTGTTTGGCCCATCACGGCCTGCAAACTTATGGGCTGGAGATTTACCAGTGGCTCAAAAGCATACCAGGCAGTTTAAAACATATCGATCTAGAATCAGGATGGTTTGAGCCGCAAATATGGCAAGAGATGGTCACTGCTTTATGAGGATCTCATTTGTACAACCGTCCCGCAATACGTTGTCGCGGAAAGTTGGTGATAGGCGTGAACAATGCAGGTCCAACGGGTGTAAGTCACCCAAGTTGGCCCAAAATACAAATGCACATAGAAAAGAAGTTGCCGCAAGGAACGTTTGTTTAGTCATGGGCTAACTTGTTGCTTTTTGGATTCTCTCAGCCTCTACCTTGGCATCCAACGTCCAAACATGTGCTTAATGAGCAATCTATGCTTGACACGTACACGAGCAATGTGCGTTGCAGAAACGCAGAAACATCCAAAACATGCTAAAGGGATGGCCAAGGATTACTACATCAACAAACATCAAGATTAGTGGAAGCACAACTTTTCTCTGTGTCCCACCTATTTTCCACAAGTTTCGATAAAATTCGACAAAACTCAACATCCGATTTTCGATAAATGACATTCCATATAGGCTCCTGGAGCCTACATGTTAATGTAGGCTCCAAGAGCTGACATTGGAACGTATGCAAATACTATATACGTGGATTCTTAGGGATTGGAACACAGTGGGGAAAGATTGGAAAATCATATTATAAAATGTGGGAACAATAAAGTGACATATAGGGAACTGGTTGGAAAATAATTCAACCAAGATCCCGCAAAATGTGGTTACATGTCAAATATAATTCAAATATAGTGGAAGAAATGACAGAATTTGAGTGGGAAACGTGGCGGGTTAACCTGCAATCATAATGGTATATTGGACAGACTTCAGCCACGTCTTGGTGCAAGCCACAATAAAAATCCCATGGGAGCCGCATATCTGGTTATTTCAAAATACGCACTCCATTTTCCAAGCGCCTAAGTGTTGTTGGGCTCAAGGGCGATGTGTGGAAGATTCAGAACCCAACTTGAAGGTACAGACACTAAATCTTTGGCAAAGCCGCTTGGATTGGTCAGTTTCAAGCGCCACAGCATCCGACATGTACTCCACTTTTGATCCGTCCCCTGAAGCAAAACATCAAACCCTGACGGACCATTGCACATGTTGAGGATGACTTTCCTGTTGAAGCAAGTGACTTCCCATCCCCAACATATAACCACAATACAACACGGGTGGTGGTTGATCAAGCCAACTGTACTCATATTTCATCACCATACCCCCTAATATAAAACGCCGCCCAAATAACCACAAAGTTGTATAAATCTCAAACTAAACCGTGATTTAGGGGATGTTCAAGATTAGGTGGATGAGATTTTTCATCAAATTCCAATGTCGCTCAGCATTTCCCGACGAATGTCGTCCTCGAACCTGGAAAACTCGGCGTCTTTGTCCTGTCAGAACTGTGAACTAACCAAACCATATGTCATATGTCAAGACCCAAATGTACTGCAAATCATGAACAAGGCACAAGATGATTGAGGATATCAGGCTGTTCATATGCCAATTTTGCAATGATGAGTATTGATCCATAACGGTCAAGGAAATCTCTCCCTCTCACCCGGACACATGTCACGGGCGCCTGCAGTTTTTGCGAGTGATGAGCATGTTGATCCTGATGGACATCTGGATCGTGCGAGGCATCATGGCATGAGCGGTAAGATCTGGGAAAAAACAACAAACACATCCAAGTAGAATGGCCACTGAAAAATAAAATCCAACTAAAATAACGATCACACGTTTTTTGTTGGGGGGTTACTGTGACTGGACATGACTATTGGGCTGGATGCAGGCCGAAAAGTTAGAAAAGTTGAAACTCCAACGATCAGTGCGCGGTCGTCGCTGGTCATCAAACAATGCATTTTTTTGGATGTCTGTCCACCATGTTTGGACACATGTGGGCATCATCATTGATCATCATTGATTTAAGTGCTTTCGACCCGTCTCAAAATATAAACGAAGTCAATCCAAGTCAAGTTTCATCCCAACATATCCCAACTATAGGATGTTTTCACAAAAGCAAGCAAACATTCAACCCACCCCGACGGCCAGTTGATTGAATGCCAATTGACGGGGTGATCATCCCAGTGTGGGATGGGCACATGGGGCTCCTGGACTACTTGGAGCGCCAATTCCAAAGCATCTCGCCGATGACTTCTCTCCGCCTGACCAACAAATTCCTGAAACATGGGACTTGGAGCACTGGAATTTGGGGAGCCATCAGACACAGTGAGACCAAACCCACGAATGGTGGATATGAATTTGTTGTGTAATGTTGGTACCGGGCTCATGTTGGTACCGGGCTCATTACCCAACAAATGACACGAATGAGGGTGTGACACTAACAGATAGTGAGTCAAACATGAGCAATTTGGTAATTTGATTACGCAGAATCGGCAATATTCAACCACTAAGAACTTATTTATTTTTGTGAAGAAATCATGATCTATGATCAACTACGTTTACTTTGACATGCACCTTATTTCCCAAACATGAATATGGAACCACATTTGCTCTCATCCTGTGTCAAAGCATGTATGTTGTTGAAAACTTCTGTGTGGTCTGTGTTTTTTCCAAACTCTTGGCGCAAGCTGTTGGTAGGTGCCTGCTCCGCAAAAGACATGCGTCACATTTCTGCGGTGTTATGTTCAAAGTTTTCACAATCATCCAAAATCAAGTGGCGAGAACGTATCATATTTCCACATGAACAGGTAGGGAAGAGTTGCAAATCTACCAGAAAAAAAACTAGGAATCAGAGTGTGCAAACATACATGCAGGGCCCAAAGTTTTGGTAAGTCAAAATGCAATTTTTCAGCCACAAGTTACTGACCCCTATTCGCGTGGCTGTAGTTCACCATTGGGAGCCAACAGGATAAACAAATAGAACTATAGACATGGTCACAATAAAACTATTGTTTTTCCATCACTTGCTGCCCACGGTCCACGCGGCCTCCAAAGCCGTGTCCAATTCCGTTCTATGTGCGGCCGTCTGCTCCTGACGTTTTCCAGTCATGTCCGGTCACATTGGTTCTCCGTGGGGAACACATGTATTTAGCTCATCCCTTCCCCGCAATGTTAGACACCGCCCATAAAGCATGGTTTAGGAGGGGGTTCCCCGATTTTTGGAACATTCTGGGTGGCTCTTATTAATACGAAGATGGGATAATTAAACTGGAGGAAAACACTTTATCTCATTCCAAAATTGATATTTAATCTGGAAGGCATCAACTCCAGCAGCACATCCGCCAGCCCAAGAGAACCTTGTGCAATCATCCCAGAAAAGTAAAAACAAACATCGAACAAACATGGTAGCGGAACATGGGCAACCCCCGTGTTCAAGTCAACATCATCTAGCCGAGGCCAACACGTTCGCCGAAACATGCTGCTGATTCAACTACCTTCACATGGTTGGTTTTCACCAATGTTTGTGGCTTTAAAGCCCATGCCTGTTGGCTAAGCCACTGAAGATACTGAAGGCTGCTTTTACCAGTTGTTCCCCACCTGTCAGGTGAGGGTCTAGGCCATATCGCCAGCTCCGGATGGTACGCCAGCTCCGGGTGCTGTGGGCCACGTCTGGACCAGAAAGAATGTCAGATAGAATGTCAAGAAAAATGTCAGAATACACACCAGATAGAATCCCAGAAAAAGTGTCAGATTATATGCAAAAAAGTGTGTCAGAATAGATACCAGAAACCGGAAAGAATGTCAAAGTATTGCCAGGAAGAATGTCAGACAGAATGTCAGAAAACGTGTAAATAAATATAAATATATATATATATATTATATATATAGTGTTATATATATATAAATGCGTGTGCCGTATGTTTAAATATACATAAATATACAAACTTCCAGATGGTATGTCAGAAACTATGTGGGACTAGTGTGTCCAAGTGGGGATCGCTCGAAGTAAAGTAATGTCACATGGGTTTGTTTCCGACTGATGAAAAAATCAGTGCACTCCATGGTCTATGGGTGATTATGACAACCCATGATGGAGATACCTATTAAACAACCAAAACATGGCATAGCATAAGGATATCTTTAATGGCCCCACTTGGTTTGGTTGAATCATTTACAATATCCTAGACTAATCCCTTTCATTATACCCTATTTTATTAGAGGCACAATGTCCGTTTTTTGAAGGCTGGATACTCATCTTGGGTGGTCCAGATCATCTAAATCCCTACGCTTGTCTTGTCGATTGACGTAGGGTTAATGTTCCATCTTAAGATCAAAAACATACCTGTCTGATTTGCCGGTCCTCCAGCTTCACAGTGTGATGCGCCCGCTGATCCTGAATAGTGGCAAGGTCATAGCTGCGATCAACGCTGGCTAGCCGTGAGGTTGCTGTCAAATCTCCACTACAAAAGAGATACGCAGAGAAAAAAATACACAAGAACAACACATTCCACTAATGTAATTGGGAATCGAGCCAAGCCAGCAACAAACTCAACAAACCATCTTCCGTCTTCATGGTTCAACCACATTACGCCCAGCAAAAAGCCATCCAAGCCAACTAAGCAAGGAAAGCAATCAACGTCGAGCAATAACTAGCGGGTACCGCCTCCTGTAGCGCTTCAAGATCACCCAGCAACTGATATTTCAAGTCCTAGGAAAATCTGCAGGTGGCTGGTGGAATCCCGGGCTGAAAACACTTGAAGCATATCAGTCCATGTGGTAGCAATGGGGGTGTCAAGGAAGAACGTATAGATATCGGCAAACAACAGCAAAATCTTGTTTACTGCATGCTAAGCACATACATCACAGCGTGATCCTTACAATGCGCCTTTACTAATGCGGACTCCTGAGTGGATCTTTTCAAAGCATGACATCTTGGAACAGGTAGGCACATGCATCACTTGTCCCTCAAAAGAACCAAACAGGTCCTCCAATTTCGTTCGATGTTCGTCATCCTTGGCCTCGGAGATATGAGGTGTCATCGGGCATCTGGACATGCCAAACAGACAAGGCCCTTGTGGCAGGGTTCTCCAAGCAGGGATTGGTTCGAAAATAATGCAAAATAATGCAAAGGTCAAACAACACACAATACAGGATTTCAATGTATAGCATTGTTCTCCAGCAAGGAACCAACATGTGAATTCAAAATGGACCTGTGACAGACTGCGAAGAATGGAAGGTACCAGCACAAGGACAAACACACCTGAATGTTTTCAACTGCCCGACCTGCAACGTTTCCAGATGCGCTGAAATTTGCTGGGTCTTCAGATCCTGCAAAAAAAAACACACCGCGACCCGAGGTCGTGGGGAACTTCTCGGGGAAATCACACGACCGATTCCAACATCGCCGGGAGACGGAAGATTATAAGCAGTAGTAGTGGGATGTAAAGCACCAATATGATACCTGTGTGGCTTAGACAGTGGGTACTGTACACATTGCGGACGGCTACCTTTACAGGGATCATGATCATGGTGAATTTAGAATTCCAAAGTTTGAGACACCTCCAAAAAGATGTCAGATGATGTCAGCATGAACACCTGATGGAAATTAAACCAGACAGGACCAGACAAAACAAATCACCTCCCTGCCATGCTCTTCAACTCATCTCCCGACGGCTCTATGCACGCCTCCAAAGCTTTGGCGTGCTGCTCCTCTTTCTCCTCGCAATGCTTCTGGTGTGTCCCAAACCACCAGACATATAGGTTCTTTATTTCTTTGTAGGTTCATGGCAAAACCATGATGTGAGACCATCCAATCGTGAGACCATCAAATAAAGATTGTCAACTAATTGTCCACTAAAAGCTTTGGCTATCAAACAACTGCTTGTGCAACATTCACATGTTAATTTTCCTTTAGGCACGGGTATTGCCGGACTCCTTCAAGGCACCGCGCGCGCTCAAAAGCTCATGCGAGTGCTGGTCCTCAAGGCACGCGCAGCCGCCAGCTGCATATTGAAATTGAATTCCGCTCAGTCAGTCAAAATCTACGTCAGTCCGCGGCCCATGCCTTTGTTCGACTCTAAAATAGTTTCAATGGGTCTGTGAGTCTGTGAACAATTTAGCTCACAAGAGACTTCAGCCATCCAATATGGCGGAATTCTGTTTAATCAAGAGACTTGACGACACTTTGGTGGACTATTGTATACAAACAACATTTACCAATAAAGCATAGACAAGATAACTAGTCCACATCACAGTTGTCAGTAGCAGTGAGTCAAAATTCATGCCCGGCGATTGTACTCCGAGAATGGTCCGACTGAGTTTGTCATATCCCATGGCTGGTGCACTTCCTGACTAGTGACAAGACCGTCAGGGATCTCAAGAATCATTGCAAAAACGGAACCAGCATCACCCCTTTTGACGGATAGATCATCACCCAAAAAAAACTCACAAACCATAAAGCTGGGGTATAACGCCTTGCTGGAAATGATGAAGTCTTGAGAATTGCGCATCACAACTCTTTATCCAAATGCAATAATTCAAACTGGTTTGGTGCCCTGCTCCACTTCCATGCCTGCAGCGCATCTAGCTCACCTCGCAGTTGCCTCTTGAAATCCTCAATGGTAATGGATGTGGGAAAAGTGGAGCATGGATCAAAACTTAGGGCACCAAGCCAAGTAGATACCTCATGCAAGGTGGGGTTGGAAGCTGCAAAGTACAATTAACATTTGGCAACCCACAAGGTACAACACTGGGGATTCCTGTTGTGCAACACTGGCGATTCCAATTTGAGCCCAAGAACTATACATCCAGTTTACACGGAAGGAGACACAAGAGGAAGCAAAATTAAACCCTCCAGAGTTGCATGCTACTGGGTCCTCCAAATTCTTTTGATGCTCTTCGTCCTTCGCCTTGCAAATGTGCTCCGCCCATCAGCATACAACTTTGTTCGGACACGCAAGGAAAGTGAAAGAACATGCGGCTAAGATTGAAAAAGCAACTCAAACCTGTCCAGTCCAAAGCCTCGAGGTTCAATGTCAAAACACTGCTCTATAGAAACACCCCGGTCCAAACCTGCAAGTTTTCAGAATGTTCGCAAAGTTGTCGGGTCCTTAGATCCTGCAAACCATGGGATGCAAAATCAAATCGGTAACTGCATGAGTCACTTTGCAACATATAAATACTGTACCTCAAAACGGCGGCTGCTGTAAATCATGTGCTTTTCTTTGTCCTTTGGCTTCTAACTCTAGATGCTGTCCTTTGAATCGCACTATCCCTGAAACTTCCCACACTGCTGGATCCACATGGTATCCACTTTGAAGGCACGCCTCCAAAGCTTTGGCGTGCTGCTCCTCTTTCTCCTCGCAATGCTTCTGGTAGTGTGTCCCAGACCACCAGACATATAGGTTCTTTATTTCTTTGTAGGTTCATGGCAAAACCATGATGTGAGACCATCCAATCGTGAGACCATCAAATAAAGATTGTCAACTAATTGTCCCCTAAAAGCTTGAGCTATCAAACAACTGCTTGTGCAACATTCACATGATAATTTTCCTTTAGGCACGGGTATTGCCGGGTTCCTTCAAGGCACTGTGCGCGCTCGAAAGCTCATGGCAGTGCCGATCCTCACAGCACGCACAACTGCAAGTTCAGACTGACAGTGACTAAGTTCCGCTCAGTCAGTCAAAATCCCTGTCTCTGAGCCCTTTAACTTGACATATTCAAAACGCAAGTCCTGGGTAACTTTAAGATTCTATGGCTCTGAAAATCACCTATCCAAAAACCTATCTCAAGAGTCTTAATGACACTTTGGCGGACTATTGTATCCCAACAACATGCACCAATAAAGGATGGACAAAATGACTAGTCCACATCACAGTTGTCAGTTGTCAGTAGCAGTGAGTCAAAATTCATGCCCGGCGATTGTACTCCGAAAATGGTCCGACTGAGTTTGTCATATCCCAAAAGGGGTATAATCTCTCGATGGTTGGTGCACTTCCTGACTAATGCTAAGACTGTCAGGGATCTCAAGAATCATTGCAAAAACGGAACCAGCATCACCCCTTTTGACGGATAGATCATCACCCAAAAAAAACTCACAAACCATAAAGCTGGGGTATAACGCCTTGCTGGAAATGATGAAGTCTTGAGAATTGCGCATCACAACTCTTTATCCAAATGCAATAATTCAAACTGGTTTGGTGCCCTGCTCCACTTCCATGCCTGCAGCGCATCTAGCTCACCTCGCAGTTGCCTCTTGAAATCCTCGATGGCAATGGATGTGGGAAAAGTGGAGCATGGATCAAAACTTATAGGGCACCAAGCCAGCTGGATACCTCATGCAAGGTGGGGTTGGAAGCTGCAAAGTACAATTAACATTTGGCAACCCACAAGGTACAACACTGGGGATTCCTGTTGTGCAACACTGGCGATTCTAATTTGAGCCCAGGAACTATACATCCAGTTTACACGGAAGGAGACACAAGAGGAAGCAAAATTAAACCCTCCAGAGTTGCATGCTACTGGGTCCTCCAAATTCTTTTGATGCTCTTCGTCCTTCGCCTTGCAAATGTGCTCCGCCCATCAGCATACAACTTTGTTCGGACACGCAAGGAAAGTGAAAGAACATACGGCTAAGATTGAAAAAGCAACTCAAACCTGTCCAGTCCAAAGCCTCGAGGTTCAATGTCAAAACACTGCTCTATAGAAACACCCCGGTCCAAGCCTGCAAGTTTTCAGAATGTTCGCAAAGTTGTCGGGTTCTTAAATCCTGCAAACCATGGGATGCAAAATCAAATCGGTAACTGCATGAGTCACTTTGCAACATATAAATACTGTACCTCAAAACGACGGCTGCTGTAAATCATGTGCTTTTCTTTGTCCTTTGGCTTCTGACTCTAGATGCTGTCCTTTGAATCGCACTATCCCTGAAACTTCCCACACTGCTGGATCCACATGGTATCCGCATTTAAGGCACGCCTCCAAAGCTTTGGCGTGCTGCTCCTCTTTCTCCTCGCAATGCTTCTGGTAGTGTGTCCCAGACCACCAGACATATAGGTTCTTTATTTCTTTGTAGGTTCATGGCAAAACCATGATGTGAGACCATCCAATCGTGAGACCATCAAATAAAGATTGCCAACTAATTGTCCACTAAAAGCTTGAGCTATCAAACAACTGCTTGCGCAACATTCACATGTTAATTTTCCTTTAGGCACGGGTATTGCCGGGCTCCTTCAAGGCACTGTGCGCGCTCGAAAGTTCATGGTAGTGCCGATCCTCACAGCACGCACAACTGCAAGTTCAGACTGACAGTGACTAAGTTCCGCTCAGTCAGTCAAAATCCCTGTCTCTGAGCCCTTTAACTTGACATATTCAAAACGCAAGTCCTGGGTAACTTTAAGATTCTATGGCTCTGAAAATCACCTATCCAAAAACCTATCTCAAGAGTCTTGATGACACTTTGGTGGACTATTGTATCCAAACAACATTTACCAATAAAGCATAGACAAGATAACTAGTCCACATCACAGTTGTCAGTAGCAGTGAGTCAAAATTCATGCCCGGCAATTTTACTCCGAAAATGGTCCGACTGAGTTTGTCATCGAAACTTGGTGCACTTCCTGACTAATGCTAAGACTGTCAGGGATCTCAAGAATCATTGCAAAAACGGAACCAGCATCACCCCTTTTGACGGATAGATCATCACCCAAAAAAAACTCACAAACCATAAAGCTGGGGTATAACGCCTTGCTGGAAATGATGAAGTCTTGAGAATTGCGCATCACAACTCTTTATCCAAATGCAATAATTCAAACTGGTTTGGTGCCCTGCTCCACTTCCATGCCTGCAGTGCATCTAGCTCACCTCGCAGTTGCCTCTTGAAATCCTCGATGGCAATGGATGTGGGAAAAGTGGAGCATGGATCAAAACTTAGGGCACCAAGCCAAGTGGATACCTCATGCAAGGTGGGGTTGGAAGCTGCAAAGTACAATTAACATTTGGCAACCCACAAGGTACAACACTGGGGATTCCTGTTGTGCAACACTGGCGATTCTAA